TATGTCCCGTCCGAGCCCTGCAGGCTTACGTTCGGTCCAGCAAATGGAGCAATGACAAGCAACCCCTCTTCAAGTTTCAGGATGGTCGCCATCTCACGCCGAACGACATCAATGCTGTCCTACACAAAGTGCTAGGTCCAAGCATCAGCAGCCATTCCTTACGCGCCGGGGGAGCCACACACATGGCGGATCGAGGCGCCCCAGAGTATGCCCTGATGGCTGCAGGCCGCTGGTCCAGCGGGGCATATCGTACGTACATTCGCAGGCCCGCACGCAGGCATGCCACAGCACTACTAGAGCCTGCGTGTCGCAAGCCACTCGGTACCTTTATTGGAGGCACGGGTGCTGCCGATGGGCGCCGCATAGTGCACGCACATCGGCACCATTGAACTATTCATGTGTACTAAGATTTAGTGTTCCGCTGCCATAGCAACCTAGTAGTACACGTAGCCGTTCCGACGGCGCAGGACCCCGCGGGTCGCTTCTGCTGTCCTTGCCTCCCTGATGCGCGATATGTGTACATCATAATAATCATGACCTCATACTGAGTACATGTACGTCATACTTGATCACCGATCACAGGCTCATGATTATTCATGCTGGAATAAACGCTTGCGACACCCCACAGGCTCGTCTCTCTTGTGTGGCATGAGGGTTAACACTTCTTCGTACTGAACTCCAAAAAAAGGCACCTCGACTGGGTTTAGAAGTGGACTTTTGGCGGCATATCAGTATTCGACCCGGGTCAACTGTCTTCATGTAAACGCTCACCTCTTTTGTCTATCGTACAGACTTTCAACCCAGGCTGAACTCGACCCGGGTTGAAATTTCTCATGTAAACACAGCATAAGTTTGCCCCATTGGGCGCTTTCGATTACACGTTTACACAATTCTGGAACTGGGTTTTGTAATTCTCGAATGACCAAAATGTACGAATTCCGGCCATGTAAACAAACGACTGGAATTCACAACGCATTTTATTCATGGCATATCACAAACAAAATAATTGGTCTGTGAGAAAGGGTTTGCTCCCCACACCTACTACTTCGTAAAATAATTGGTCGTAAAAAGATATCACGTACACTCTCTCGCGCGCGCGCGCGCGTCGACCCAGCTTCGCGTACTGGTCCCGGATGATCCCGGCGAAGGCTCCATGTCGGCAACAATATTGGGCTTCGATAAAGCTGAACGCGTGTGCGAAAGGACCACCCAAAATGAGCCGGTCTAATCATCTCCCAGGGGAAACTCAACAGTGGCAATTAGCTTTTCGGGAAGACAAAAGTAGCAACTACATGCAGTTTTAGCCCTGCTTTCGCGCCACACCGGCCAGGGAGGCTCTTCCTTGACTTGAGTCATACATGGCCAGACCGGTAACACACCGAGTGTGCTGGCGCCAGAATTAGAGAAATTCCGCCCTCTCTTCAGAATTGACGGAATTGGATTCAATCAATTCTAACGACGGAATTTGTGTAATCGAACTCTGCATCAACAATAACTAATTCTAGAATTGACCGATTTGTGTGTAATCGAACGCGCCCATTGTAAAGAACGGCTTTAGAGGATGTCCAGATTTGGGTTATTGTAGGCTATCACTAGATTTATATTATGTGGGTGGCCCTATGTGTTTATAAGCGTACTGCTGGGTAGAACCCCATTATTTCCCAAAGACGTAGTCTAAATTGAAGGGTGTTCCATTATAATGGGAGGCTGTAGGGTTGAGATAGCAGACAGTGGAGGGCTAATGATTCGTAATGAACAGCCTAGCTAGAGAAATACAATTATGCTGAATGTTCCAGAATGGTCCTTTACTCAATAATACCTATAGCCTCGAGGTATGCCTTGAAATACGAAATATACCGAAACAGAAACACAAAATAAGAATAAGCGCAACGCTCAAAGAAGAAGGACAGAGGCATGTCAGTGAGGAGTGGCATTGTGTTTGGTGTCAGAGAAGTGCGTGCAAATGTGACTGTGAAACAGGGACTGCGAGGCTGTGGCTCTCAGGTCTGCGGGCAAGGCATTCCAGACAGTAGCGGTGCGGAAGAGAAATGACCTCCCGGCGTGTTTCCCAACCCGTGTCAGAGTGAATGCGAGTTGGCGGCGGCGACTACGCGTGGGGCAGTATCCCGGTGCTTCAAAAAGTTCTGGTTGGGTGGTGACCAGATGGAAGAATTCCATAAGGCAGGCGATCTTCCTGCGCCAGGATAGACTTGGCCACCCCAACTGTTTAAACAATGATGACTTGGGCTCGTCTGATGGGCAAGGGCATCTCTCAAGCCGCATGACTGTGCGAGCTACTCTGGCTTGCAGCCGTTCAAGGGTGAGCCGCTGTGCAGCAGAGAGGGAGGACTCCCATACTGGGGCGGCATATTCTGCTGTGGGGCGGACATACGTAAGGTACAGCTTCCTGACGATGTCTCCTGTTAAACGGTCAGCCATATGGCACAGAAGAACGCAGCGCTGTCTAAACTTGCTTATTGTCTGTTCAATTGTCTGTTCAATATGCTCCTGGAAGCTAAGTGTTTCACTCAACAACACTCCCAGGTGACGGTGACTGGTTGACGGCTGAATACCGCGGATGATCTCTGCAGCTCAGGCAGTGACAGCATCCCAGGAGTACTTCTGAAGTGCTGTGCTGATATCATTGCTCCGTCTGCTGCTGCTCTTTTCAATTATCCCGTGGTACAGTACCCTCTGCCTTCAAGCTTGCACACGTATCACCGCTAAAATCTGAATCAATGCCTCACTATCCCGTGGTACAGTACCCTCTGCCTTCAAGCTTGCACACGTATCACCGCTATAATAAAGCTGGTGACCCAGCAGTTCCCACTCACTTCCGTCCCATTTCCCTTCTCCCAATCCTGTCCAAGCTATTAGAGAAGCTGGTGCAGAAGGAATACTTGTATGATGTTGTATCAGTCAGGAACAGCACTGAGTCACTTCCCTCCACTCAGTTTGCATTTCGCAGCGGCCATTCCACTGAGGATGCACTAGCTCTCATCACCAACCGTATCCTTACTGCCCGGGACAAACGAATGTACACAGGTGTCTGCTTACTGGACATGTCAAAAGCATTCGATAAAGTTAGGCATCACCTACTAATTCTCGACCTCTTCGATGTTGGCGTCACGGCCACAGCCCTGCGGTGGTTCATGACAATCATGTCTTACCTCTCCGAACGGACCCAGCGTCTGTGTATCGGACCATCACGCAGCACCATCACTCGCTGCACCTGCTGAGTGCCACAGGGATCTGTGCTCGGCCCCATTTTGTTCAACGTAGACACTCGGGAAATACCCTATGTTGCTGGACAAGCTTTGTCTTTGCAGTTTGCAGATGACATTGGTCTCACTTGCAGCAAACCGACTAAGCCTGAAGTGTCTGCAATTCTGTCTGCGTCAGCTTCAGCTATTGCTAACTGGCTAAACGACCGTGGCTTGATCCTGAATGCTTCCAAAAGCCAGGTGATCTCCATTTCTGGGAACCTACCTGAGAAGCATACTCCACTCTCGGTTAACTGTAACGGGACCCTGCTGCCACTTGTGGAGTCTGCCAGGTACCTTGGAGTAACATTTGATAGCAACTTGTCTTGGGATGACCACGTAACCCGCTGTGCAAACCGTGTATCACAAAAGATCGGAGTCCTGTGGAGGATGCGGCGTTGCCTCAGCACACAGGGTCGGATAACTTACTTCCAGTCCATCATAATGCCCGATCTTCTATATGGATCAAATGCATTCTCGACATCTCTGGCAGCCAGGCACTGTCATCGACTACAGGTTCTGCAAAACTGTGGTGCCCGTGTAGTGTTCGGACGCCCGCCATGGACATCCGCACATGACCTACTGGAGCGCCTCTCACTGTCGGGCTACTGAAGTATACAAGAAGAAGCTGGCATTCCTTGCATGGCGCTGCCGTTACGGCCAAGCAAGTCCTGAGCTTCAGGTTCTCTTGCTGCCAGCTTGTGGCCGGTCCACGCGCCTGGACTCCGCATGGGTCTCTGCCTGCCACCCGCCCGCTGCAACTCTGGAAAGGGGACATTCGCCTTCCAGGGTGCGCTATGCTGGAACAACCTGCCTAGCAGCTCCATCCCATTCCTCGTCAGTTCCGTGCTGCAGCAGTCTCGTTTCTTCTATGAACTGAGAACATTGCAAAGCAATTGTACTGTCGTGGACATGGAAATCCGGTCGCACGTCTAGCGGCCCCAGGGCGATGGCCATGCAGCCGTGGATAAGCGGTAGGTCTACACACATGCATTTATGCGCTGCAGCGCGTGCTGGTCGCATCGGATCTAATCAACATGTGCACTCACGCAGCGTTCTGAACGCGCTGAGGGCGCCGGCCCCGGTCAATCGACTGGATTTCCATGTCCGCTACAGTACGTGTGGCTGTCAATGTACATGTGTGTGTGTGTGTGTGTGTGTGTATGTGCGTGTGTGCGTGCGTGTGGGGGGAGTATGTGTCTGGGTATGTGTGTGTGTGTGTGTGTGTGTGTGTGTGTGTGTGTGCGTGTGTGTGTGTATGTGTGTGTGTGTATGTGTGTGTGTGTGTGGATGTGTGGATGTGTGGGTGTAGCTATGCAATGCTTCGATTTCTCTCTCTTCTCTTCTCTTCTCTCTTCCTGTCGGTGTCTCCCGCTTCTGGGCCTGTTGTTGTTATGTCTACTGTGTCTTGCCGCTACTCCGGCTTTGTCCGTGACCACGATGTGTCGCCGCCTTTTCTCCTTTATCCTTTCCTTTCTCTTTTTGTAAAAGCTTTCTTCTCGCCGTGACCACGATTTTTCTTCTTTTTCTCCTTTATTCTTTTTCTTTCCTTCTTTTCTCTTCTCCCTTTGCTGAGAGCCTTCTGTTCCATATTTTCTTTTCATCTGTGTCCCCATTCCTGGGTTCGAGCGTTGAGCGTTGTAACGTTGTAGGATTGGAACAAATCAAGCAAGTACGGGTTTGCTGACACGAGGGATTGTGCTTTTCAGTGCATGAGCACAGCAGACAAGTTACGGATTGAAGTCAGCAAACACCAGTTCAACATTGGAGAGCTATCAGCAGTGATTTTTCAATGGCTATACTCTTGCAGAATGGATGAAGAACAAAAGGATTGTGATATGGTGCGATATAATTATGCGAGAAGGAAGACTGGAAAAAATGAAGAAAGAAGGAGGGTTGGAATGGATGAAGAAGTAAGATTGGGAAGGATGAAGAACAAAAAAAACTGCTAAGGGAAAACAACTTTTCATCTGGGCAACGGATTGGAATGAAATGGGAAGCTAAATGAAAATAATACTTCAAAGAAGTAGAAATCGAATCAAAAGATCTACGCACACTGAAAGAATATAATGAATAGGTTGCTATATGTCCTATTATCAGCCTAGATGAGCTAGAACTGATGTTCTGGAACACCAGTCTCGAGCATCTTGCTGCGGATTGTATTCATGATGTCAGCACCTGTTGCATCTGTAGATGGAAACAGGGAACAGCATAATATTAGCAAAACTATAGAACTTATATACAATGGTAAACCCAAAGCATAGTGTTGCGGACATTGAAATCCGTTGAAAAGTTCAGCGGCCACGCGCTGTGCTGGCCGTGCACGCAGCTGTAGGCACAGCTGGCCAATTTTGACAGTGCTACAGTGCGTGCACACGTTAAAGAGCAAGTAAGGGCGCCGGCCCCGGTCATTCCACCGAATATGTCCACAACAGTAGCTGTAATAATTGTCATCTTTGCCCAATGCTGGTTCATGCAGCGTTGCGCAAAATAAAAAAGGCAGGTCATGGAGTATCTGGAGTATAGCATGTGGAGTATGGAGTCTAGCTACTAAGTTGAGTAATAACGCATAGGCTGGGCTGGCTTTGAAGGCGTTCATATGGCTCTGAGCGTTACACGTGCTGCTCATACACAGTGTTGTGGATGGGTATTTTGAGTACATGTACAGCATGGGTTTGTGGTTTGGGTGCACAGTTGTGTTGCTGTTGTGTTGGAGCCGGTATTCGTCTCGAGCCTTCCATGTTCAATTCTATTGCTGCCGTCTTCAACAGTCGTTTGCTAAAAATAGTGTTAGATTGTGGTTGAATGCACCTCTACAGTGCAATTATGCAGATGGCAGATGGCTGGGTACAGGAGCTGCAATCGGCCAGTACAACAACAGCACTACTGAAAGTGTTGTCCGCAATAGTTTCTAAAGAAGTATGTCCCTGGGGGTCTGGTCCAATGTTCTACCAGCCACAGGCATTAAAGCAACGTTGAAATTCTGGTCTAATGTTCTACCAGCCACAGGCATTAAAGCAACTTTGAAATTCCTTGAATCCTCTCTCCCTCTCTTTCTGTCTGTTCTTCTCTCTTGGGTGGTAGTGATTACTTACTTGGTGAAGTTTCCTTGACCTTGAGGTAGAGGTCGGCAACGGTTGTCATTGCTTTGTAAAGGAAGATATACTGGGCCTGGACGAGGATCAAGAGCATAAAGAGCACATATCAATGTCTTTTAAAGGATCTCACTAAAAATCATCCAAGATAGCTGTTCAGTATAAGTAAACAAAAGCAGAGGACACCTGACTTTGGAGAAGCAGAGTGAATAAATTACAATACATGTAGTCCTAATTTTACGAAATTAAAACACAAATACCTCTTAGTGTGGATTATAAAAATACTACATAGTACAGGGAATAATTTACTTTCAATCTTTTGCATAGCAATTCCAAAATGGTGCGTAGCAATTTTCTTCAACACTTGACAACCGTCCTTCTGGAGAGCTGATCAGAGTGCAAGCTCAAACCACAAGTACACTGTAACACCTTAGTTGCAAACCTAGCCTGGTGCCAGGATGCATAGCCCAGCACTTTCGAAGTTTCGTGCATCTATTTTATCCCTAAGAGACACACCCGGCATGTACACTGTGCATCATAGGGCACAGTGAACAATCAATATGCATCGCAGTTTTCTGCGACACATTTCTGAAGTTGCTTCGCACCTCAGAAGAATTGCGTAGCAAACTGCGATGCGATACCGGTTAAATTATTCTATGTAGTATCACATTCTTAGATGGCTAATATACACTAGGCTTATTACACACCACGTGCTGACAATTATCAGTGATATACATAATAGAGATTTATCATGCCTATTGTACTATTTCAGCTTTGAGTTGAGGGAGATCAGAACCACCAGTGCAAGTTTACAAGATGCACAGAAGTGTATAAAGATGCCTACCTCAGTCTGGACCATCAAGTTGCGCTGAACACGCATGGCACAGATTGTTCCATAGACATCGATAGTTGGACGGTGTACCAAACGTTGCAGCAACGTGTCAACGCAGATGAAAGTACCCGTGCGACCAACACCAGCACTGCATTGTAGGAGCATCAAGAAAAGAAAAGAAAGAGTCCAGCACCTTGCTTTTCAAAGGCCTATTGTACTTCAACACGGGTAAATGAAGTACTAGAGACCAGAAGACCACTTTGAATAAATGCATCAGTTCTTACCTGCAGTGCACAGTAATAGGTGCGTGGCAGTTGTCAGGAACATATTTGCGCACTGTGAAGACAAAGCGGATGAGAACGTCTGATGTGGCCGGCACACCATGATCGGGCCAGGACTGGAAGGCCAGATGATGAACAATCTTCTCATCAATACCCTACGGAAAATAGAGGTAGCATTGAGTAGGACACATATGCTGGGTTAGTGTACATATGCTGGGTTAGTGTACATATGCTGGGTTAGTGTACATATGCTGGGTTAGTGTACATATGCTGGGTTAGTGTACATATGCTGGGTTAGTGTACATATGCTGGGTTAGTGTACATATGCTGGGTTAGTGTACATATGCTGGGTTAGTGTACATATGCTGGGTTAGTGTACATATGCTGGGTTAGTGTACATATGCTGGGTTAGTGTACATATGCTGGGTTAGTGTACATATGCTGGGTTAGTGTACATATGCTGGGTTAGTGTACATATGCTGGGTTAGTGTACATATGCTGGGTTAGTGTACATATGCTGGGTTAGTGTACAGGAGACACATTTTAAAGTAAAGACAAGGACAACTGCAAAGAAGAGTATAATATACCTCACGATCAGGCTTGCATGCATCATGAAAAAGCATTTGCCAAACAAGTGCTGTCTTTTTGTTCGAAGTTGTTCTCTGGCATGCCTAGACCCCTGGAATGATTCCATCTGGGGGATACGTATGCATTTTGTTGCACCTACGGCAGCTTTTAAAAGCACACAAATTAACGTTATCCAAACTTCGAGGCCCCATAAGTACATTGTACATGTACAAGAAAAAAATATCAAGAGAGGTTTGACCTGGCTTTTTATCAGAAAGGCCCAAACTACTATATAGACCAACAAAACACACTCACATTATAGATAGAGATCTTTCGGACATGCCAGTCATTGTTGCTCGTGTCCTCTGCCAGCAGAGTAACAGTGAGCTCCCCATGACCAACTGGTTGGTGAAGTTCTTCCGGCCAGTACTTGTGACACTTGATCTAAACCAGCGAAAAGAAGAAGAAGAACTAGTCACTACAGCGTGCCCTGGTCTGTTTAATCGCTGAACATCCTTACAGCTCAACAATGTTTCTTGTTGAAATGTTCTTTTCTAGCTGCGTATATGCATCAATGGAGCATTTCTCTGCACTCAAACACATCTTCTGAATGGTAGAGTAAAGCTTTCGAATGAAGGTACTTGAAAACCAGAGGGGGAAAGGGGATCGGCGTGACTCAGTGTTCCCTGGCAGCAAGAACACTAACTACAAGGAATATTATCTTGGGACTTTTGAACTACCACCATAAGGCTGAGCAGTAAACCACTTACACGAGAGCGTTCCATGAGTTGAGTTACCATTGCAATAACCGGAACATTGTTGTCCCAAATCATGTACCAGAAGTCTGAAGCAGTCTGCGGCAGTGGTCCTTGGCAAGCAATGTACACCTTCCTCCTTTCATAACCCTATTGAACAGTACAGGAAAAGGCCAATAAAGTATGATTTTGAAAACCCTCAATTCGATGAATATTATTGTGATGTATCGGGGCTCCCCCGTACTAGGTATTAAACAAAAAAACTACTGTCTGCACTTCATGGCACATCATGGAACTAGCCAATACAAGGAAGCGAGAGCAAATATGCAATTAAAGAAAGAAGGAAAGAAAAAATACATATCGGTACAGACTGGGGCTTTTGTGCGTGCGGTGTGTAGCTACAATGAGGGCTGTATCCCACCAGCTTGTGTAGTGGTGTCACAAAACGCACGACTTTCGATGTCTAAAGAAAATGTTGAACGGCGTCGCCTGGGATGACAGCTACAACATAGCTTAGTGATAAGGGCATCACTGGCCTAAAGTGAAGGTCCCTGGTTCGAGTACTGGTAGTGAGTCAATGTTTCTTCAGACGTTTCTCTTTTTAACACCCATAACTGATGAAAGGATGATCATATATATGTGGTATGAGTTTATTGTGAATAAAGCACTGCGAACACCAGACACCTTTTAAGTAGAATTCGAGTTCTTCAAAGACGATCACCTAGTCGTAAAAATACTGCTAGAAGATACTCAAAAGTATCTAGGTGAGGAAAGGTGGCCAAGGCTCACGAGTGTTTGGCTAAAAGTACAGCAACGCCTCACTTCTAGAATGTAATACTGTAACAGTAAGCATACTAATTTACTAGCAGCTCCAGTCAACACAACACATCGAACTCACTCCTTCTGGACTAACCAAGAACTGAGGGGAAACCCTCGTCGTGGCCAGCTTCATATTTCAGAATAAATGCAGGGAGTCATATTCGACTCCCTGCTGTGTTCAGAGTACGGTGTGGGAGGTAGAATAAGGATGTGTGTAGAGAAATAGTTGTCCATTATGCATGAATAATAATAAGTAATTCGGGGATCACCATACAGAGCATGCAGAAAGAGTGTAAGTCATTATGTGATTGGAAGGCCAACGGGAATGGGGGAAGCAGTCTCTAAGACCATTCCCGTCACAAATACACTGTGTGAAAAGTGCTGCCTAGTGAGTCCTGGTAAGCTGCCAGTTAGTGCAGACATCTCAGAAGGCATGCAATGCATATTATGCAGCCATTTCGAATCAGGGTGCGTGAAATGAAAAAAGACATGCACCTATAGAACATGACTAATTGAAGCTAACATTTGCTTATGTATACCCTTCACATGCATGAAGCACTGTAAAAGCAGAAATTTTCGGTGGTGTAATATTTTCGGTATTCTCCAAAATTGGCGGTTCGGCGGAGGGAAATTTTTTCGGTAAAATCCGTTTCCAGGCAAGTGTACTTGTACTACATGCATACAGTACCGGCAGTACCGACATTTTCGGTGGGTTTTATTTTCGTTAAAAATTGTCGGCACCGAAGTTACCACCACAAACACCACCGAAAAATTCTGCTTTTACAGTAGGTGTGTGTGTGTGGGGGGGGGGGGGAGAGAGGGGTAGATTTCACAGGCCATCACGCTCACACTAAGCAAACGAAGAAAAAAGAACTCACGTGTACAAAGTTTCCATTGACATAGTCACTAAGGCCAGGGCGCGGTGGAAGTACAACACGAGAGTGGTCGTATGCCAAGATGTTGGTGTAGCGATTCTTTGGCTTGTTCACTTCATGCCTGGACACGGTAGCGAGCTGTGTTGTACCGACTGTTTTGATGAAATCAAACTCTTCAGCAAAGACAAGGTCATCATTGGCACTACGCAACCGTGTCTCTGCTTGCATGTTGGTGATATCGATAGGCTTACTCATGATTTCATCTTGAACTGGCAGAGAAAGCCTTCTACCTTGTCTTGAGTCAGTTGATGTCCGTGATCTTGGGCTGCTTGGGATTGGTGGGGGAGCACCTAATTTGGCTGAAGGACTTCGTTCAGGCACACGTGGTGTGATGCTCTCTACAACTGGCTGTCCAGTTCGGGGTTTTTGGGGCTTCATGGGTACAATTACGTCAGTCTTCTTTCTCAAAGACTTTTCGAGGCTCTGTATGTTCACTGACCTACACATACAGGAGCAGAGCAACAAAACACAGTGTGAGCACCAAATGCAGGACAAAATAACTTCTAGTCTCCTGCATTGACTCCCCAAGGTCAGTGGTGATCAGAGCTGGTACTGGGGACAACTTAGGAAGCAAGACGTTTGTATCGTAATATGTGCTCCCTACATTCACAAGTAGCAGGATCCAAGGGCACGTGGCCGTCCCCGTCACAACTGGTTTACGAATTTAAAGGAGGGTTCCAATATGTCATGCAGTTCTCTCTCTTCCTCTCTTCCTCTCTCTTCCTCTCTCTTCCTCTCTCTTCCTCTCTCTTCCTCTCTCTTCCTCTCTCTTCCTCTCTCTTCCTCTCTCTTCCTCTCTCTTCCTCTCTCTTCCTCTCTCTCTCTCTCTCTCTCTCTCTCTCTCTCTCTCTCTCTCTCTCTCTCTCTCTCTCTCTCTCTCTCTCTCTCTCTCTCTCTCTCTCTCTCTCTCTGCCTGCCTGCCTCCCTCCCATATTTCAAACTCCCACTACCCACAGGAGTTTTGCCTGAATTTTGTAGGATGAATGTTGTAAGAGCCTCAGGGATACAGATACTAGATCTTTACCGTGAACTCATCAACCATGCCAGAGACTAGATTCAACACACGTTGGATTGCTTACTGTGTCTGTAGTTTCCTGTAGTACAAGAATCCAACAGCCACTCCAGCAAGGACCAGAACCACAGCAATGATGGCTCCAATTATAGCACCACCAGAAGAAGAGCCTGAACAACAACATTACACACACAGTTTGGACAACAATCCGCAACAAGATTAAATTTTATTGAAGTCGTAACAAAAGACACAACATAAGAAAGGCGTGCGGGGCAGGGGTGGGGATTTATTGGATTGACAGCCATGCATAGTCAGGGTAGGAGGTCCTTGATACATAGCGCACCCGCCAAGTAGTGTTGGACAAGTAGTTGTGAGTATAGGCCAGGAGACACTGGCTACAAAAACTATTCATAAATGCTACGACAGGCACATCAAGTACCAGCCGCAGCCAGGGGCGTCGGAACCAGTGCGGCATGTGCGGTTAAAGCCGCACCAATAATTTCATATTGTAATTTTTGAAGCAATGAAATATGACCTGTTTGGGCCCAATTTCCCGTGGGGGACGCCCATAGGACCCCACCTCTCCATAGACGCATAAAAAACCAAATACCTTCCGACGCCCCTGTCAGCCATGCTCGAGCAATAAACATTATGCATGTCGAGCTAAAGGAACGTGATGGAATTTCAAAATTTTCAGTAGATGTTTATCTCATACCTGGAGGAGATGCAGTGCTATAGCTTCCAGCCACAACAACACTTGAGTACTGGCGGGAAGAGGTCAGTGTAGACATGTCTTGACTCAAAGCCTGTGGACTAGGGCCCTGTGTGAGAGCACTCACGGCAACTCTGCAAGCACAATGATTAGAAATAGAAAACAGTTGAGACAACAGGCAATAGCCACAAAGAATGGTCCAGAAATTCTCCTAGAGATACCTTAGTTTGGAGACGGAGAGGTTTAGAGAAGGATGGTGTTGTAAGTCGACTACAATGGCACACTAGTAAAGTTTCTTGAGCTAGAAATGGGAGTTCTCGTTTTATCGATGCAATCGACATGGGGTGCATTATTCCCCCACACGAAGAACTCCTCTTTCCCGATCTCAAAACATGTAGAATTGTACACTGGAGTGACGCTGTGTACTAGCCAGGCATTATAGTTGCAGGAGAGAGAGAGAGAGAGAGAGAGAGAGAGAGAGAGAGAGAGAGAGAGAGAGAGAGAGAGAGAGAGAGAGAGAGAGAGACAGGAACATGGACAGCGTGAGCATGAATATTACTGCAATAACAGGCATTGAGCATTGTGCGCAAGACTAAATATCTGGCTTATAAATTCAGGGCTGGTATTTGGGATCACAAAACGGCAAACACGTCAGAGGCCATCTTGAATCACTCTACGTCATCAGATACCCGCACGTGATGCGCATGCGGGGCCCCGAGATCGCGACTGTGCAAAAGTGTACTTGCCAGTGCAGTCTTTGACCTAGCTGCAAGAGCAAGTGCTAGTTTTTATCATAGTTTTTATTTTCGGTGGTGCTTGAACTAGTTCGAACTGCTTCCCTTCGACTTTCTTTGACAGAGCGGGTGCTGTTAGGGTTTCCTGTTGTCAGTTTGTATCCACCACCGGTCTTGTTTGTGAGTGCTTGTACAAGGAGGTGTTCAGTAGTTATTTTCAGTCCGCGCCATGGGTCGCATCCAGGGTAGGAAAAAGTCGCACTCTGACCGGCTTGCTAATCCCGAGTCGAGAAAGAAGCGAACTAGTGGCCAGTTCGGCTCAGTATCATGGCCAGCTGGACGTAGATCAGATCGCCCTGAGGTCGAACAAACCGACAGTAGTCCTGAAATCCTTACCTCGCAGAACATTGACGATGTGGAGCGCGGTGTTCAAGAACAAGGAACCATGGTAATAATTGGATTCGCTCCAGAAAATTATTCTCGTGGTTCCCGGTTCCTTTCCCATGACTCTAATATTTCCTATGGTCTGGATACGTGCATCACGCTGAAGCCTAGATGAATCAGATTGTAAGTCAGTCTTCTCTCTAGCTCAAGATTTTGCGAACATGTTATCAGTGAACAATAAAAGCAAAGGACACAGTGCAACAAATGGAAAATGCACGTCTCCTTCTTTTCCTTGCCGTGTGGACTGCACTGTCACAGTCTGCAGTTCTGACTGGAAGGTGTCTTCCGTTTGTGAAAGAACCAGCGCAAATCGCGCGTGGCGCGGCGTCCTTCAAAACGACACAAGTGAGCTCTACATGAGCCGATTTTGACAATCGATGGCTCAAAATTTTCAGTAGGAGATGCTTCATACTTTGACCGAAGCGAATTTCGCCAAAACGATCCTAGATGTGGGACACGTTTACCGAGTTTGAGGGTGTTATTTGAGGTCTAAATTGCGAAAATCAAAAAATCCTTCGGTGAATCCCTTTGCCCCTTTCCCTTTGCCTGCAAAATCTCAGCCTGCTAGAGAGAACTGTGGCTCACTTGCGTGGATATGAACAGGCCAGAGTCGACGCGAAGTACAGCAAGATTCCCTGTACACAGCATGGTGTGGCACATGTCACGTGAACCAAAATGGCGCCCACGTGTTTCTGTACAAGTACTAGCCCTGAAATTTGTGCACGGCAAGCCCTAGGATCATCTCCAAATATGGACGCATCACACACCAGGACACAAGTGATTGTTGCTACTTCTCTTTGGCACGAGACAACAAAAAGCACGAAATGCGAAGCAAAAAGAGACCCTGAGTGACATTCAAGGGTAGCTTACCTAAAAAGGCCACCAGCGGGCAGAGGAGGGTTACACACTACCGTGCAGGATGTTTGGTCATCCTCTGCTCCAAGTAGCGCTACGGACTGAAGACGAAATATAGAAACAAGCAGAGGGCATATAATGGATGACACTTGTGGGTGAAAAGAAAGATACAATGAGGAGGTTCAGTCTCTACAGCTCAATACCCTTTAGTTACGGAAGTAACATGTTCCCATCAATCGTATTACACCACTCACGACCAAGCTGCTGCTCTATTATAGGAATGAAAGCTGATCCGTAGTAGACTGTGGGTCGCAGCACGGCTTGAACGTGGTACCCTCTGTTTCTCATTCATGGTACCCTCTGTTTCTCATTCATGGTCTTGGACCATGTCACTATACCTGCCTGGGTTGACATTTTCTAGCTTTGGCCCTTCTTCTTAATTTTAATCCTTGGCTCTCCATCCGAGTCAAACTCTGGACAACTAGTCGCATATAACCACTGTTCATGATACTGCACATGTCCAAGTAGTGCAGATGACCCTGGACAAACTAGAGAGAGGTAGTCAGACAGTACGTATAACTTATAACCTACCGTGGATCCGGTTGCTGCTGAGATCCTGTCGCGGGCTCCATACAAGGCGATGTAAGGTGGACAGGGACAAGTCGTGCACTTGGCATACTCAGTGTATGACACAGCAGTAGCTAAATAAGGTAGAGACGTGAAGCCAAGAAGAAAAATGGAACAGCCAAAATCAGTGATGTTGACAAATCATAAGGAAAGAAAGTGTCAACATATCAGTGAACAAATATTGGAAGCAGAACAAGGATAAGCAGAACATGCAGACGTGGTGTAAGTACAAAGAAAACTAATGTGACAGCTGATGTTGTCACCCTGATCCTGACATAGATCCTGAAATGCATTGTCGTTTCATGAGTTCGAGAGACTAAAAAGAGAAAAGCCTGGACACAGTGCTTGAAATGGTCAGTCAAGAACAACATTAGAGCAACTTACCCTCGCTGTACTTTCCACCGCACGCCACGGCCACTTCTATCATATAGTATTTGATCTTGCCGTGAGTCTCGTCATCTGCTGGAATGGTAACTAGGATATGGCGTGTGGAATCATAGTTTGGTGCAACTGACACAAAGATATGAGGTGGTATCGTAGGCAACATGGCTGTTCCAGTTGGCAACTGCACGGTTGGAGCAGCTGTAGGAAGAAAGAAAAGAACATTCAATTCAACTTTGCAGCAATGGGGGCAGGTGCATCACGTGGGTCACGTGCAACACTACAAGGACACCCATGCCCTTGGGTGATTCTAGTCATAACTCATTCCGGCAGTCAGGAGGATGAGTTAACGCCAAATCAAGCCCGTGAATCAGCCACAACCGCACAACTACACATTGTTTTTCCCCAAGCCTAATAAAGTCTAAACACTGTTATGTCACTGTGTCAACGATTGGCACCATGACACTTAATGTGCACGATTCACTGTAGCCGGTACACCATCACAACTCACCTTGTACATGACTGGTATAACTGATGACGGTGTTGTTCTTGCTTTGCAAACTACCAACATAGGCGATGACCTAAGAAGAGGTGCAAAGTGGTACAGTTTTACACTCGTGCTCAACTATTCTCCACAGCAGCCAAATGTGTATAACACTACCAACTAAGATACCATTGTGAAGACGTAGAAGCCCTTCTAACTTATTCAAATTCCCCTCCACAAGAACACCCAGAGAAAATGCATGTACAAGAACCACAGATAGAAAATTACCTGCACCTTCAAAAGAAAATCTACACATTTGATTCTAAGCTATTCTAAGCTATTCACTGAGCATTCACACTACTAGTACACATACAGAGCAAAAACTGTAAACAAACGAAAACAAACGAAAACATACCTCAAATGTGTAAGAAGTGGAGCCAATCAACTTGGGAAGTACCAGGGAGAATGCCTTGTCCAGTTCAGTACCATCATCCTCATCCACAGGTAGCGAGTCATACAGTGTATCATTGAGAGTGACCTGCAGAAAGTGAATACGTTTGTAGGATGAGAAGGCATGCACTGATAATCTACAGAAGGTACTTTCAAAATCACTATTCAAGTGGAATAAACACATACACACACACACACACACACACACACACACACACACACACACACACAAACACACACACACACACACTCACTCACACACACACACACACACACACACACACACACACACACACACAAACACACACACCACACACACACACACACACACACACACACACACACACACACACACACACACACACACACACACACACACACACACACACACACACACACACACACACACACACACACACAAGCACACAAGCACAAAAAACTAGCACAGCTCCAGACTGCTGTGGATGCCCTAGCTGAATGGGGCCGGAGCTGGAAGACCGCATTCGAGCCGACAAAGTCGCAAGTCTTGACGATTTCGCATCATCGTCAACCCTGGCCGATTCCTCCAGCCACTTTCAATGGGGTGGCCATAGAGGAAGTGGAGGAGCTGAAGTTGCTCGGAGTGCTCTTCGATCGGAGCCTCTCCTTCCGTTCCCACATTCGACAGGTTGCAGTCCGTGGTCACCAACGTCTTGGCTTCATGAGGAAGGCCCTGCCAATTCTCGACAAGGCCAAGTATGCCGTGTACCGTGGCTCCGTCCGCCCAGTACTTGAGTCCTGCCCGCTTTCATGGTTAGGTGCGTCCCAGTCTACCCTGAACCAGCTGGACCAGGTACAGCACCGAGCCCTAAAGCTCATCGGCCCAGGGGCATACCTCCCAAGCCTCACTGTTCGGCGTCAAGTCGCAGCACTCACATGCCTGTACAAGCTGCATTGGATTGACGGTCCCCAATCCTGACCACCATGACACCACCGAGGGCAGTCGCTAACCAGCACCGGCGCTTCACTCGCCACCAGCAAGAGAAGCAGCACCAGCACCAACTAGCACCGACACTGCCCGCCGGAGCCCGTAATAGTGCTCTCCGATCATTCCCCCATGCCACGATCCAAGACTGGAATCGTCTCCCATCTACCCTGCTACGCAATCTTCCCATGCAGAAGGGAATGCAGGCATTCAAGGAAGGCACCTACAAGTCTCTCCGCAGTCGAGACTGGCTCTCAGCCACAGATGCCCTCTGAACCCTCCCTGAACACCCTCTCCGCTTGCACCCTGACCCCCCTTTTTTTACTCTATCACATGTATCATCTTTCCGTTTTCCTTCCTATATAAATGTACTCCCCCTCCCCTCCCTCTGTGCCTACTCCCCTAGTTTTGGGTGCACTGAAGTGTCGCTGAAGCCGAGACCTCAGGTCGGCGGAGATGCTCCAGTTTCACCACCTCTATCATGCAGTATTCTGTTCTCGAGGTTCGTGGTTTCTCGTAAAAAAAAAACAAAAAACACGCATCATTCCTCGGGCCATGCTTACCAGTCGTCCATTCACTGACACTCTCTTTGTTGCCTTGCGAAGAACTTTGTATTCCGTAATGATGCCCTTCAGTATAGATGGAGATGTCCAGGAGACTGTGACATGATCAGGCCGGCCACTAATTGCGGTGGCAGCAGCATTGCTCACTGGAAGTGGATCTGTAAAGGAAGTGGCAGAAAAAACAATAAGCTATGGTATGGCATGTCAATGCGAAAAAGAAAAAAATCAACCCTCCACAATCATTAGTGCCAGAGCTAGTACATGTATTCTTCACTTGAAACACACCGTGATCTATAGCATGCTGAAGCGGTTAGGGTGTCTGCACGCCTAACGATACTCAGAGATTATCATCTACAGTGCTGCAGATATATTTGTTGTAAACACATCCACAATGTGACTGTACATACTTGTTACAGTTGTTGTAAAGCTTCCATTGACTGACGGTCCACGGCCAGCAGCATTAGCAGCTACAATAGAATAGGAGTAGTTGTAATAAGCTTCCAGGCCTCTAACAACTGTTGTAAAGGTGCTGCTAGTTACATTGAAATCTTGCAAGAACCTGGTCAAATTGCGATCGTCAGATGACCAAACAATGATGTGGTAAGCTTGAATGATACCATGATGGAATGTTTCATTCGGGGCATGCCAAGACAGTCGAACAGAATCATGCTGGATCTCCAGAACAACTCCCAACACTCCAGCACCGGGTGCTTCTTCAATTGTAAATATATCGATCGCTGAGGAGACATTGCTGCAACCAATCAAGGTGCAGCTTGACACTGATAGACTGTAAGTTGTATTTGGGTGGAGATTGTCGAAAATCTGACTATAGGAGTCAGCAGAAGTCTCCTCTGGCACGCCAACACGATGAGTACAGCCAGTTTGTGGGTCTTGTCCATCGGTGCCATTTAATGAGTCAGGATGGCGTGGATAATTGGTGGTGACGGAGTCCACGGACTGAACAAGTGAAAGACACAAAAGACGGTTTCTTCACGTGTGTGACAGTTAAAAGGTGCTGGAAGCTATATACATTCACTTACTCAAGCCTAACTTATGCACTCAGAAGGAGTTATTTTACGAAGAAATTAGTTTAGAAGTTGCGACTTTGGCGGTATTAGTGATGAAGTTGGTTGTTCCTACGTGGAACATACGCTTCCTGCCGAACTTGACACTTGACTGACTCACGACTGCCATCCATGTCCTTGTGTGTTCCGGATGGCAGTCGTGAGTCAGTCAAGTGTCCCGTTCTGCAGAAAGCGTCTGTTCCACGTAGGAACAACCAATTTCATATGAAAAGTAGTTGTCTAATATTTGTCCAGGGACATGAAATTACAGTAATACAACCAAGCAAAAGTGTGATACTTTGTATCCTTTGTTGTAAATTATGGTCTATATATGTGGACAGTATGTGTCAATATGCCAGGAACATAAGAATATGTAAGTTACAATTGGCTTAGAAGTACAGACTTACATGACCTGCAGAAGTGAACCGCATTAGTGTGAAGACGTAATGAGTGATGATACCATTACGTTCTGTCACAGCCATCGGTGACCACACAGCTTCAAAATTTCTGGAAGAGATCCCTTGAACCGAGATGATTGGATTGCCAATAGGAACTGCATAAACACACCACATTGCCAAAACAGAACTTGACTCAACACTGAGCACAAAACAAGTAAAAAGTTTCATGTTTGAGGCACTTTCATATCCACTAAATATGGCCTAGAATGAGTCCACCCAGTGGCACTCTACTGGAGGATGATCCAACATGCAAGCACTTTAAAAAGCACACACTAACGTGGTAATTGGTAAAGCCAGCCATACTGGTAGTGGCAGAGCATTGCCTTCATATGCAAAGAGATCTTTACAGTAATGTATACCTGTATTGTCTAGTCATTCTTCAAATATGTAATCTGCTCAATCTGCACATGTAAAACTAATACCGCTATACACAATCAAAAATCAATAACAATGCTACGGTATAAAGTAAAGTACTGCGAAAGTGCCCCACTGCCGTGGTGGTGTTTTGTTGGTGGTGATGTTTTGTATACGTTCATTGTACACATGCTGCAGTCAGTCCATACAAGCGCAACACAAGAATATTGGGTATGTGTTGGGCCAAATGGGACCCTAGGAAAACTCAGGTTCTTACACCACACCACATGACCAGAGTTGCATTTGGCAATATGGTCTTTCCTCGACTGTAAATCAAGGTAGGACGCTGCAGAGAGAAGGGACAGCACTTTGGCAATACGTTACAGTACTTTGGTGACCGACATCTTTCAAGTCTCACTTACCACTTTGACAAGTGACAAAAGACACATTTGAGCTGGTTCCTGGGCCAGTCTGAGTGGAGGAATACACTTCAGCCCAATAGCGCACGAACTCATCCAATGATTCAGTCATGAGTGAAAACGTGTTCACACCCAGATTAAATGTGGTTGAAGAGGAATTCAAAGTATTCGTCAAAATCAAAGTTGTGCGAATGGGGATTCCATGATAGTTGGATGGACGACTCCAAGTAAGGCTGGTGGACCTGGCGGCTACAGACGAGAAGTTCAACTGTTGAACCGGCTCTGGAACTACAGGTACGTGTAACAAAAGCAGATAAATGGGCATCATCATCAGTCTAGTTTCAAAGATCTGGTATTACCTCATATGCAAGTTTTTGCTTGAATGCGTTACGGAGACCATGCCCATAATACAGGGTTATGAGAGAATTTACATGGTACCCATGAAAAGTGCTTAAAGCAGAGGATGGGCTTCTATTTTGTGGCTAAACTCATGGAAAATATTATTAAAATATAAAACATTTGCATGGGTGCTACAAGGATAGAATTCTTTGTTGCCATCTTCAAAAGGTCCGTCAAATAGTCAGGACTACTTGCTTTCGTGGAGTGTGGCTGGTGAACAGTACGTGCTGTGGTCTGCAAGCGTCGTGTGGTCTCGTCGGGTCAAATGAAAAATCTATTACTGCTACAAGGATATATCGGAATTTGGCATTGTCTGCACAATATTCTCGTTAGCAATGTGTGCCTGGCGTGCAAAAGTGCTCAGATATTTCAGTTTGCATTTCAACTAGGGCTGAGAGGTAGGCAACAAAATATATCTCATACCTGATTCCCCAGTAAAGACTGGAATGGAATATTCTGGACCTTCCTGGCCAAGACCATTGTATGCTGCGATTGTCAGAGTATACCTGGTGTAGCTATCGAGCATATTCCCACCTACCGTCTACAATTGAGGAAACGAAAATGTAAAACAAAACAAAATTGGACCGAAATCAGACCATGGAACCAGGTGCAAACCCCCAATTGCAAAAAAATTGAAAATAAAATCAAAAACTGGACCACAGGAAAAATAGCGACATACAAGCCAAAGGTTCTTCATCATTTTGTGAGAGCTTGGACAATCCACTTGACCAAGCAAGGCAGCAATGCCTGTTCATTCTGGCAAAGTAAAATAAAATATACCAACCAACCAAAGGCCATAACCAATAGCAGCATGCCTGTATATTTTGGGAACACCTGTCAGACTAGTGTGTGTGGTAACTTGAGAGGGTCAGGGATTTTGTGCAGGCAATCAGTGAACAGTTTTGGACATCAGACGTGTGCAAGCAATCAGCACTCGGCGTGACATTTGAAATACGCAATTCACTGTTTTAAAGGGAATTCCCTTTTTCCTTCGTCATGTTCATACTTTGCTCTGCACTCGGATGTGTATCAGTATACGGCTTACCGTGTCAACATTCTCTGTGGGCGAAGCTACCGATTTGTTAGCAGTGGCCAGAGTAGTACCTGAGTCTTTAACCCGGAGAATATAACCTCTGATAATACTGTTGCGGTCTACCTCAGCTAGTGGTTCAAATGACACTCTCAAAACAGCACTTGTTTGGGTCACAGTTCCATTAGCTATCACAACATTCTGGACAATGCCAGTTGGTGCTGGATACAAGAGAAACAGCAGGACAGGAAACAGCAAATTGAGCAAGACACATATACAAGTGCATAATATTGTGAATACTGGAATACTAAAAATAACTTCTCATTTCCAGGATACTGACTGACTTAGACAGGTTACAATAGGTTAGCGCTTGCACCCGAATGCTTCAGAGCAGTGTATAGGAAATGGGAGAGCCAAGTGACTACATGCAATGGAAAGTCACAGAGCAAAGCTGCATACAAATTCCGGTTGCTGCTCAGTGACACTGCAAAGGAAAGCGCAAGCCAAAGTCAGCGCAGCAAGAGCTACCCAAGGCGATTTGGGTGCGCATGCGCAGCAGTTGAGTGCACGTGTGAAGCCAGCTCAGTCGCAGCTAGCTAGCATGAGATAGAGAGCAGCGCATCGGTCTTATCGCTAACTTGGGTTAGCCCAAAAGCTAACCCAACATATAAAGGAGCTTACCATCTTCAAAAGTGGTGGCAAAGGCATCAGTGGTCGCCGCAGAACAACCAGCTCGAGTACAGGCCTTCACTACAAATGTGTACCGCTGGAACTTCCGCAAGCTTGATAAATGCAAAGTGCGCTGTGCGTCTTGATCAGATGAACTGGTCACTGCAAATGTTTTAGTGATAGGAATGCTTGCGAGTGGACTGCTGTAAGAAACACGGTACTCAGTAATAATGCCATTTCGATCCAACAAAGCTGGTGGAGAGACAGTGACAATCACTGAAGTGGAGCTAATGACTGCTGCAGTGGCAATCGAAGCAGATTTGGCTGGGCCTGCACAGAGGAGGGAAGAAGTGGTATCGAATAAAGATTAAAATTGTGTAAGGAATGCTCTGTAAACAAACTTGAGAAAATCATATTTTTAGTTGAGTGTACTGAAAAGGTCTAGGGGCAACGCAAGGCAAAATTTCACATCCAAAATCTGACTACAGTCCATTCAGAAAAAGATGGACTTCTAGCTTTGGGCCATAAATGGGTCAAACGTTGAGTTTTTTTAGAATTTTTTTCTGCAATCCCCTACGGAATCCTCTTCCAATTATGTTTCTGAAGTCTATTTCTCCAAAAAAGCAAGCCGTGACAAGAATAGGGTTTCGGCCAGGTTTTGCCCCAAGAGCACTGAATTGAGAAAAACCATCAAAATCCAGGCCGTTTGACCCTGCCTGAAACAGTTCAAACCCCAGTTCAGGTACCCTTTTTGGACCCTTTGTCAAATTTCAAATTTCGCAGCACTGCACTGTGTACGATAAAATCTTGAAAAATCGCCAAATACGGGAGCTCGCCAGAGCCAGGGCCCATCTTTTTGTGAATGGACTGTAGAACCATTTCAAAACTGCAACCCAAGTATGGATTAAGATACAAACCGCACATAAATGTGTCCTTCTTTGGCCACTATTCAAAAGGTGATGAAATGGATTTAGCGGGTTTTGCATTCCAGCTCTTCAATTGTACGTGAATAAATTCAGCTAAGGAGTTTCCTTTATCAGGCTGCTTTGTTTCTCGACATAGTCCTTGTTCATCAGTGACATGCCATGGCCTTCGGACATTTCAAAATGATACAAACATGCATAGATTGTGACCCACAACAATGGCTGGCATTATTGCCAGCAACATTTTGCTGAAGCGAGTGTGGAGCTGAAGCTGGATGGGTTACTGTCGTACAACCTACAGCCAGGACATCACCTCTAAACACGACCGAAGAAAGGGAGTGAAGCCAGGGCCCATCTTTTTATGAATGGACTGTAGTCAAGGTGGGATGCTCTTGAGAGATGGGGCACTCTTGTGGTACTTTACGGTTATCTTTTATACCCTCCGTCTTCCTCCTTCCCAAATGACCAAGGAAAGCAGAAAAACGGGAAGAAGTTATGAAAACACAGAGTACACCCAGTGTTCAAGTCTGATGCTAAAGTAAAATATGCCGTATGTCCTGGTCTGCATGCCTATCAAACTCACTTGATTCTTGAGTGGAGAATTGTATTTGAATAGTGGAGGAGGAGCATTGTAGAGCACCAGCAGCCGATGATGTGCAGGCCGTAGCTGATCCGGAATATGTAGCACTCTCCTCCAGGGTAACAAAGCCGAATGTAGGGGGTACTGCTGTCACCTTTGGTCCGCAATCAGTTGGAAGAAATATCAGCACAAAGACCAAAGTAGAGAGGTTGCAACAGATGTCCGGATCAATAACCATTGAGTGAAACAGCATCAACAATAAAATAGAAGTGACATTGGCCATAAATTGTCCCAAAGAGCAAGGCAGGTGCACTTCCACACTCTTTGCATTCTGCCCGAACACAGTATTATAGTGTTACAGAATCATTGTCATTCCATCGCACTAGAATGCAGAGGTTACCGTGTTTTCAGGAATTAACACCGTATGTAAATTAGTACCAAATGGAAATGAATGCCATGCTTCAAACCTGCAGATTTGTCGCATTCGCCGTACGTTTTTACCACGGCGGGGCATACCACCATGGTATACCGGCATTATTATACTGCTCTGATCATGTCTGTGAACTGACTGTTGAATCTTTACGTGTTAGTGCACACGCGAACACACACACACAGACACACACACGCACATACATGCTTGCATACACACACACACACACACACACACACATACACACACACACACACACACACACACACTCACCTTGCGAGTTATCAGATTTATGGGATCTGAGCTAGCACTGCCAACACCATTTACATGAGTGCGTGGCACTGTAAAGCGGTAATGAGTGATAGGACCATTGGCTTCCAAAAGATCTGGAAGTTGAATGGTCAACATGGCTGAATCTGAAGTTGCTGTTGCCGATGTGACACTTCCACTGGCAGTAGGGGCTGGAAAGAATGCCACAATCACTGTATTAGTAAATTGGCCTTTCAGATGGAATTCACGGCCAAACAGGGATCTGATTGGCATGCACAGCCACTGGACCCACTGGACATACTCATGCGAGCACTAGCATGTACAGATCCAGAGTAAGTACAGGCAATGTGGCCACCACACTGATCACTACACATTGGACATGACATTCGGTACGGGATATGTTTGATGGCATCTTGTCGTGTCAACCTACACGGCATGCACTCTGTGCACGTAGTGTACACGTACACATGGAGGAATCAGCAGGGAAAGCTGATGCTGAAATGTGACCTGCGCTCTTGCCCACTCATAGGGGTCACTTGCTCATGTGATATGCAAACACCCACAACCCCTCCAAAAATGCACACTCGCACAGATTAAAAGCTGGTGGGCTTTGGCTGCGTCAGACGAAGTACGTCAGATTGTGACATAGCTTAGGGGAGTGTTCAAAAATAGCTTCGGGAAATAAAGTCCTCATTTCAAATATAGCAGCATGATTACCATTTGGCAGCATGTTGTCTGTTGACTGTCACTACATAGATGCAAAATGATTAAGAACACCCCACCCTAAACTTGGTTTTACTGTTATATTGTACATCCCTTCTGTTGCAGTACAAGAGGCAGAAATTGAACAGTAATGTGTTGGAGGATGCCACTTACCATCAGTCAAAGTAGTAAACTTTGGAGCCAGCAACTGATCACTGCATCCACCAACACTACATGCCTGTATGGCGACACTGTAGGTGCTGCTGGGCTCCAATGACCCGGAAGAAGAAGAAGCACAGTTTTCTCCAGTTGAAGGACTTGCAATTGTCAGCTGGGAAAAGCGAGAAAACGACAATGATTCAAACAATATACCTTGTTCTGGCGTAATGCGCCAAATTAGTGCAGAGAGGGTGAAAATAGGCAAGTCCGGTTTGTTAAAGTCATCGACGAGTAGTCATCGGTTTTCGATTTCATTGACAGACAGGAGTTGACATATCAGGATATCAGGAATTCCTGGTGTTATATATAATAATACACAAGTTCTACAAGTGCACATTTCCTCATTAGGACAGGTGCTAATTAAATCTGACTAAAATCATTTTTGAAATACAAAATTTAATAAAGCACCAAAATACTGAATATCGTCGACAATCATAATCGCTGTACCCAGCCAGTTTGAAGACCTAATCACATAATGGTTTCTTTGCTGCAAAACCTGTCAGTATTGTGAGATAGTAGATGGTGCTGGTGAAGCAGTCCGACATGAGATAGTGTGAGAAACTTACCATGACAGGTGTCGCAGCTTGCTTAACATTCTGCACCCTCTCAAGAGTGTAAAACACAAGGTAAGAGGTTACAATGCTATGCCGCTGGGATTGTAGCGGAGGTGAGAAGCAAACCATGAAGCTCGTGGATGTAACGGTACGAATTGTAGGTGTTCCACTAAATGCAGATTCTGGTCCTGTAGACAAAAACAGAAAAGTTTGATTCCCAGATGAGGTGGCTATTCTTGAAACCAGGCCTAAAAGGTGTGACAGCAATGTATTGGCATCACTACTCTAGAACACCACAATTTGAGCAGTACTAAAAGTGCAGCTTGCATCTTCTTACTCTATAATACGTATACACAAGAGAGAGATTGGAAGCTGTGTTGCAACTCCGAGTTTCACGTATTCACGATCATCAGATAACTCCAAAACCGGCAGCCTGAACATAAGGGGGAGCAAGGTGAGAAATACTGAGGGGAGCGTGCTACTTGATTACGTGAATACGTATACATGTATATCCCATGGGACAGGAACAGAACTGCAGTAAATATGAAGTATGCTTGTTGCATAGCATTCAGGGATTACAGTGCAAACTTGTTGACTTCACTAGTCGTCTACTTCAGTACAATCGTATGCCATATCAATACATCAAACATAGCAGATGCAATTAACGATTTGCAGCAATCAACTGCACAACATATATATTCCATGTTTGAAGTACATGTACCATAAAGTACAGCGAGAGCGCCCCACCATCTCATCCTTCCGTGGTCATCTTGTGGAGGTGGTGTCCTTTTCGTAGGTCATACGATGCGGACTGTGTACACACATTGCACGTTGTGCAGTCAATCAGTACTCAGTTTACCTTCTAGCGGATGCGAGCTCCACACAAGAACATATCAAGTGTGACCTCAGTACACCAAGGTTCTCAAACCGTACAAACTGTGTAGCACTCTGCCATACAATTGTCTTTCCCTTGGCTGTAAAATCAAGGTGGGCGCTCTCGCGGTACTTTATGGTATGTACATAGAACAGAGTCTGTGAAGTGTACAGGATAGAGAACATACGTGTCATTGCGGTTGTTGTTCCGAACTTTTCACTGAGCTGGCTTTGATGTTGATGGCTACTGTTCAGAGAAGAACTACTGTAAACACGAGACTGAATATAATACTGGATATTCGGTCTCAGGTTGGTGAACACTACTGTGGCGTTAGGCGCTGTCTCCCCAATGGCATGGCCAGAAACGGTGGCATTGAGCTGAGTAGATGATGTTTCACCAAATGGAGTAAGGATGGCTTCATATGCAGTCACAAGACTGTTGAGCTACAATAAGAAAGAGAATTACACATGCGTTTTACATACGCAAACATGCACAAACATACATTCAATACTCATGATGTCATAATCACCTAAAATGAAGTGGTGTAGACCCGTTCACCCAAGAATCCTGAGATAAAGGGTATGGCAAAACTTGATTTTTCACTATTATGGGCTATGTGTGCAGCAATGCAGCAATAAGACTCCAAAGAATGAAATGGTGGACATCACACAACTGCATTGTAAATAAAAGGGGGTTTGTCAACTGACAACCGCTCTATTTAGTTGCAATTCACTCTTGGCGCATGTGCTGGATGAAAATTCTTTTATCAGTAATGTCGAAAATAATCGGCGTTTCGGGCCAGTCACCCATTGTCAGAAGGGGCGAACCTGGACCTACCATGGCATATGTCGAGTGCGTCAATTCGTGTTCGAGAATTAGAAATTCCGCCCTCTCTTCAGAATTGACAATTCTGACGACGGAATTTGTGTAATCGAACGGTGCATCTACCATAACTAATTCTAGAATTGACCCAAATGTGTGTAATTGAACGCGTCCAATGTAGTATGATTTAGGCAAAGCGGAATAATACATACAATGGAATGCACCAATCAAAATGCGACAACTTACCTTCAAGATGGGAATGGAGGCTCCAACAAAAGTCACTGTGAGAGTTGATGTGAAGGTGATGTTGTTGCTCAACGAAGAAAAGGTAACATCAGGGGCACTGTCCGCAGCTATAAAAGCAAAGACAATAAAAATTATCACAAATCCCGTTTGAACCTTTCCCTCAAACTAATGAACAAATCCCATAACTGGTACTTTAAGTGGCGAGGCTTGCTGCAGCTTCATACCAATAAAAGTGGTGCAGAGCAGTCCTGCTCTTTCCAGACTACACTGCAATCAGCCAACTCCGTTTCTTAATACAGTGTCCATAAAAGTCTGTAAATAAGTACCTGCCCAAAATAAAATAAATATTCTCTTCATCCTTTCGACTCCGTCTGTTGAAGTCAATAATAATAAACAATAACATTATACATGTACTGCCTGGAATAAGTACCGGCACGGTTCGCACATCCAGCGTGTCGCATGTACAGGTATATGTGCATGCTAAGGCATGTCGCATCTGGATAGATTCTACTGCACCAGGGACGTCCGGTAAAGACAGGTTTTACTGGACTATAACTGCTCCTTTGTGGGTTTGCAAAACCACTGTAAATCTGATGAGGCGGTTTGCCGAAACATTACTAATGTAACCGCACAAAGAAACAGAGTTGGATGATTGCAGTGTAATTGCGAAAGAGCAGTTCTGCTCTGTATGAATTTCATTTGGTAATTTAAGAGCCCATACTAGTAAACCATGGACAGGTGATATGTGGCAAAATTAATTATGGTTACTCCTAACAACTCTCTTGTTTACACGCTCATACTACAATGCAAACTGCTGGAATGCTGGCAGTTTCAGGGTTTCAGGTTACCATAAAACAACATCTGGCATTCATAGCGAGGCCAGGACCTTGAAAATCAAGTATATTACAAAAATCAAGTATATTACTAATGGAATCCATTCCCCGTTACAAAAGACTCACAGGATCTAACAATCAAAGCTGTGGATGTTTATAGAATTACAATACCTTTGGAGTGAGTTGTGATATTGCGTGATGTTCCTGCACTGCATACAGATGCATCACTCTTGAGACAAGACGCCACTGTGAAAGTAAACACTGAATGTTCCTCGAGACTGGAAACAGTAGCCATGGCTGAATCACCACCCTATGAAATGCAAACAAACGTGCTTTCAGTTTGAATCAGGAAAGGTTCTCAGAAAGTGGAGGATATGAAGAAAGCAACAAAACTAATAAACTAGGTCATTTATTAGATTCTGAGCCGTGAAAGAATTCACACATTAAAAAAATCACAGATAGCCACAACAAACTTGCAAAATGCTGGTAAACCATTTGCACGCACAATGAGCATAAAAAAGTAGCTGCAAACAATCTGTTGATAACATTTGCCGATGGAAACAGATCCTTTGTTGAAAGCGGCGAGGTCGAAGGAACCTCGGTGAGAGACTCCTTTGCCCAAGTGTACATGTGTGCACACACTGCTGTGCCAGTTTTGGCAAACGCTGAGGAAGACAGGAGAATATTCCGTACATAGCCAATTGAAATGGATGTCCAACGCCATCTCTTACCTGCAGGATAGCAAATGTAGTGCCGGCCGCATTTTCAGTACGCGGGACAATTTGTTGATAAGAGATAGAAAATCTTCCAATTTCTCCATTGCGCAAGACAAGCAAGGGCTGTGCAATGGTAAGAACAACGTTGTTCACACCAGCCACAAGGCCGAGGGACGAGAAGTCAGATGCAGGTACTGTACAGGAGAGAACAAACGTATGAAACCCAATTAATGTCAAGGAACACATATATTCGCTGCAGCAAATTCCACCTCGAAAACACTCTTGGAAAGGAGGACAGCACAAAATTCTTTGAATGCATCAAAACTTTTCATGACAGTGTACATACCTGAATCTAAGGTAGACAGAGAAAGCACTTCACTGAAATCTCCGACCACTGGGTTAGCATTCACAGCTTGAACGGCAATGGAATATTTAGAGCCGGCTGACAATGCACTCAACGAATACTGCTGAAAAACTTGAGCATCTGTAACTGGAATTGAATGAACGGCGGTAGTCTGTGGAACTGATACTCCACTTAGATGTGTTCTGTTCACAGATAATCTGCACATTGACAAAAATTGTATGGACAATTTATGAATCCATCTACCCTTCCACATGCCCTCCGATGTATTTCTTCATCATTTCCACCGGATCAATGCCATTCCTCATTATTTCCCATCATTATTAAGCAAATTTTGCAGAATTCTTCGCACTATGTAGGAATTTATTAGTAAATCTGTCTAGGGAGGACGCATAATACTCACACCCGCGAATAAAAGTAGAATATAGCAACAAAAGCAGCAATAGTAGCAGTACAAATAGCAACAGATTAGATTTTGGCTTAACAATTCCTCCATGAACACTAATATTGAAAAGAGTAGCAGCAGCTTCCCAAGCTGTGTGCTCACTACGCTGATTGCAGAGAATTACACACATAGAAGACGAAAGATCACTGGAAATTAGGCGCAACTGAGTGGGTTTCAATTACTTATTTCGAGGGCTAAGAATGGAATTATGACCATGACTTCTCTCTTCCACTGCGCTGCTTCATTTTCATTTACAATATGGCGGCATTTGTACTCGCATGGCAGGTAAAACTAATGATTACAGGAAGGTTGAAGAAAGTGTTGAATAGTCTCTGCTGGAAGGATGAGTACACTATAGCTTAGTGGTAGAGCATCGCTAGCCTAGAGTGAAGTTCCCTGGTTTGAGTCCTGGTGGTGATGGTTTGCTTCCATTTCCCTTTTTACTCTCTCTCTCTCTCTCTCTCTCTCTCTCTCTCTCTCTCTCTCTCTCTCTCTCTCTCTCTCTAATGAATATGGCCAAATGGAATGGCTTCTTGAGAAACAGATCGAGCATGAGCTAGCTCTCTGTGTGTCTGTCTCTTTATATGTCTGTGTCTGGAGGAAAGAAGCAGCGTGTACGAGAGCAACTCTGACCTGTAATGAGTGATCTTGCCATTTTGCATGGTATTGCTCAATGGAGAAATAGTAATAGTGGCACTTGTTGCTGTGGGTGTGCCAGTTGGTTTGAGGAGTTTTCCAGGTTCTGCAGAGTAAGGAAGAAGAGGATTGAAAAAAAAGCTTTTACGAACTAAGACCAAACTGCTTTCTTATAATCCTATGGCTAGTTCAGCAATACCATCCTTGTGTTATGGCATTCGTCATTCTGCCACAGCATACATACCAGCACCCATGAGCACACACATGTACTCTTACAGTCATGTACTACTGCAGTGCATCCGCTTGAGTGCTACCACATGATGCGTACCCATCATGCATATAAAAAAAGTGGCGAATTCATTTTGAAATAGTGGGGGAGGGCACAGCGTCCCGCCGTGTCGCTTTGGCCAGAACCCTGTGGATGGTGAGACTGAAGATGGATAGTGAGTTGTGAAACAAGTATCACAAGTTACTGACTCGTTACTGACTTGTCAGTCGGGCCAACATGACTCTTCAATGTTCGAGGAGTCCATCTCCAGGTGCAATCATGGGGTATTCACTGCTTGGGACAGTTCCTTATACTTGTACATTGTTTGGAAGCTTCGGTCAAGAAGAGCAAATAGAAGCATTCAGCCCGGTAAATATGCACTGCGCCATGATATCGCATGTAGTATCGACATGACTGGGCCTTACTATCTGTAATGTAGGAAATCCCAGTGCTTTCTTGCAATTAGTGTTTTACTACAGTGCTGCTCAACGAAAATTGTTACGAAATCCAGTTCCGCGAGTCAAGTCTACACCATGTACCTGTTTACATCCCAGTGTTTGGGTTGATCTTGAGAAACGGGAGGTACCATGATCAAGTCCTGCTTGGAAACGGGTTTCAATGATGCTACGACACAAAGGGAATTTTGAACTTGTTATCTGGTAAAAGGATAATATGGATGCTACAAATGGGATTTCGGCCTTTGGTCTCTGGTTGGTGGATCTGGCCTATCCTTCCCCATCATCCAGGAGCTGCATCTGATGCGTGATCATGGTGTGGTGGCGTTCCAAGGTGGTTCTTGAATTGCCCAACAGCTGTATCTATTTATTTATTTTACTTTTTACACTAAAGTGGCAGAGTTATGCTTCATTTCCTTCTTTAGTACAAAGGTGATGTTTGATGTTGAGTGTAATCTAGCCGTTAAATATTCAATCTTCGCTGACTAAAATAGCCTATCTGAAGGAATTTTTGAAATACTTGCCGAAATCTCGTCCTGCTGATGATATGCTGTGGTGGTCAAAGTAGTAGCAAAGTACTGTCGTGGACATGGAAATCCAGTCGAATTACCAGGGCCGGTGCCCTCAGTGCGTACAGAACGTTGCATGCAGTGCACATGTTGATCCGATGTGACCAGTGAGCTGCAGCGCATCATAAATGAATGTGTGTACCGTATGCGTACCCACGGCTGCATCACCATGGCCCTGGGGCTGCTAGACGTGCGACCGGATTTCCATGTCCATGAGAGTAGCTGCTAAGTTCATTGAAATCGACCGATTCACAAGTAACATAGGTGGAACATGGTGTAGAACTTACTGGAAGTAGCTGTCTTGATAGTAAGGGCTGGGCTACTAGCACCAGACATGCCATTCTGAGCAGAAACTGTGATATTGTAGGCAGAGGCAGGTGTCAGTGAAGTCAAAGTAGCCACAACAGCAGAGTTTTGTGAGGATACTACAACCGTTTGAGTAGTGGCACTATCAGACACTGGGTAGGTACTAACAGATGTCCTCAAAATTGAAATTCTGAACAAATGAGGGGAAAAAGAGTGCATGACATTAATCAATAATGCAGATCGTTCAAGGTAAACCCACGTCACATTGAATACTTAGTAGTTCCGATGATTGAGGCACATCGTTTACAAAAGCATTCCGACCACAATGGAAGTATTGCTCTGCAAAGACACAGAATGTTGTATAAACAGGCAGACTCGCAGCCATGCATCAAGATGACACACTGCATTCATTGTTCTTCTGAGGACAAAACAAAATCACTACGACTCTCACCGGTATTCAGTGATGCGACCATTGCGGAGTGACAGTGCCAATGGCGAGATTGAAATTCCAGCATTCATTGAAGAGACTGAGATGACGCTAGGAGCTGAAAGTTGTCCAGGTGCTAAAGATTATGGAAAAATGTACATAGGGATTTGATAGACAATCGAATCGTCAGCTTTAAGTGATGAGGAAGACAAAGCAGGATGGATTGGATATTATTTGCCATGATTGTAGAAGTAGTGCACAGGCCAACATAGCAGACTTGCCCCTGTATCCACATGAATGCATGCATGCATGCATGTTTGCATGAATTCACCCACTCAACATACACACAGTTAATGCATGCATACCTGCATTGCTGGTGGTGGCATTATCTGAAGTGCTGAACAGTCCTGCTAGGGTGTTGAAAGCACGGACACGTATTTGGTACTTTGTAGCAGCAGTAAGGCCGCTGACAACATGATTCCCACTGCCTGTGACATTGATACTTGTCACCACTGGAGTAACGGCTTCCCCGCTTTGTTCTACAGTTGAATATTCAATGCTACAATCATACAGAAAAAGACACAAACCTTATAGATTTTGCACGTAGATGCTTGCAACCGAAAATTACCAAACATTTGGTGAATGCACTTTTAATAATTATTTGTAGTGACATATGCAGAAAAGAGACCATATCTTGCAGTTGGGGTACCCTGGTAAAGATGCAAAGCCACTAAATGTTTCCACACTCCCTGTCAACTGCTGCTGAAGATCATTCTTGGACCTACCAAGCATCCCGATTTTTTCGGGAGTATCCCGCACTTTTGGATGAGCTCCCGCGATCCCGAAAATCACTGTCACACGAAATAAGTCTTGATATTGTTCCTGGAGCACTTCAAGTGACTTGTCTAGTTGTCCTTGTTGATTCTGTACCGCCTTAGCTGTAGTACCAGTGGATTCTCTAGTACTCTTCCATGAACAGTCCCCGACAACCTCTTTTGAGTCTTGAACATGTGTAAAATGTGATGTACATGTACATGTATATCATTACCCGATCAACTACAATTGCTACCGACAATGTCACAAAATGTTCAGGGGCGTAGCACCCGCTACGACTGGCCGTACCACTTTTTGAAAAGTGTGGTCCGTCCGGAACGTGCAAAACCGTAATAACAAATATCAGGATCCATCAATGCATATGCGCATCAGGCTTTGACCTTTTCCTACTGTAGACTCGTATTCGTAGAGCTGCCATGCATCTGCAGTCGTACTGAGTACTAGTTGTACTCGACTCGACTACGCACTGAACAGTCCCAGAACGCAGGATTTCGTGTCTTTTTTACAAAAAATTTCCCGCGGGAGGTCCCCTGGACCCTCCTGCAACACGGCCTTCAGCCGCACGCCGACCTTTGGTCGTACCACTTCCCAAACCCTTCCTACGCCCCTCATGTTAGTGTCATCATATAAAAAGTAAGTTGAAAAAAGGAATTTCGGAAAAAATATGGCATATCCCGAAAAATCCCCGGAATTTGCCGTGGTGATCCAAAAAAGCACTCTCAGTACTTGGCAGGTATGAGAAAGGCGAATCTGTTCCTTTCTTTTTCCAGTCGGTGAGCAGAACTTGTGCAGCTGAGCACATTGCATAGCATACCTGTCAACAATATCAGGAGCGAGGCCAATTATAGCTATGAACTATCTGTTTACTCAACACAACACACCTGTATTGTTGAATTACTCCACGTTTCCGATCAGCTGTAAGTGCAGCAATCTGGACAATCAACTGTGTGGCACTGTTAACAGTCACTACCGGAGCAGTTGGCGCCAAGGGAGCTGGGAAAAATGAGAATTGCAAAGAGAACACAATATTAAATTAACAGCAGGCTGATGACAAACACAATGGAATCAGAAAGGCATAGTGGAGTCACTGGGATTCTCATTAAGATGGTTAGTGGTGAGCTTTTAGAAATATATTCAAACAAATGAAATTTACCTTCTTCTAATGTTGTGCTAGTTACTCCATTACTTGGAAGGCTCAAGCCACGATTATTCCGAGCAGATACTGTGATTGTGTACTGCGATGCTGGGAAGAGACCACCAATCCTGAACACCACTGGATTGAGCCATTGTCTGGACTGCAGGACCAGTGTTCTTAATTCAGCAGCCACTAACGGTACACCAAGTCCAAGGTATTGTGTCCGTTGAATACTTATCCTGTAAGCAAAATTTAATTTCAAGAGAATGCCCATTAGTTCGTGCATTCCTTCAAAAGCACACAGGGTGATTTCCAATCGCAAAACGTATGGTAAAATTCACCTCAAACTAGAGATCTGAACAACATGCATACCGCAAAATTCAAGGTGGGCAGCTAGCCAATACAAGCGAAGCAGCCAACATCATAGGTATGTAGCAACTTACTGGTAAAGACTCAAACTTTCATCACCATTGATGCTGTTGGCCATGGCACCGGGAATTTGAATTTCAATGCTTCGGCTTGCAGTGGTGCTTATGGTAGCAGGTTGCAGTTTATCCGGAACTAAAGAAAAAGACAGGCATTGGAAAGGCATGGAGACTAGGTCTTTCACACTAAAAAAATTCAACTCAGATACTGAGCCAATAATATTCCAGGGGAACTCACTTAGTACATACCTGGGTAGGAAGTACACCTGCTTCGTACAATCCTTTTTTGTCGCACAGATTTTCCTACCATAAGCGCCGTAATGGCAGCGGACCGACAGGCATGGCGTGGAGCCCGCCCCACCTAACAGGACTGACCAGACATGTTGTATGCATATTCTATTTTATTTTATACTTTGGATGAAGTTTTCCATTAGTCATATTGGTGTTGTTGCTAACGGCTTTTGTTGACGTCACTTCTGTCATTTCATTGTATCGTATTACTCTTCAGACATCAATCCTGAATGGCATAAGCGAAAGTGGCACCCCCGCCACCTACGCGGACATGCTTTTAATAATAATAATAATAATAATAATAATAATAATAAGCGCCGTACTCTGTTAAAACATACAACTTGTGTATGACAGACTTTTCAGCACGTCCCAATAGAGCTAGTCTCGCATTCTACGTACTTTTTGGTGCTTTCATACCTCTTTACACATTATCTTCGCTTTATGATCACACTTTTTACCGATACATTTCAGTGCCCCAGAACGGTTTATAGCGGCTCAGAATGAGTTGAGGAGTCACTGAACATCAAAAATATCCCAAGTCAAAAAAAGTAGAAGTCATCCGTTGTCGTCAGCCTACGAAGCGCTTGTTGTCAGGTAGTCCTTTGCTACTTCCAGAAGCACAACTATTTCATATCGACACTTTCCACGTGTTCACCTCACTCAGGTGTACGATCGGCCGTGTTTCTAACCAGCCAAAACTGATTCGTTGTGAGCAGCTCTGCTACCAATGTGCCAGTGGTGACTATAATATTTTAGAATGAGGTCTGTCTCGTTGTCCAGGAAATGACCAATCAGCAACATCCTTGATTGATAAAAGCAAGCGTCCATAAACAAGAGTATGCAGCTGTAATCTCTTTTCTATGGGTCAGGCGTGCGGCGCACTGCCTTCATTACATCATTCAGCTGCAGTTCGTGCACTGCGGAAAATCAAACACTGCACTTTCCCTCTGGTTTGAAATGAACTTTTGTACGGAACTGGAGTTCACGCCACAAAATTTAGATATCGCATAGGTACTGGAACGAATCAAGCAAAAACGGATGGGCTTGCACGAGAAATTGTGGGTTTGAGTGCATGCTTTCAGAGCGTGATGAAGGCAAGTTACGTAATGAAGGCAGCGCCGCACACTGACCCATAACCACAGTGGCAAACTCTTGGTAACGCACGCTAGATAAAAGCAAGAGTACATGAAAACCAGAGTGTGCAGCTTGGGGCCTTTTCTGCTATGGGTGTCTGTCACGGCGAAATTCCGTGATTACATCATATTTGGCCCAGATCTGAGGCGGGAAATGGCGTAGTGCGTACAACTGAGCTGCAGTTGTGCAGAGAGAGACCGGCTTGAATCCTGCTTGTACGCACTACATCACTAAAATGATGTAATCACGGAATTTCGCCGTGACAGCAACCCATCCGAGCTGCACACTCTGGTTTTCATGTACTCTTGATAAAAGTATGTGCTGTCCGTAAAGGGTTAAGGTAGGACCAAAGAGGGGAAGGTACAAAAACCATGGCTTCCACGAGTTGGAATTCTTCGCATCCATAGGAACACTACCACCATCAAGCATCAAGGATTCTACTTTAGTAAAATCTTTTGAAATCATTGTGTAACAAGACAGATAATTATATCAAGAGCTAGTACCATAAAGTACTGTTGATCCCCCCCCCCCCCCTCCATGTCGCTTCCCAGTTGTTTTTTTGGCAGGGGACGGGAGTGAGATCAAGTACGTCAAGTGCAGTACGATGTACAATGCGGAAGATCACGCTGGGCATGCTGGATTGTGCACATTTTCATCCTGCACTGGCAAGTATTGTGAACAGCAGTGCATGCATCGGTTCAACACAAGTTCTCATTGTGTACGCCGAAGTTGTTTTACAGGCCGAAATTTCAACAGTACTTTACGATAAGCACCATAGAGTAATAACATGGCATGTATCAAAATACACACATGCACATCTACACATATTCTATAACCACATGAAGCAAAGAAGCCACGGGAATTTTGATGAGGCCTTTCGTACCATTTGAAATGGGGATATGAGCAGCAGCCCATATATCTAGCTTTTGGGCGGTCAGGACAGTGACAAAATTGCACCTACTCAAGTAAAAGAGTGCAAGTGGCACCAACTACATGGTGAAACCACCAATACAGAGCAGGATACAACAACAATGGGGACTACACTATTACATGTACAATGTCAAAACAGAGACAACCCTCGCATGTACTTCTTCTGCATACACAGTTCAGATTTCAGCAGGGCAATATACACTACATACTCTATTCCAGAAACAGTTGCGAATCGCTTACCACTACAAGCAGGACGTTGGTCATCAGTGGGGCATTGGCAAGCAAAAGAGCCAGCTGTGTTACTACATGTCCCTGATGCACATAGGGACGGGGACTGGGAGCATTCATCGATATCTATACAAGTACACAAAGAGCAACAGGTTTGCCACAAGACAAGAACATCTGCCCATGCTGCTGAACCCATGGACTTCCTTTGTGAACAGCCTCTGAATAATATCTATATCAAAAGATATCACCAGTGCTCATAGAAAGAAAAGAGTCCAAGAGTAACATCAAGGGATAGAACTGTACTTCACAATAGAACGAATTAACGTCCCGTATATTCCACTGATGATCGGAAAAAGATTCTACCAATTCTAGAAGATAACCCCTACACGTAGAGTTCGAACAAGTGTCATCTTGCGTGGTGATGTCAGCGGCTTTCAGACTCTTTATAGCCCTGACTAAAGTAAGACTAGGTGCTAAAGCCGCATAGAACTACTAGACGTACCTGAGCAGGGTGATCCAGTGTAACCAGCCTTACAAGTACATGTGAATCCCTTTCCACGTAGCAAATTGGTGCAGGTCTCAGTTGATGTGCAGTTGTGAACTTTTTGGCACTCATCCACATCTGGGCACATCATGAAAAAAACCAAAGATATGAGCACGTGAGTTTACCCAGGCTCGTATCAAGTCGCAGTGTCGAGGAAAGTGAACTCACGTTTTACTGAAACACAACTAGTTAGTACAGTTCACTCTAGGTATACTGAACCATGATGGGCAGAAGAATCAGTTCTTTATAGCTGAGAACATAAATGCCCACAAGGTATTCTGGCTTGTAGCCTGTGGCTGCGTCAGTGCAATAGATTCACATGATCCCCTACAAGATTCGCTATAAACTAAAACAGTTGGCTACAAATTAATGATCAATTTGTATGAGTTCAAGCACGGACATGGAAACTGGCTTTCTATATCATAATTCGTGCGCGTTTGTTGTAAATAGAGTCAGCTGTACATGTATATTTTGCCAAAGTACCCTCAACACCTTCATCGTTCTGCTGAGGAGCCACAAATCCATGCTGCATCCTTACCGACACATCCTGTTCCATCTCCGTTGAGTTCAAAGCCAGCACCGCACACACACTGATAGGAGCTAACTGTGTTTATACATACACTGTTGATAATGCCGACACACACTCCAGTTTGTAAACATTCGTCCACATCTAATCCAAGGGAGAAACAAGGAAGATGAATGCACCTAAGCTACAGGCTTACATAGTATTCCAGTATTATAGATTCATACCAATACCTATACAGCCTATACCTATCTATGCCTATACAGCCCCACATTCACACACAGCTTTTCATACAGCGCTACAAGACCCACTCTCTCCTGGCATATATACCGGCATGGCCAGTATCATCCTCGTGTGCCCTGATGATTGCGAAAGTGACAAATTAGCCTTGCTTGCCCTTGTTGTTCTGTGTATTATGCTCTGCCTCTGCAGTGTTGAGCACTGTCAGCACACTGGGTGCATCCTCCGGTAGATTCATACCAATAAAACAATAATGTACAAAAACGATTTCTAATGGCTAAAAGGAACTGCAAATAACGCCATCATGATGGGATGCCGAACCTGCAGGAGAGATCAATGTTTAAAAACAAACTTCAAATTCAAAAATCTGGGTTTGAGATCTGTTCACAATGTTTACAACTATACATGGGAGACATTTGGGTACCAGTTTAACTTCTTTGTTCATTTCCACAGGGCTTTCCTACACACAGCATGTGGTGACAGGAATGTGTCGTGGGATTGAAGACGTCATCACTTAATGCATGTGCAGACAACTAACTGACTTCAACTCCCAACTCTTCTCACCTTGACATGGACTAGCAGAGGTTCCACCACCTGCATATCCAGATAAACAACCACACTGATAGCTTCCACTGGTATCCGAGCAAGTTGAAAATGGTGAAGTGCAGGGACTGACTGAAAGGCTACATTCATCGATATCTAACATGAATAATCAAACATAAACAAACATAGATATTAGCATATGCACCTAGTACTCTATACTGAGAGGCCGGGCCAATAGTTCCTTGAATATATTAATTTATTAACAAGAAAACAGCACAATCAGGGGCCCCACAGCAGGGAGAGGAGAAACAATATTAATGTCATTGCTTATCCAGTAAGAAATATTTATAAAATAGAAGAAAAACACATGGGAACGAGTTATGAATCAGTCTTGTGCCCTGTTATCGCACATTCTGACTGCTTATTATCTTGTTACAGTCGTGGATACCGGTAGTTGCTTCATTGCTTATGCCATTATTTTAATGAAACTTACTTGTACATGTGGTTACACCATCACCAGCAAAGCCACTGCCACACGCACAGGTATAAGAACCCATGGTGTCAGAGCAAACTGCATTAGATGCAGTACACTTGTGAACACCAGTGGTGCATTCATCCTGATCTGAAACAGAAGACATTTAGATCCTGATTTAACAATGTTTTCAAGAGCACGGTGGCTTGGCACCGGCGGTAACGCGAATGTGCGGACTTACTTTTTACATAAATGCATAGCTATGATACAAAATACATCCTTATAGAAAAGCCCAGTTTAGTGCAGCACAGCAAGCCAGGTGAATGTGTACCCAGTCATTGCACACTTATGATGATTACTTACTAGTGCAACCTGATGGTCCTCGGCCATTCCCATTGTATCCAAGTGGGCATGTGCAGACAAAAGATCCCAAGGTATTATTACATGTTGCTGCAACTGCACAATCAGCTGTTCCTTCTGTGCATTCATCTCGGTCTGAACACAAGAACATTTTAAAGGATGTTTCTGTCATACAGTGTGAGCTTCCGAAGTTATGTGCATCAGAAGTCACAATGGTACTATTTATTCAGAAAGCAGAGAAGCAAGACTTTGCACAAACTTGATCTATAGGCCATACAATGAGTAGTTGTTCTTTACTGCTATACATTCTACTTGGTCCGCCAAGTTAAAATTGGCGCTTATCTTCGCCCTTCATTTTTCGTTATTCTGCCTGTCTGATACGATTGACCATTGCATCCAACAAAAGGACAGCACAAGCCATCACAGAAGTTGCGATCGGCTCGTTTTAGACGTTTGACTTGAGCTGCCAGTGACGGACATTTCCGTCCACACAAGACGATTTCCAGTCCGTAAAAGAAGTCTGAATGTTCCCACTCCAGGGCGATGGAGACTAGTTTCTGCCTACTTGTACAGTTGCCTGATGCCAGTGATGGTAAAGATTGTTTACCGCAGGGAGGTGTAGAAAAATTGCTTCTGGAGCTTGAATTTGAGTGCTGCCACAGTACAGCGCCTAGTGAAGAGTTAACGCCAGAAAATTGCTGAGAAGAAACTGCAGCTCATGCCAGCACCAATATCTCCAGAATGAGAGACTAATCCGGCTGACGCACTCTGAAGCTCACAGAGGACCTGGCAAAGGAGCTGATCTAAATAAACAGCGAGTCCTGGGGATTCGCTCGTGCAAAATACCTTTCGGAAAGCTTGCAGAAAAGAACTCCTCCTGCTCCAGAGAGTTCGTGCGACACTGCACTGGTACGTGGTGCAAGGCGTTAGGTGCAGCACATGCAGGTGCTCCATCACACGGAAGCTATCCTTGCGCTGCAAGCACCAGCGGTTCTCTTGGTCGCTGATCAGTAGGTACAAGTACGACAAGCGCAGAAGGCGATTTGAAAAAGAATTTCAGTGATGCGCCGTTGCCTTTTTACCTCAAACAAAGGCAGTATGGCGACGACGCCACACCAGTAATCTCACTCAGCTTCTGAGCTGCTAGGTGACAGGCACGGCAGGTAACTGCCTTTGAGCATGATTCGAGACGAGGAAAAGTCGAACCAGCTGCTGTATGACGTAGGCGCTGACCGGTGGAATGCACTGCCACCTGCTTACCGCCTTTCTAATTCACCTGCTGAATTTCGATCATCCATCAAGACGTTCTTAGGGTGCTCTGTAAGAAAGCGATGACACCTGTTGGGAATTCCCTAGTAAAATAAGAATACAAATAAATAAATAAATGACATGTGCAGCAGCCGTCCGGATAGAATGTGTTGAGCTCCATATTCCAGCGAAGATATTGGCGAAAAGGACGTCTAACCTGCTTGGATATTCGGCAGCGTTGCTTGCTGACATGTCAATCATCATGTACATAGTGTTTTCTGGTCGTGCCATGCTTCAAATATTTGTATTTTCTTCCTGAGACAAATGTGAAAATGAGCGCCAATTTTAACTTGGCGGACCAATTAACACTATTGAGATGCCTTTTGTTGGTGAATTTGTTTGTTTTCTTTTTTTTTTTGTTGGCTCTTCTGCCTGGATTTCATTGACAGATGCGTTAAGCCAATGGATCCTTCCATGAGTGACAGGCGAACTGTAAAGGGTTAGTCCCAGCAGCAGTCAAAAGGTTAAGTGGATTAATGATCTTACCAACAGAAAACACAACTTGACCAGATGTACTGCCACGGTCATTAGTTGCCGTGCATGTGTAGTTGCCATCAGGGATTATCCTTTCACCGTTTGAAGCAATTGCAAAGGAGGATGTGAAGTTCAATATACCTTCAGTTATATCAGAGGAAAGCTGCAAATAGTGCACACATAAAACAAATCCGCAGTGCAGTGTCAAATGAATATCCTACAGCAGATACAGTGAAACCAAGAGCATAACCGTAGTGTGCAGTGTCACATGTGGGTTCAGGACATTGCAATTTGGCACCTACAGTTCATTCATAAAAAGATGGACTTCTAGCTTTTGGCCATAAATGGGTCAAACTTTTGAGTTTTTTTAGAATTTCTTTCTGCAAACCCCTGTGGAATCCTCTTCCAATTATGTTTCTGAAGTCTATTTCTCCAAAAAGCAAGCCCTAACAAGACTAGGATTTCGGCCAGGTTTTGCCCCAAAAGCACTGAATTGGGAAAAACGGATGAAAATCCACTCCGTTTGACTCTACCTGCAACAGTGCTTTGTGCGGTTCGAACCCCAGTTGAGGTTGGACCCTTTTCCAAAATTTCGCAGCACTGTACTGTGTACTTGTACTTGTATAATAAAATCACGAAAAATCGCCAAATACGGGAGCTAGCCAGAGCAGGGTCCATCTTTTTATGAATGGACTGTAGCCATCACTGAAACAACGCAAAAGAGCAGTCGCGTATCTGGACTTGCAATTCTCATGAATGACGAATTCTGCTTTGCCATAACTCGTCTTAAGTTGAGCATTTAGATCAATTCGGATGGTGAGCCAATTAAGTTATGGTGAAAAAGGAGGACAAAATGTTACGAGTTATGACTAACTGTCCACCAACATAACCAGATCTTATACAGTCAGCGAGTGCGACAAAATGGCACAAAACTGACCAGGAGTACTGAGACATTCGGCGACCTGACACCTAGCTCCAACACTTCTCCAAGGCGCAAACCAACAACCTTCCAACTTGGAAGGCTCAGTTTTGTCGCACTTGCTGACTGTATAAGATCTGGTTACGTTGGTGGACAGTTAGTCATAACTTGTAACATTTTGTCCTTCTCCTTTTTCACCATAATTTAGATCAATGCACTATAGAAGTTATGCAAATGATGCAATGGGGATGAGTCAGCAGAACCGCTTGTGGGCGGTATGTATGGAACGTGAGTGGCTAGTGCAGCGCTGTACTGTGACTTCACCAAACCATCTCAACTAATGATTTAATCTCCATAGTAAGACTGTTCCAGTTATAAACGGTAATATAGAGATTTAGCCAGGTTGTGGTATAGGTCATGGATGCGTATGTATACATATCTACTACACATGATTTCTTTACACATTTCATCTAAATGTGGGTAATCTGCCTTCTCTTTTCATTCCTTATATCATGAAAACCATTACTGTAGATGTGTGAATCAGGATGTCCTCTGTCAGCAGGGTATGCACTACACTCCGGATAAAAAATAATAATCACCAGATGCAAGTCAAAGGGAAGAGAGAGAGAGAGAGAGAGAGAGAGAGAGAGAGAGAGAGAGAGAGAGAGAGAGAGAGAGAGAGAGAGAGAGAGAGAGAGAGAGAGAGAAAGAGATAGATAGATATATAGAGAAATGATTCTTAAATGATTCTTACTGCTTGTGTTTTTGAACTGAAGGCTGCACTGGCAACAGTTTCAATCTTCTTGCCATTGGGAGATATCCAGAGAATGTCTCCATTCACTACACCATTGAAGGTGCAAATGAACCGGACGGCAGCAGCATTAGAAACAATCGTTGGAACGGTAAAATTCTGAAGTTGTGAAAGTACTGCAACATGAAAACAAGAGAAATGATAAATGATAAATTTTAGGGTGAAACAATCACATCAATTACGTGTCTCCTACCCGTTATGGTTGTACCCAATGCTCACGAACAGTTGCAAAATGTGCTTATCAACTACTGTACTGGGGAGGCTTTTTAGCCAAACATTGTGGGAAAGCACTGCAGGCCAAGCTACTCACAACTCGAATCAAGATATCTACTATGGAAAACTGCGATTTCAAGTGGTCTGGCACATGTGGGCCAAAACACGTGAGATAGTCGCTATCGCTGCAAACTTGATCCTTAACAACACTGGTAAACAACCAATTTCCAGTGGTCATTTCATCCCATATGATAACAATCTCTACTTATTTGATTCATTAGTGGCTATGGAATATGATTCATTTTATCACCACTGCACACTTTCTCCATTAACAGTATAATACAGGTGACTACCAAAATTTATTTTAAAAACGGACAAAAATTGGAGGTGTATCCAATTTCGAAAAAAAGTGTGAGCACCGACGAAATCCACACCATCAAGTAAAGCCAGTAAAAAAAGTGTGAGCACCGACGAAATCCACACCGTCAAGTAAAGCTAGAAACCTAACGTGTTCGTTCCCTTCTCATAATGGAAAAATGTCAAAATACAGCAACTCGTAGAGCTAAAGCAAAAGCATAGCTATACACTGTACATGTGGCATAAAAAATATAATTCAGCTGCACAGGTCAAAAACAGGGTGAAGGTGAAGAGATGACTAAAGCGTAATGAAAACATCAATGAGGAGCAGTATTCCTGACACTTTCACGAGGATTGGCGCCAAACAACTGAAGTGACAAAACATTTCCCTTCTGAACACATAGTTCGGGGGACAACTTACGAATATACAACGCTTCCAATACAGACAATTGTAATACAGACCTGCCACGGGCCAAAACTGAGAAAACATCATCTCTGTACAACTCACGACAACTATCACTAACCCACAGACCAAAATTAATATTAGTTCAACCTTCACAGGGGTTTTGGGCTCAAGCAATAGAGAAGGTTGCTTACCCGCACAATTCCCAGCAGCTGTTTGCAACTGCCTGTCAGGACAAGTGCAGTTGAAACTGTTTGCAGTTGAGGGATCTTCAGTACACGTGGCACTGCTGTGACAGTTGTGTCCACCAAGCAGACATTGGTTGTAGTCTGGAAACAGGACAAACAGGAAAGGCACACTCAAATAAAGATACAACAAATTAAAGAATTACAGATGGAGCGGACTCGCTCCCTTCTATTTACACTGCAACGTTCGAACACATTTTCGTAGTTAAAACAACGTTTCGGCATATAGCCCTCATCAGGTTTGCAATGATGTGCACTCTACAAAGGAGCAGCAAATATACTGTGCCGTGCTGTGTTTGCGCTAAATGTGTCAGCTACAAAGGTGGCGAAAGGGATTGGTGATATATTAATACCCAGATACGATATATTCACAGTAGTGCCCAGCCAGCATTAGTGTTTACTTGTGGCCGCAAGTTGCGGATTTCAACAGCTTCTCGCAGTTTTCTGCTTGCTCTGTCGCCTGCCCTTGCCAGGACTGACACAGCCGAGAACACACTATCCGCAGCAGCTATACTCTCGCCAGAATGTTTGTCGCGCACGTGGTCACCCCATGGCTTATCGAGAGTGCGACGGCGTGCCTCGCCATTGTGCTCCCGAATTCTTGTTTCCAAGGAGCGTTCCGTCTCCCCTACATACGTTTCCCGGCACCATTTGCATTGCAATTCGTAGACTACATTCTTTGTCATACATACTCGTTCGCCTCCAGACTGACAGGTAATGCAAGGCCCTAGTGGACGTCCTCTTCGTCTTTTTTCAGTAATGTTGGGCTCGTTTACGCACTTGGGTGGTAACAGCGCCGAACGGCACAGTTGACGCCTGAGGCTGCCCGAGTGCTCGTATACGACACGTACCGGCAACTTGTATTTCCGTATTGCTTTGTTCACATGGTGGTGTACTTCATCGGACTTGAACGGTAGTTTAAGGAAGGCAGAGCGGGGATTACCGCGTCGTCTACGCCGAGGTTTCCTGGCAGCTTCCCTTGCTTCCGATATGATACTGTCTGGGTAGTTATTTATGCGCAGTTGTTTGTGTATTTTTTGTTCGCTCTCGGCTTGCATCATGGGGTTAGACGATAGTCGCTGTGCCCTTACGAATTGAGATTGAGCGACGGCTAACTTGATGTGGTGAGGAACTGCCGATGAATAATCCACCAGTAGGCCACTACTGCATGCCTTCTGGAACAATTTGAATGACAGCTCTCCGGTTTGCCCAACCGCGATCGTTACGTCCATGTAGTCTATGCAGCCACTGTCACAACTTAATTCATGCGTGAATTTGATACGTTCGTGGCTGGCGTTGAATCTTTCTATGAGCTCCAGAAGGCGCTGCCTACCATGTGTCCATAGGATGATGATATCGTCGATGTATCGTCTGAACAGAATAGGTTGGAAGGGTGAGTCCTGAAGAAGTCGTGTCTCAATGGTGTGCATAAACAGGATGGCAAATGGAGGTGCCAGGTTGTTCCCCATAGCAACCCCATCTAGCTGGTGGTAGATCTGTCTGCCAAATCTGAAGTAGTTATGACTCAGAACAAACTTCAGTAGTGTCCTGACTTGGGTCACGCTCAGCCCGAGCATATCAACTCTGTTACGGTGTTGCTCTAGCACGTCACTAACGGCATTCACGCCCTCTTCGATCGGTATGCTGGGATACAAACCCACCACATCCATCGTAGCCAGAATCGTTCCAGCAGGTGCTTTAAGGCCAGGGTATATGGTGCGGATATTGTCTAGCGCGTCTTTGGTGTTGATGAGGTGCGATGGGACAAATGCAAGCAGTTGATGCAATATGCGTTCGAGAACCACCGAAATTCCTGTGACTGGACTGTCACAAGCAGAGACAACAGGTCGGAGGGGCAAATTTTGCTTGTGGTCCTTTGGAAGACCGTATAGTTCCGGGAATCGTGTGTCATGAGGGAGTATTGCAGTCAGAAGATCAGGATCCATATTCGTGCATTGCTCTTCCAGTATGGATTTAACCTCTTTCTCATACGCAGTGATAGTTAGATCCACTTTTCTGTACATAGTGCTGTCAGACAGAAGTGCCTCTGCCTTCTCCAGGTAGAGTTCCTGTTTCATAGCTACTAGCTTCTTGCTCTTGTCGGATTGCTTTATCACTACACTGGGGTCATGGCGAAGTTCTCTCAGTCCGTCGCGTTCCTCTTGCGTCATATTATGCTTGGGAGGTCTTTGTTTGCCATATGCTGCCAAAACTTCGTCCTTGAAGTTGGCCATCTTTCTTTCCCCATCCTGGCTCATTCTGGGCGGTTGCTTGAAGCCATGCTTCTTTAGCTTCCACAGCCTGCGATCACACTCGGTACCGGTATCGTGGTCGTCCTCTGGCTGGTCCACACCCTGAGGCCGCGCCTGCTGCCATCTCAAAGTGTAGGCCATCCGTTCTACGGAGGTGACCACTTCTGATTTCTCACGACTGGTTAACTTGCCCGTGGACGGTACAAAACCGGGTCCCAGTTCCAATACCCGTCTGGCATTGTCTGTTACACACGAGTCCATGACAAGCGTTCGCCGAGAATGCTCCATTCCCGTCCGGCCGGGACTACCCAGGGCTGTCCCACTCTGGTAGGACGACGCGGGCAAACATGCCTCATGCGCTTCCCTGGCATCTTCTTGGGCTTGAAGCCTAGACACCTTCCATCGAAGCCTTGCATTGGTACGGATGCGCTCCTCCGTAACCACACAGCGCCGCAGGGCGCGAATACGCACGTAATCCTCCCTGGAAAACGACCAAAGCTGTTCGCAGAAGTACCGGCACTGTCTTGTACGGAAGTCCCTTTCTGCGCACTTGTCCTGTATTGCGTCGCTCAGAAGTCGGAGACAGTACTGGAAGCGTCTTTGCTGTCGAACACTCTTGTGCCTTGAGGCTGGAGGTGGCCGAACCGATTGCGTGATGAACCGTGGGATGATACGCTCCCGCCGGCATTGAAGAAGAAACGACAACTGGCACTGGCTCCTCTGGAGAAATGTGTTCGAACGTTGCAGTGTAAATAGAAGGGAGCGAGTCCGCTCCATCTGTAATTCTGTATGAAACTGCAGGAGGCCTCACCGCTTCTAACAAATTAAAACACACAGAAAGGGTAAAGGGAGAAAGGAGTATTGTCTCCTCACAGATTATTTGGCGTATAAGGATTTTTTTAAATAAATTCAGAGCGATGCTTCTCGCAGCTTCATTGTAACAGGGCAGGTGGCAGAACTGGCCAACACTCTGCAATTTCGCACAGTCTATTGGAAGTTGTGGTTCAACATTTTGGTCGCTATGACATTCGTGATGAAGTAGTCAAGGAAGCAAGGCTGACTTTTAAAACAACAAGGTTGCTAGGAGGGTATGGAATGCAGCATTAAACCCTTGGGCAAAAAATTGTCACATGCCACATAATCATAGTAGTGGGAACGTTCTCCGATATAATCATGTGAGAGATGATGGTGGTAAAGTGTACAATTCGTGGGTGTTTCACAAGAAAAAGAACTCTTGCACCATTAACTGACAAACCAGGAAACGTCATGCTCAATAGTGTACGCTGGTGAGGAAGAGTTGAGCTAGGACAGGAAGTTCGCAATCACAAATCGCAGGATCAATATGCGAGTCATATTTTCTTGCCATTCAGCGAAATCATCAAAATCAAGTATGCTGCTTGTCAGAGCTAAGAAGCAAGCTCATTTACAACTGCTATCCATACGAGATCCCATCCTGAACTGGTGTTGATGTTGGGCTCCACGTCCCGCATTTCGACAGCCACCGGAATCTTTTTTTGTGCTCTGCCTCGCTATGTCGCAAAAAGAATTCCGTACTTGTCATCCACCACCTTGTTTCGAGCCTCATTGCATGCATTTTTATTCTGGTGCCAAGCTTCGGCCGGTTGTCCGACATAGCCATCACCATATCAGCATTAGATCACAGTATGCCGGGTGCAATCTCTTTCTCCTGTTTTGCAGGCCACACAAGCCGCTTATTGCCTGCCTCTCCTCTTTGGCAGCACTGAATCCACAAACGTTCTGCACTGAAAACAATTATAGCGATGAACAAATTAAATGCGCGCTCATATCACAAACATTGCAACAAAACTAGTTTTGTGTCCAGAACGTTTTCTCGTCACAATCATCAGTTGCATATCGCGACTAAAGGGAAAGGGAAAACAATTATAAAGATTTATACATTAATATCACAAGTACCTTGGCATGGGGCGCCTGCCACTCCCGATCCAGTGTATCCAGCTTTACAGCTACACGTAAATGATCCAATAGTGTTAGTACAGACTGCATTGTTCATAACGTCACAGTTATGACTGCCAGCCGAACACTCATCCACATCTGCAGCGGGAAACAGACAAAGACAAAAAGAGTTGCACAGCCACACACATAACAGCGTAACAAGAGAATAGATCACTGCTGTACTTGCTCTATAACGGACACGAAGAGTTTGCCAGCAGTTGGTAAGAGCAGGGGAATCCAATAAAGTTAGTGATAGCAGAATTTAGAAATGCTAGCGACAAGGGGCTAGAAAGTAGCAGGAACTTACCTTGACAGTTATTGTCGCCACTGCCAGCATATCCAGATTTGCATGGACACATGTATGAACCGACAGTATCTTGGCAAGTATTGATAGTGCTATCACATGGACTCCTTGTGGTGCATTCATTGATATTTACACATGCATCATCAACACTGCTGGGAGTTGTGTAGCCTGATGGACATGCTGAGCACTGTCGACCAGATGAGGGAGCAACTAGATCTGTGCAGTTACGCAATGCTGCACAAGGTGTAGTCGTGCAAGCATCAATGTCGGACAGACACTGATCTCCGGTTAGGCCTGTGGACAAAGAAGAGAAAAAGTGACATTTAAAACGGAAGGTGCAAGCCAAGGCAATGTGGAGAGTATTGGAGAAGGTTAATATGCTGGTACAGAGTAAAAAAAATGGTGTTCTCCACCAACTGGAATCGAGTCAGCCACACTAGAATTATAGAAATACATACAGAACAGAACAACAAGGACAATCAAGGCTTGTTTGCTGCTATTTCAAGTTTCATGCTCACGCAATCATCAGGCAACAAAGCCTTGATTGTCCTTGTTGTTCTGTTCTGTATTACGCTCTGCCTTTGTGGTGTTGAGCACTGTCAGCACTCTGGAGGTACATCCTCCGGTAGAAATACATACATGTACTCTAACAGTGGACTCAGCTTCCTGCTGGTAGCATTTCAATGAGGAAATGCTAACAGTAATAGTAATAATAACCCAAACAATACTAAACTCGACAGGCACACAACACTACACGGAAAATTCAGTTTTCATCCATTTGACTTACCAGGGTCACATGAAATGCAAAGCAGCTGCAAAAATTTGGCGACTGGATTTTGTGGTGCACTGGCGCATGTTCCGCGGCAGCCACACAATGCAACTGGAACGTCAATGACGGATGTCAGACCCATATCATCGGTGGCAAGGATTGAAAGGGCTGATGGTTGCTTGCGGACACTTGGCAGCCAGCTGATATGAAGTTCATTTGGACTAACCAGCACCGAGGAAATGTCCAAAGAAGTATTGCCAAACCCACTGAGTGTGTGCACCGACAGATTGACGATAGAATTTGTTGAATTGACCTTCACAGCCAACGTACTGTTTTGGCCAAACACTCCAATAAAGGTGGTGCTACTCAGGGCTATTGTTGGAGGCACAGAGCCTGAGCAAAGATACAGCAGGGTATGACAAAGTTACGTATAGAATAGCTGTAATGGTACTTTGAAGTATAGCCATCGTAAGGTTCTCAGTTGCTTAGTCTAAAACAGCGGTCAACACGCGGCGAACATCACACGTTCTATCTAGCTGCAAACAGTTTTGTCACATCTTGCAAATCCATCCCTCGCCATTAACGTACTAGTTGATGAGTGACATCTTACTTGGGACTTCCTGGATGTATTGACCGCCATTTTACAGACTATAGAGGGAGCAGCATGTGGAGTCTTCAAACCTTTTTCAAAGTAATAAAAGGAAGAAGAACAGCTTTTTAGCCTGTAGTGTGATTGCATTATTATAAAAAAAAGAAGAGAACATACGGAAGATTCATCAAGTTGCAGGGGGACGCATCTCAAGAATGAGGAAAGAAAAACATGATCACATATTTTCATAGAAGAAGCCACCCTGACCCACACTACCAAAACCTCACTTCCATTGTCTTCCGTGTATGGCACGGAACATTTGTTGGTATTGCCATTTTCAGTGGATGGTGATGTGGCCGGTGTGACTTCTTTTGCAGCTTGAAAACAATGAGGATGCTGGGGGATGCTTACTGTAACCCGGAATCCTTCGCGGTTTTCGTGATGGGTGTGAAATTGTAAAAGTAAGGGAGTGTGAAACGTAGAACTGTAATAACGAAATGAGGAAATTGATTTCAATTACAAGCATCTCCAGGTGAAAATGTGCCTGTGCTCGCAAATCGCAAACTAAAGCCGGCGCAAACGTTTCCCGGCTTACAGTATGCTTTTTTTGCTGTACTTGTGTGGAATGTTGTGTTTTTCGTACTTTCAAGCGGCCATAAATACCACAAAATGTATCCCCATACAAATATTATTTCTGGGGACAACTTCGAACACTATCTTCGGAAGCATACAGTGGTCAGGGTTGAGTCAATTTTTCACCACGCAGAAATTGCAAGTCAGTGATGAAAGGCAGAAACACATACAAGTACTTTCATAGGAGCATTATTGTACTTTGAAATGTTGGTTCTGTCATTAGGCTCGGACGTTGCATTCAGCAACCACCAACCGCGATCATCCATACATGTTGATGCCATTTCTCATTCTTTTATCAAGTTTTGTAACTTTTGTTCCATTTTTGTCTCCGAGAAAATTTCAATACAGAGGGCTGTTTACGGGCAGGTGCCATGAACTTACCAATGAGACTACTGACAGTATCAAAGTGTGTCTTGAAGTCGAGTGTTGCCTGGCCAAAGCCTTCTTGAGCAGTGGCAGCAACATCCAACAAGCACTGCTGATTCCCATTGCAGAAGGTTGGTTGCACTGCACTTTTAGGAATCTGATCTCCAATAAAAACAGGGGGTGGAATATCAGGATGAGGGTTGAATGTTGCATAAGTTCCAGACCCATATGTGAAAGGACTGTCCGTATTATTAAGGTGATCTGTAGGCACAGGCAAAGTTGACCAGGCATATATACACCAGTGAGCAGTAGAGCCTACTCAGCCTGCACATGTTAAAAAGAGTGCTTGAACAATGCACTATTCAAATGGGAACATTGCAGCTCAGACATAATAGTGAAACTGTGCCTCATTTGGTCAAGTTGGATAGAGCAAATGAGAAAGTACCCTATGATAGCATGCCTTGTTGAATTGTTAATTTCAGCTTCATTATCACATGAGCAATTCCTTGCAGAACAATGACACTGGGGTCTTCAAACTGTAAACGAATAATATCACCTACAAGTAGCTGATAATATGAGTTATTGTGATGAGTAAACATGCAACGGTCTCAGCAAACCAAAAAAAAAAAAAATGGACGGATACGACATATGAGCATTGCTAAGAGCAAAGTGATGACCACAGCCAGCAGTACCAAAACGTGACCCACTTACACAGTGCATAAGCTGTCCTGAATACAGCAGTTTTGTTTCCGGTAGAGGAAAGATCATTCTCGATGTTCAAGAGGCCGGAAATTTGCGAAATCTGATTCCGGTAAACTGAAGAAAAAAACATTGACAGTTGCTTTGCGGATGGTAGTTCAAACACAGTAGTAATGAACACGTGTAAAACAAATCAGATAACGTTCAGATCCCTCTCTAGCTCGCTCCCGACCCCCCCCCCCCCCACACACACACACCAGCATGGACAGTTGAAGGGTTGACATTATTCTTCCACTTACAAAGACATGAGGCTATGGCATATTCTGATGTTCCATACAAAGATCAGGATGGGCTTGTGTGTGCTTAGAAAAAGGCAAAAAGTATCAGTAACCATACCTTGTAAGTCTACATTGAGGGCAACACCAGCTTGCACATTGACAGCGGCTGCTATGCTGCCAACCGAAACCAATGCAATGTTGGGCTGTCTGAAGCTCAGATATTGAACATTTCCACTAGCAACATCGTTGGTGATATCCGAACCACTCTGACTGATGATAATGCTGCCGGTGGAACTTAAGTACATTTCATAGGGTGAATTTTTCCCTGAAAGAAAAAAACGAGTTTCAAAGGCAATCACACTCCAACACAGGTATATTCTTAAAAAGGCTTCAGGAATTTCATCAGATTAAGGATTTAAACACGCTGCAATATTTCACATTTCCTCAAGCATTTTTATTGCCTTCTCTTCAGGTGGATACAGGCAAGTATGTAAGTAGGGCTCAGTTGCTTTTAAATGTTTTTGGAGGCTGTCTACATTCACACAAGAAAGCCAAACCTATGCACACAGAAACAGAACACAGTCATGCCCAGGCAGGATATCTACACATCGTTAGTTCAGTTCATTCATTGTCTAGTTTTGTCACAATACATATCATGCTGATCACACCTCTTCACATGTACATCGCTAGTGACTGATTGTAGACTGCAGAATTCGCTATGTTTCAATGTGTGGGTGAGAATCATTACGTTATCAATTATTCTGTGTTTGTGTATCATCACTGATCTACCAACTGCTGCTTATGTCACCTGTATTGTGCTGGTTAGTTTCTTCTATCTGAAGAGGAAGCAATGAAAGTGCTTGTGTAAATGTGAAGGAGAGAAAAATACTCAGTAATATACCCATCAGGTGCTCCTATAACATCAGTCATGCACAATAGTACTAGTAGAAGCCAGTTATGCTGCACACACGTTGAACTCCAAGCAAATGCAAGCTAAGTTGACATGAGAAAGCACAAGCAAACTGGAAAGACAATACAACAAAAAGAGAAAGTAAAAGCACTACAAACAAGCAACGTACCAAAAATAATGCACACCGGGTGCGTACAACAGCTAAGGCGCATTCAAAGAAACAACATCACGGTCACATTACACAAATATGCACAAAGAACAGAATCGACTCTTTACCAATCTCAAAGGCCAGTCTTGTTGCTGATGTGGCACCGTATGTATTGGGAGGATTAACTTGATAACGAGCTGATACTCTAAATCTCAATTTATTGGCCATGAGGGCACTAGTTGATGCCAGAATAAATTCGCCGGTAGCATGAAACTCATATGTAAAGTTCCTGATGGTGGACACATGTGGATCACCAAAAGATGTTGCTGGACAAGAAACAAAAGAATGGAGAATTAAGAACTCAGATGGTGAGCCAAGGAAAAATTGTAACATGGAAAAACATGGGCACAAGTTATGCGATCGAGTCCACCAACTAAATCAGATTTTTGAACAGTCAATCGTGCACAATCTACTAGTAGCACAAAACTGACAAGGAGTACTGAGACATTCCAAGGCATGAAAGTCAGCTTGAGCATTGCTCGATAGCACTAACCAACGGCCTTCCAACTACGTTTCCTATCATGTTTATTCTTGACAGCGCTTGAAATCTTGACAGGTGTAGTGAGTCCACGCCGACTCCACACTCAAAATAACCTGTGTTCATTTGTTCAGCTGTAGTATCGAAAGATTCCTTTCAGGAATCAGGACCATGAAAAATCAGCCAAAATTCAAGAAGGAGCTTCACGAGCAACATTTGATTTCCTACAGCACGGTCGCTAGTTACGGGTCAACAATCGTCTTTGGGACAAGAAAAGGCGGTCGCTGGTCGCGTTCAGCAGGTAGTTGCTAGTCACAGTGCATTTTGAATGTGAGACCGTCCGTGCCTGGCGAAGTGGTCGGTAGTACCAGGCTGGTTGCTAGTGATGGTGGTCTTTAGTTACAGGTTTTACTGTATGCGAATGGTCTTAACTACGCACGTATGCAGTGGGAATAGTAATGGCCTGGCCTACATCAGGATCAAGTAGGTAAGCCACTTATGAACATGCGCGTGAAATATGCCAGTTGCTAAATGAAGTAGCACACTTACTGTAAGAGGTGAATCTCTAATGGGGCACAACGTCTACGTTTTAACGAGAAAAAATCCATCACTAACTCAAGAAACGTTACATGCATGTTATTCCTTCTCTGCTAGAGAAACAGAAGACAGGTGTGTGATGGCATGATGGCAGGGTCGTTAAACTTTGTGCTCGCCAAGTGGGAAATTTTTGCAAATCGTTTAACTTTAGACTCGTCACACTTTCAACTCCTACGGTACTCACCTGAAAAAACTTGAGTCTCAGTGCTATACGGAGCAGGGCGAAGAGAATAAAAATAGGACAAAAAGTACTGAGAATTGGTTTGAATACAGGCAAGCAAAGCTGTCTCATCCATGTCAGACAGCTGGACATATGCTCGTCCATGAGAGGCTGTACTTAGGTACTCCCTCTCGTAGCAGCACACCTGTAGCAAGGTGTATACAGGCAAGAGAAACAGAAGAAACAGAATACAAAGTGTGAGAAACTAGATAACTGTGCCAATGTATCACAAGGAGATCCTAAACATCTCAAGGCAAGCTTTTCCAGCAGGTCGCATCTAGATACACAGAGACCAAAAATTTCCAGCACTTGCACAAATATCCTTTTTTTTAAACACCCTGAAATCAAACAAATCAACCAGACAAAATTGAAGAAACTTCGAGTCTTGCTTTTGGAATAAGACTTAGTGGAAGGCTGTCGCCATTTGTCAAGTGGGAGTAAAACAACCTTTTTGGTGTTGATGAGCAGTTTGCAATCATATGAAATAAGCAACAGAGCTTGAAATACTGCGCGCAGCTGGAAGGAAACCAGATCTAGTAGACTGGGATTACGGTCATGTCTTGCCAGAACTCAAACTGAATATGCTGAAAATGTTCAGAACTTACAGTTGAAACGTTGGCAACACCAGCTAAGGGCACCGGGGTGCTGCGATAGCAAATTTGCTTTGTCACTGAGGTATAAGAAGAAAATGCTTCTTGAACTTTGATGCTGGTTTCTGACTGTGGGCATACTGGGTATACATCGGAGTTGACATTCAACGAACTGAACGCTGGTGTTGCCCTGCACTTTACTTGGTTGAGTAAATTTGCACTACAGCCAGGTGTAAGTTTGTAGATTAATCTGCTTGACGGGTTATCTATGTCACTGGCATTGTGGAGGCCAGACAGAGGGTGGAACTGGCCTCTTGCACCAATTACAGCTGGACTGAGTTCTCCACTCCACTGAATGCCACCAACAGGGTAATTGAAGATTGCAAATGATTGACAGGTATCACTTGCAACTACTGCTTGGAATGTGTTCACCTGTAATGGAAAAACCAGAGAAATGAACAAGTTGTAAGTACCTGTATACAGGATCAGTCGTGTGTGTGTGTGCCAGCTAGTTCGGTTGGTGGGTACACGTATGCCTGATTGCGTTGGGTCTGCTGCCAACGGGCTTGGCTGCTTGAAGGTGTAATGTTGTACCTGCCACCTTTGTTGGTTCCAGGGTTCATATACTTTCTATTTGAAGTATACATACCTGTTAACCATGGACTGCTTCTAGCTAGATTAACTCTTGTGTAATCTATGGTGCTTGTGAAGCTTATATCAGATCCACTCTGATTTGGCCACCCACACTAGTAGCAAGTATTAAATTCACTGGGTGCAGGGGTAACTGCAGTTGGACCCCTGGACGGATACCCTGATGCCGTCAATCCTTTTTCTTCACCTTGTCCTCACCCACTTACTGAGGTGCGGTGAGCCCATAAGTGGGATCATTTTCAAGTCCACCCAGAGTTTTGGAGATTTCAGGGGGTGTTGGCCGTTGGGCGGTTCAATAGCCAATTGAATCATCTTTTCAAGATTCCTTTTGAGTCTCTCTCCCCTCTCCCGGGGAGACCTACGTGACCAGTTTTGGCAGTGAGCAAAAAAGTACAAGTATGTGTGTGTGTGTGTGTGTGTGTGTGTGTGTGTGTGTGTGTGTGTGTGTGTGTGTGTGTGTTTGTGTGGGGGGGGGGGGGGGGGGGGCTAAGCATGTACATATTGACTGATAACTGCACGAAATTGACAGTAATAAGTCTACTAACGACGCACAGTACCCACCTGCTTATAGTTGGATGACTGGCGAATAACACTCCAAGTCACAATCAGAGCTTCTGTAGCAGCAAATGTCTGAGATGGCTTCTGGATGCTGTTGATGTCTTTGTTTATTGCCTCAAGGGTTGTGTCATCAGCAAGTTTTGTGGAAATAGTACCATCACAGTTTGATCCTGCACCATCTGGAGTCCAGAATGGAGCCACAATTGTTGAAGCGTCTGATACATACAGCGGCAAGTTGTCTTTTCCAGGAAATGGTTTGAAAGACAAAAATCCATCTCGTGAGACCTGTTAATAACACAACAAAGTTCGGATTTATTATAATATTGTATCTTTATCAACATGTCCCTACAAGAAGCAGAACAGGTAGGCAGTGATCGGAAAGTTTGGCTGGATATTGCAAACAGATGTACTGACTCTGCATGAAATTTGATTTTGATTTTACTGGATCTCAACTTTCCCATGTCCCCTGGATCTGTCCAGCTAGCCCCTACTTCTAGCTACTAGCAATTGTACGTCAGATTCGAATGTTTCACCTAACTTCTTCCTGCTGACAGATGCGTTAACCCCATATGTTTCATTTTTCATCATGGGAACTGTGTTTATATTTATTTTTATTTTTTATTGTTTGTGTCTTTCCCTCAAAATTGAAGAGACAGGATATACAGGCGTTTGCATTCTTCAGTGACAAGTGCTCTCATCTTGCACTCGTACTACAGAATCCACATGCATCAAGTTTCCATAATCCATTTTTTCCATTTTCCAAAATCGTCTTGCCATGCAAAATGCGACGGACGGGGGAACCCCCGACTTCATCCCTGACAAGTGTGCCTTATGAACCCTCTAATACTGACTGCATTTTCGTTGAATGGTATAAAAATAAAAATAAACGACAAATGAGTGTGGGGGGGGGGGGCACTTTTTTACAGGAGGGCACTTAATCAGAGTAGGAGGGCACTGCGCCCCCTACCCTCCTTTGGCTAGAACCCTGGTACTTGCAGTTGCCATAGCCATTACAAAACGATAGCACCTAGTGCCAAAAACGGCTAGCTACTTTTCTCTTTCAACTAACCGTAACATTGGTGTGTGCCTCATACGATTGTCCAAAGTAGAATGGTTGGCTTAAAGATACATGAAGACCAAGATCAGCACCACCAGAAGCATAAAGGCCTGGTGCCAGGTCTGCATAGTAAAAGAAAGAAACAGCAGAGATGAAGGAACTACTCCCACATGCATCAAGGAAAGTAATGCCGTGCAGTGGAGGTGACCCAGTCAGAACATATTGGCAAAGAAAAGAAGAAGGTTGGCCACCAATTTGGTTCAAAACTATAGAGCAGGCCAACAATGGCCCATAACACTGGATTAGGCAATGGCCCATAATATCCACAGGACATAATGTACCAGGCAAGAGGCTATATGTTTGGTAGGGGCCCTCCACATTTGCTGACAGACATAGCGATGGACTAAGCATGCCGAATTCACATTCCCAGGCGGAGCTGCATTGTTGTTGTAGTACGCTATTTTGTGTACGTCGTGTGTACGTCATGTTGATGCATGCGCGTGTTGCTGTGGTGTGAAAAGCAGTCTTCGTCTTCAGTTTGTCATGTCTAGTTGTGTTTTGTCGTCGTGTCAATAAACAGTCTTCTAAATGTAGTTATCGTCGTTGTGAATGCATATGCTACTCGTAGCGGTTTAACACCTGTCAACTTACCAACACATCCAGATGTCTCGGAATAGTACTGGCTTGAGCTTGTGCATTGGTCACATCTTGAGCCAGTATAGCCAGTTTTACATGTACACTGTCCCGATGAGAAGCATGAGGTTCCGGTTGAACCATGTTTTGAACATTCGCATTCTAAATGCAAAAAGGCAGATATGAAAATTACAAATACGTAAGATTGGACGCATGAATGTTGTAAAAGACTTGTGCCTCTCTTCCAGTCAGCTCTTATCCTATCAAGCTTTGCAAGAGAAGAGCCCTGCAATAGAATGCTCATATCTTAAATGAAAAGGTCTTCGAATGTCTCAATGTCCTTGTCACACGGTTTTGTGCTTGTTGTCGCACTATCTGGCTGTATATTAGCAAGAGTACATAACTCCCAAGAGTGTGCAACTCCAGCTATGGGGTCTGCGACGGCAGAACTTCACATCACGTGATGAACCCGTACACATTATTTGCACTCTGTGCATGATAGATACAGGATTGTACGCAGCCCAGCTTTGGGTACAACTCTCTTGTGTCCACTTTGCACTGTTTGCCAGCATAACCTTTTGAACCATGTCACGTGATGTGAAGTTTTGCCGTCGCAGCACAGCATAGAGGTTGTGCAGGCAGTTCCACAGGGTTATGTACTCTTGATATATGGGAGGTTTTGCTCTACGGAATTACGTATGAAAATAACGTAGGAAGTGCATGTAATTTTCATACGAAGAAATCAGAGCTGCTGGGTTTCGCTCTACGTGATTTCTCCACGATTGCTAAACATGCCTTGTTGCTTTGGAGACGCGTTGGCTGCATGCGCCCACTGCATGCACCACGAACCGAATCCGCGTTTCCCATTTTATTTTGCACGTGGTGTACGGTGTGTTCACCTTGCGTTTCGCGCGGCTTAAACTTTGCCATGGATAAATCCGGAAAATGCGAAACATATTTCAAAAAGTCCTACGGAGGACCCAACGTAGGAAAGAGCTTTCCTACGGAAATCCGTAGAGAGATTTACGTATGAAAGTTGCCCTCGCTCCCCGGCGCGTACCACATACGGATTTTCATACGTAATTACGTAGAGCGAAACCTCCCTATTATCACGTTACCTTGGTGGACTGTTAGTCATAACTACAGTAAAACCTTTAACTAAAGACCACCGTGACTAGCGACCAGCCTGGGCACGGACGGTCTCACATTCATATTTAGTTGTGCGGTGCAAACCTCTAACTAAGGACCACCTGCCACTAAAGACCGCTTTCTCTGGCCCCAAGGGGTGGTCGTTAGTCACAGGTTTTACTGTAGTAACTTGTAGGTCCTTTTATCTTTAAATAGCTGATTTTTTCTTCATCAACCGCCACTCCAGCACCTTAATATTGCTGATTATTGCAAAACATTGTTTCCAACTGTGCAGCAGTCGAATCCGTCCTGGATTTCTCTGTCTCACTTCACTATAATGGTGGTGGTCAACAAATCACACAACATGAAGTGCTCAAGCATGCGACAAAGTAAGTTGATATTTCTCGAATGTTGACTGATGAACACGAACAGTCCCTTTCAATGCGGTAATTTTTTGAATACTTAGAACAAAATACTTGCATGGACAAACCCACTCCCAAGACATTGCAACTCTGAACGAGTTTTATAAATACTGGTTCCGCTTTGAAGTAAAAAGAACAGGTTCAGATCTTCAGTATCGTCTCTTCTGGAGTGTTAGCTGCACGAATAAAAAACTCACAATCGCCCCTGCGCCTTTGACTCCGTGAATCGACCAGCGTATGAGTAAGGAGTCATTCAACTACTTTTCGTGCACTGCAATTGATCACTGTACTAGCGCAAGCATCTTCGCGTTGTCAGTTCTGAGTGAAGGACAAACTAGGAATCCTTTGCAAGAACTTCAGTCGTGCATCTCATCTTAGCCTACATTTCGAAGCTCTCGCATTAGGGTAAGAAAACAGAGAGTGAGGATTGCAAAGTTCCGAAAGATTACTTACCCTGGCAACGCTGGGCTGAGTTGATGTTGAGGCATGTGGTAGAAGAAGGAAGAAACGAGCCTGATTGACAACTGTCACACTGACGGCCAGTGCTTAGTCTCTTGCAACTACATTGCCCTGTTGCCCTATCACATGTATCACTCAATGATCCACTGCTATCACATGAGCACAGGGAGCAACCTCCATTGTCAGCATAGTATCCTCGATTGCAGCTGCTACAGGTTAGGCCAGAATAAGCAGCTGTGCAGCTACATTCACCTGAAGTTGAGTTGCACATGCCAAGAGTACGACCAGCTTGGCATGGACATAAGGTGCATGTACTGAAATCACTGAACTTTGCTGTATAATACCCACTGGCACACTGATTGCAGTCATCTCCTTGAACATTGGATTTGCATGTGCAAGTGCCCGTGGTCACTGAGCAGCTTGTTGTACCTCTTGCATCGCAGGAGCAGGTGACACAATTTACGTTGTCTGAAGCTCTCTTGTGAAGTGCTGGGCACGGCCGAACTGAAGAACAACAAGCGAAACCAAGTATCCAGGTCAAAGGCTGACAATATATTCCACTTCGCATGGCAACAATGAGGTAAGTAAAACAAGGCTAGGGCATACTGAAATGTTACTCCAGGAAGTACCACTTACGGTTCTGACAGTTAGTGCCTTCATAGTTTCTGTTGCAGTTGCAAGAATATGAGTTTACATTGTCAATACAGGTTCCACCATTCTGGCATGGTGAGCTTGAGCATTCATCAATATCTTAGAAGAGATAGGAAACAGAATGTGGTGGTGTGATGTATTGGAAACAGAATACCTTTTACTTCGAAGTACAAAAAAACAGAAAAGTAGCCTAGCCATGACACAGATTTTCAACTACAAAGTTTGAATAAACACTGCACAGCTGTGAACATAGTAAAAAATAAATTAAAAAACCTAGGCTCCCCATCCTGCCTAAGCAAGCACTCAGAACTTGTTTCAAAGTGTCGACACGAAAACGAGTTCCTATAGATATACATACCAGTACATTATAAATACAGTGAAACCTGTCCTAGGGGACCGCTCAAGGGACCTCCAAAATGTGGTCGCTATGTACAGGTGGTCTCCTTATCCAGGGTCTTTTGACTGGAAGTAACATCCCTTGATCCTGCTACCAGCTACTTAACAATCAGCTCATGCGATAACATTGCACTACACTGACCGACGATACTCATCAGTGTTCTACAACTAACTGGCTATCAGCTCTAGCACATCTTGGATGCGCACTCCAACAGCCTTCCAACTTGGAAGATTCTAAGTCATTATGACATAGGAGGGGAAGGCGCGAGCTGACGGCTGACGGTACGTATATGTAGTGGCGGAGCGACCTAATACGAGTATACATGATATACAGCCGAGAATAACGTAGTCGAAAGCTACACAAGATGAGTTAAACTCATTTCCACATGTTACATGTATTGTACAGACAATTATTTGCAAAAAGGTTTCGAACATTCAGGGAGAAGACATTACTTCCATGGCACATTGGCAGAACGAACAAGGCAGACTCAAACATCCCAAGATTCTGCAGCCGTTGCATTGCCAGTGTTGGGGTGGCAGCTCCGTTACTGAGGCCGTACATGTCGTCGATCTCGGCTAGCCGCCGCCAACTAGCCAGCGCAACCTCGGCAACGCGCTCGCATCAGCTCCATGCCCGCGTTGACGGAGCTCGTACCAACAACCCGAACAGCTGCAAGTTGCGACTCCACAGTGACACTGGCCGTCCGTGCGCTCTCATCCCTCGCTCCATTCCCTTCTTCACTTCATTTGCTAAAAACTGTTCACTATCCCCTGCTCACTCTCCCCCGAAGGAGAGCGCGGAGAAACGTTACTTCTCCAAACAAGCAACACACAGCTTCAGTAGATGAGCAAAAGAGAGACTTGTCACTGGTTTAATATGATGATTCCACGCTTAATATGCATACCGGTATGGGTTTCCATTTGCATTTGTACAAACTAGGACTTACCATTTTCACAGTTGAGCCCAGTGTAGCCAACAACACATGCACAGGTGTATAGATTCACTCCTTGGGTACAGCTGGCACCATTCTGGCAGGGATTGCTGGCACATTCATCAATGTCTGTGATAGCAGTAGAGGAATTTAAATAGGAGTTGATATTAGCCAACAGCCAGAAGGGTAAGCAGCAGCTTTCACCCTGTTTATCAACTCATCAATAGATCTGATTTCCCTCTTAACTTACCAACCGAACAGTTCCTTCCAGTGTAACCGGGGTTACATGCACATGAGTAGTTTGCGACTCCATCAGAGCATGTGCCACCATTCCCACAGGGGTTTGGTGCACATTCATTTATGTCTAGGGATGAGAAGAGCACAATAGGGATAAGCTTGGTGGAAGACAGTTACATAATATTATGTTAGAATATACACTGTATATAGAAGGGAACACAAATGCCTAGGCCCTACCACACTGCATAAAAAAGCCAACCAACGATCAAAATAAATTTAGTGAAAAAGGGAAAAGAGGATGAAGGAAGTGCTATATCTGGAAGCTGTTTCAAGTTCTTCATTTCAAAGTATTAGTAGCTACAATGTAGTGTGCAGAATGAACCTGTTCAGGGGACAGAATTATGGGGAAACTGGATCATGACAAGTACTGTGCTCGTACTTGGGACAATGTGTTGGTGAGATTTGATATTGTATCTGGAGGCAATTGTTGATTCCTCTCACAACGTATGAGAGCAGAAAAGACAGGGTGCTCTTTAAATCTCTCCCATGTCAAATGGACGCTGCAGTGTACTTGCATCAAACATTCCACACAAGTGAAACACAATCTAGGTGTCTTACTTATGTCACACGTAGTGCCTTGATAGCCCGTTGCACAAGTGCAACTGTAGCTGTTCACACGGTCTGCACAAGTGGCACCGTTCAGACAAGGTGATGTCGAACATTCATCAATATCTGCACACGGAAGGAACGGCATTGAAGCAAATGTGGTATATCGGTCTAACCCACTGAATTGGCAATGTAATATTCTTACTTCATAAGACAAATGATTAGATACAGCGTGAAACTAACCAGTCTGGCAGAATGTTGAGGTGTATCCCGGCAAGCAAGTACAAGTATACTGATTGATGCCATCCTGACATGTCGCACCGTTTTGACAAAGCGAGTTTGCACATTCATCAATATCTAGTGAGGAAATAAAGGCAATGAATCAGTCAAAAGCAGGGCACGTATCGCTGGAGATACGCCAAGGCTAAACTGAACCACATCGCAACCGGTCAACATGGAGGCCACCGGCCCAGGGAGGACTTGATCCCAGAAAAAATGCTAGATTTTGATATTCCATTATTCCGAACATATACCATCTGTCTGCTGGTGTGTCCCAAAGAGATTTGACTGTACGTGTAATCACAATCATAATTGCTTCAGCTTATCCAGTAATTTTAAGGTATGGTAGAATTCTCAGGGTGAAACCTCATGCAAATAAGCCCCAACACAGCCCTAAAGTGGCATGTGTGGCTGCTCGATCCCAGAATGAAACAACTGGTGCTCGATCACTGACGTGACTTCTAGGTCTTAAGTACAACTGTAGAAAGCAAAAGAGCTACGCAACAAAGACCTACTTGTTTGACATTCCGTCCCAGCGAATCCAGGATGACATCTACACTGGTACAGGTCAACCAGATTGTGACAAGTCCCATTTTGGCAGGGGTTACTGCTGCATTCATCAATGTCTGAGCAACATTTCACAGACAGCACACACAGGAACATCAATTAAAAACACTAGTGATTTTACAGCAATCATTTTACGGCAATAAGTCAAACAAAGAACAAATACAAACAAATGATGATCTGAATGCAGATAGATAGTATTAGATACTGAGTGAAAGTGACCACTATACAGTTATTGGCAGGAAATCACTGCTAGAACTCCTCATCAAATACATAAGGAGTAATGGACACCAGGAGCTACTTGTATGCTGGTCAAAGGCCCATTTTTGGGCATGGCTGAATTATACTTGGAGATGTAAGCCTAGTTTCGACCCAAACCAGGTTTAACACAAGCGCAAGCACTGGGCTCGATTATTTCTGATTGGACTGTAGCTTCAAGACACTCACCTTGACAGTTGGTACCATTTCCAGTATAGCCAGGATTGCATGCACATGCATAGGAGCCATCATTGTTGCTACACGCTGCATTAACTGAGCATGCGTGTGTCTTAAGGGCACATTCATCGTCATCTGCAGTGCATAACGCAGTACATAGTGATTGTGGACCGATTGGGGTAAGAGTACAGTTGAATAAAACTCCCCACAAACAAATAATGCTAAATTTCATGCAACTAATAAATAGGACTGCATTAACTAAACATGTACGCGTCTCAAGGATACATCATTCATAGTCATCTGCACACTGCTTAACAGGTTTTAGGTGTTTAGGTGTATTTTGAACTTTACTTGATCTACCACCAGCCGTGTGATGTGCATCATCATGAACTTCTTGGACTACGAGGGGAGTCACTGGGTGATTCCGCGGTGTATGTATGACAAAGCGTCAAGATGGCAGGTTTTTTGACAACTACCTCCTTTTCTTAGAACTCCACAGGGTTCCTATGCATATCTGCTGTACAGTATGATGTCCATAAGCAGCATGAGGCAGTAGTCACAATCAACTAGTATGAGCAGGGAGTGCTAATCACATAGAACAAGTAAAGAAACATTGATTGGAAAGGAAATAAATATGGCAACTCACCAGCGCATGTAGTCGTTGAATAATTCGTTGGTTGCCCATTGTCCTGACAGAGAACATGGTCAGATCCTTGCAGAGTGTAGCCAATCTGGCATGAAAAGTTCAGTCGCTGGTTATATGTGAATGTTCCAGGAAAAAAAAAAACTGTTCACTATCCCCTGCTCACTCTCCCCCGAAGGAGAGCGCGGAGAAACGTTACTTCTCCAAACAAGCAACACACAGCTTCAGTAGATGAGCAAAAGAGAGACTTGTCACTGGTTTAATATGATGATTCCACGCTTAATATGCATACCGGTATGGGTTTCCATTTGCATTTGTACAAACTAGGACTTACCATTTTCACAGTTGAGCCCAGTGTAGCCAACAACACATGCACAGGTGTATAGATTCACTCCTTGGGTACAGCTGGCACCATTCTGGCAGGGATTGCTGGCACATTCATCAATGTCTGTGATAGCAGTAGAGGAATTTAAATAGGAGTTGATATTAGCCAACAGCCAGAAGGGTAAGCAGCAGCTTTCACCCTGTTTATCAACTCATCAATAGATCTGATTTCCCTCTTAACTTACCAACCGAACAGTTCCTTCCAGTGTAACCGGGGTTACATGCACATGAGTAGTTTGCGACTCCATCAGAGCATGTGCCACCATTCCCACAGGGGTTTGGTGCACATTCATTTATGTCTAGGGATGAGAAGAGCACAATAGGGATAAGCTTGGTGGAAGACAGTTACATAATATTATGTTAGAATATACACTGTATATAGAAGGGAACACAAATGCCTAGGCCCTACCACACTGCATAAAAAAGCCAACCAACGATCAAAATAAATTTAGTGAAAAAGGGAAAAGAGGATGAAGGAAGTGCTATATCTGGAAGCTGTTTCAAGTTCTTCATTTCAAAGTATTAGTAGCTACAATGTAGTGTGCAGAATGAACCTGTTCAGGGGACAGAATTATGGGGAAACTGGATCATGACAAGTACTGTGCTCGTACTTGGGACAATGTGTTGGTGAGATTTGATATTGTATCTGGAGGCAATTGTTGATTCCTCTCACAACGTATGAGAGCAGAAAAGACAGGGTGCTCTTTAAATCTCTCCCATGTCAAATGGACGCTGCAGTGTACTTGCATCAAACATTCCACACAAGTGAAACACAATCTAGGTGTCTTACTTATGTCACACGTAGTGCCTTGATAGCCCGTTGCACAAGTGCAACTGTAGCTGTTCACACGGTCTGCACAAGTGGCACCGTTCAGACAAGGTGATGTCGAACATTCATCAATATCTGCACACGGAAGGAACGGCATTGAAGCAAATGTGGTATATCGGTCTAACCCACTGAATTGGCAATGTAATATTCTTACTTCATAAGACAAATGATTAGATACAGCGTGAAACTAACCAGTCTGGCAGAATGTTGAGGTGTATCCCGGCAAGCAAGTACAAGTATACTGATTGATGCCATCCTGACATGTCGCACCGTTTTGACAAAGCGAGTTTGCACATTCATCAATATCTAGTGAGGAAATAAAGGCAATGAATCAGTCAAAAGCAGGGCACGTATCGCTGGAGATACGCCAAGGCTAAACTGAACCACATCGCAACCGGTCAACATGGAGGCCACCGGCCCAGGGAGGACTTGATCCCAGAAAAAATGCTAGATTTTGATATTCCATTATTCCGAACATATACCATCTGTCTGCTGGTGTGTCCCAAAGAGATTTGACTGTACGTGTAATCACAATCATAATTGCTTCAGCTTATCCAGTAATTTTAAGGTATGGTAGAATTCTCAGGGTGAAACCTCATGCAAATAAGCCCCAACACAGCCCTAAAGTGGCATGTGTGGCTGCTCGATCCCAGAATGAAACAACTGGTGCTCGATCACTGACGTGACTTCTAGGTCTTAAGTACAACTGTAGAAAGCAAAAGAGCTACGCAACAAAGACCTACTTGTTTGACATTCCGTCCCAGCGAATCCAGGATGACATCTACACTGGTACAGGTCAACCAGATTGTGACAAGTCCCATTTTGGCAGGGGTTACTGCTGCATTCATCAATGTCTGAGCAACATTTCACAGACAGCACACACAGGAACATCAATTAAAAACACTAGTGATTTTACAGCAATCATTTTACGGCAATAAGTCAAACAAAGAACAAATACAAACAAATGATGATCTGAATGCAGATAGATAGTATTAGATACTGAGTGAAAGTGACCACTATACAGTTATTGGCAGGAAATCACTGCTAGAACTCCTCATCAAATACATAAGGAGTAATGGACACCAGGAGCTACTTGTATGCTGGTCAAAGGCCCATTTTTGGGCATGGCTGAATTATACTTGGAGATGTAAGCCTAGTTTCGACCCAAACCAGGTTTAACACAAGCGCAAGCACTGGGCTCGATTATTTCTGATTGGACTGTAGCTTCAAGACACTCACCTTGACAGTTGGTACCATTTCCAGTATAGCCAGGATTGCATGCACATGCATAGGAGCCATCATTGTTGCTACACGCTGCATTAACTGAGCATGCGTGTGTCTTAAGGGCACATTCATCGTCATCTGCAGTGCATAACGCAGTACATAGTGATTGTGGACCGATTGGGGTAAGAGTACAGTTGAATAAAACTCCCCACAAACAAATAATGCTAAATTTCATGCAACTAATAAATAGGACTGCATTAACTAAACATGTACGCGTCTCAAGGATACATCATTCATAGTCATCTGCACACTGCTTAACAGGTTTTAGGTGTTTAGGTGTATTTTGAACTTTACTTGATCTACCACCAGCCGTGTGATGTGCATCATCATGAACTTCTTGGACTACGAGGGGAGTCACTGGGTGATTCCGCGGTGTATGTATGACAAAGCGTCAAGATGGCAGGTTTTTTGACAACTACCTCCTTTTCTTAGAACTCCACAGGGTTCCTATGCATATCTGCTGTACAGTATGATGTCCATAAGCAGCATGAGGCAGTAGTCACAATCAACTAGTATGAGCAGGGAGTGCTAATCACATAGAACAAGTAAAGAAACATTGATTGGAAAGGAAATAAATATGGCAACTCACCAGCGCATGTAGTCGTTGAATAATTCGTTGGTTGCCCATTGTCCTGACAGAGAACATGGTCAGATCCTTGCAGAGTGTAGCCAATCTGGCATGAAAAGTTCAGTCGCTGGTTATATGTGAATGTTCCAGGAGACACAGTCGAACTGCGTGGTGGAGCAGGCTTCTGGCAGGTCACAACTGTAGAAGCAAAATGCAATCTATCATAGTTAGTTTTGAATGATTGCTGCGTTGGATTCACTACCAGACAGGTGTACGGAATTATGACATCACCAGGACACTCCTACGTATATCTATACCAGAGTGTCGACATGGGGTTCCATTTTCTGTCACCTGACTGCCAGGACTCTCTGCAAACAATCGAGCTCAATCATGGCGAGCAAGGAGAGTAAAGCGACTGAAGACGATCGATCTTCCCCATGAGTCAGTAGCTGGAGCACAGCCTCCGGGCCGAATCGCTAGTTTCGAAGCACTCTTGGTAGTGAGGTTGGGCTTATCTTCTTTCTTTTATCAATACTCTCCAAGGGTGCTAAGAATACTGAGTTATTCGCCGGAGAAGATAGGACAGTTGCAACTCCGCGTATTGGCTCACGACAGAGCAATTTGTTCTTTGTGTGATTTTGAGAAGATAAAGCAAGGGCTAATTTTACCGGTCGTATTGCAGTGCAATGTTGTAGTTGCAGATTGCTGCTCAAACGATTCTCAAAAGCAACAAAAATCCCCTTCCCAAACGGAATTGCACATTCACGAATATGTACATGTACTCGTGGTTCAACATTTAGGACCGAATACAATACCTACATGATCTACATGAGAGAGACCTATTGTGATTACCTTTTTCCATTCAGCAAGTTATTGTGTACAATAGCCATACATCACTGAGAACTTCATTAAGAAAGCTTACTGCATGTACTTGTTGCAGGGACTTACTTGTACAAGAGCGTCCAGTGCCATTGTAGCCAACAACACAGTCACAACGATAAGTACCAATCATATCCGTACAGTTTGCATTCGTGTCGCATTCATGTCCACTTACGCATTCGTTGATATCTACCGGAGAAGAAAGCAAGTTAATTTGAATGTGAAGAAATGTTCCATGTCTTATTGGACCAAGAGAAATGAAAATGAAAACTAAAGCTAAAACTAAAAACAAATTCAATAAAGCATCAAGAGTTGACTCGGATGGAGAGTCAAGGATACATTTTTATAAAAGAAAAAGCTGAAAGTCTCAAGCATGTACATCCGCCAATGTCCTTCACAGCTGAGACTTTCAGCTCGATCTTGTCTTGGTTGCGCTCACCTTCCCCTCCTATGTTAGAACTTTCCAAATTGGGAGGTTGTTGGAGTGCGCATCCAAGATGTGTTAAAGCTGTTTGAATTCTTTATTCTCACGATGGCACCATCGCCAATAAGAGATAAATTTATGAGAAGGTGAGATTGTGGGTTAAACAGTTGGAAAGTGATTTACATCACTTTGAACTTTACAAAAATGGATCTGTTAGCCAGTTGGTTGTAAAACGTCAGTACCGTCGGTCAGTGTCGTGCAATGTTATCGCATGAGCGGATTGTTTAGTAACTGGTGGTGTTAGTGGACATTATAGCGTAACTTGTAGTTCTTTGGTCTTTTTTATTTTGCATCAAGAGTTCTTCATCTTTCTGTTCTAGATTCAATAATAGCATTTGTGGTATGTTAAGCCAGCTGGTCCTATTTATTGCGTTTCTATAGTACCCTTGTCATTTATTCAAAATATGAGATTTCCTCCAGTGAAGTCACCATAAACAAGAGTATGTAACCAAGAGTGTGCAACTCATATCCAAAGCTGTGATGGACTCATCTATGGCAGAAGTTGTATTGGATCATTTTACGAGAGCAGGGTCAAGTGTGTGAATCTTTTTCTGCACTTGTCATATCTGTTGAATGGGCTCTACAGACTGTTGTTCAGCTTCGGTTACAGTAGCTGCTTTGCACACACGTTTCTCTACAGACTGTTGTTCAGCTTCGGCTACAGTAGCTGCTTTGTATACGCGTTCTGTACTTCAGTCCTGCTCAATGAAATCCAGTCGGGTTACTCAAGTTTGTGCCTTGCACCATTGCGCAGCCCAATGTCGGCAGGCTTACGGCTGCGCAACACCCAGCGTGTACTTGAGTGACGTGACTGGATTTCATTGAGCAGCACTGGGACGGTGAGAAGGCAATCATGCCCGTGAAATTGGTGAAGTAAAATATAAGTCAACAACAACACTGTAAATGATGGCATCAGTGAGCCACATGGCGGCCAAAGACTGATGCCACAAAATATCGCACTGTGAGTTGAGAGATCGACGAGCTGCAAACTCTTGGTCATGTATTCTTGTTATGCATTCTTGTTAATGTTGTTATCAGCCGGGTTTCCACAAAACATATGTTTGGTGCTCCTTACTAAGTGCTAGTAAGAATGAGTACTGGTACTGAGCGCTTCTGGTAAAAACAGGATCCTAATTACAAAGCAACTCACTTGTGCAATAGGTCCCATTTCCAGTGTAGCCACTGTTACACGAACACCCAAAACTTCCTGGAGTGTCAGTACACAAGGCATCATGGTGGCAATCATGGAGAGTAGTGTTATCACATTCATTGATATCTTTCCATGAGATACACAAGAAACACAAGGAACAAAAGGACAGATTCAACCTAAGCCCATCAACAAGTCGTACAAGCAGCCCTAATTCGGAAAGCACACGTACTCGCTACAACCAAGAGAGAAACAGATCAATGCAACAATTGTGTGTGTGTGTGCATTCGCGCACACGTGTGTGTGTGTGTGTGTGTGTGTGTGTGTGTGTGTGTGTGTGTGTGTGTGTGCATGTGTGTGTGTGTGTGTGTGTGTGTGTGTGTGTGTGTGTGTGTGTGTGTGTGTGTGTGTGTGTGTGTGTGTGCATGTGTGCGTGCGTGCGTGCGAACGTGTATGTGTATTGGGGAGCAGCGCAGCATCTAGGAGATAACATGATACCATAGTACCAAAAGCAATAAGAGTCCAAATATTCTACACCTTGTTGTGCATATCCATATGTTGTAGAAAAAGGTTCTACAATTCGGATAATTGCTGCACCCTGGCAGAACAGTAGCCTAGCCATGACACAGATTTTCAACTACAAAGTTTGAATAAACACTGCACGCCAGAGGTCCCGCTGAGCCTTGCACTTTTCCCCGCGTGCATCCACTACTATGCACCGCACTTGTGAGCACTAAACTAGTGTGCACTGGACTGACAAGTGGAGTGGTACTGCTGCATACTAGCACAATAACCAATAGCCTATAGCCAATGACCAAACGATTAGACTGACTCCCACACGATTCAGCTGCACTAGAATGTTTCCAGAGTGAATAGGTCATAGTCACTGGTAAGCAAACAAGAACATTTTGGACACGAACTCACATAGATTAGGCACAGGAGCAAGAGGGCATGCATCAACAATTTCTCCACAATGGCAGCACAATACTGTATTGCGTGTAGGACTTGAAATTCGTCAGCTTCTTCACTTTCAGACTACAGAAAAAATCACCTACTTTGCCTCAGTCATTTCCCACTTGTCATGCAAGGGTTGTTCTCAAATGTATTTCCTTCCTTTAGATCTCTCCACCAACATTTCCATTTTCACATACCGTATTATCTCTAATATAAGCACGGTCCTTTATTTTTTCAATGTACCTCCGCCCCGTGCTATTAATGGAGACGTTCCTTTATTGGAGACTGTTCCATTATTATTTCAACCTCATTTCAGAGGCATGTTGCCATGCCAAATTCATGTATGACACACACATTTCAGGGTTTTTTCGCCGGTACAGATAATGAATTTACACAGTGTGCTTATAATGGAGACTGGGCACTTTATTTTTTGAATGCTGCCCCAAGGTGGTCTATTATTGGAGACGTGCTATTATTGGAGACTGTGCTTATATTAGAGGTAATACGGTACATGTATTTTTCGCCCTTGCGATTTCCGTGATAGGGATCTATTTGCCTTTGAAAATCAATGAAACATAATGAAATGAAAAAATGAAATGACTTGAAATTGTGATGGCATAAACTCTGCGGCACCGCCACAACTAATGACAGTCAACTGATGACACTCACCTTGGCAAACAGGCTGTGCAGTTGTCAGACTTCCACTGGCATCGCACTCAGAGCTTTTCTCTCCAACCAGACGGAATCCGGTGTGGCAGGAGTAATTTACTTGTTGGTTGTAGTTAATAGTAGGAGGAAGTGGACTGGCATTGCCATTCGCAGGTGCAGAGATTTGACATGTTTTAACTGCATTAGAGGATCAGCAAAAGAAACAACTTTTAAAGGCCACACCGAATAAGTCTTTGATTTCGGGTAACCCAACCGACCAATGTTTTGAGCGCCGACCGATGTTTTGAGCGCTGAGCGGTTTCTTTTTTTGTTGTATGCATTCATGCATATCGATGTATTTTTATGTGCGCATGATTGTACGAATGTACGTGCACACAGTTTGCAATGTTTCAAGCCCAAGCCAAGGCTCTTCCTTCCTGGCTCTGGCTAGACATTTCGGTCCTTTGTTTCGAGTTGACTCGTTCGAGTCGGATTTGTTGCAGGGTGGTTGTAGTCGCCAAGAGTAACATTTTCGACACTGATATGTTTTACGAAGTAGTTTAGAAACTTTAGTGACCGCGTATCTGTCTCCAGATTCCGTCACTATAGTTGACGGCGGCCGAACCGTCGTCAACTGCTGCATTGTTACAGTCACGGAGGAGTGTTAGAAACTCTTCGTCCAGAAGGCGTCACTCGGTTCGAAGCAATGTTTGCTTCCTCCACCGAAACCGGGTCAAGCCGTAACGGTGCTGACAAGAGTGATAATGTTGGCCGTCATTTGGAGTTCAACGCGGCCATTCTTTTTCTTTACGTTAGAACAACAGGAAGCTGTAGTTCCTGGTCCGTGATGATGGCTGAACAATGTGTTGATGCGCAACATCTCGGAGCTCTGCTTTGCTCGGTGTCTGAGTATGACCAGTTTGGCTGTACCTGGTGGTCTGATCGAGTTGTTGTCTTGTTTATTATTATTATTCTTTGAAACTAGGACGGAGGCAGAAAAAATAATGTGTTGTCTACGCACGCATCTACGCAAGAATCACCACCTACCAATTAGGACATGTGTCAAAAGAATTGAACGTTTTCGTTCCCTTCTTCACAAAATACTACAGGGAATGATGGAAATAAGCTAAGAGACTACAACTATAAGGAAACGAGATACATCACTCCAATTATGTGTAGAAGTGACACGAAAAAATGTGAAGAGTCAAGAAAACAGCACGGAAATCCAATGAGTGACAAAAACGTAGTGACAAGAAAAAGAGAGAAAATATCAAGAGATCAAGGGATCTATTTCGCACCTTCACGACGAACAGTACCAAACAACTGCAAAGACAACACATTCTCCTTCTGACCACAACGCTCAGGGTCTAACTTACGTATGTACTAAGCAAGAGCAGTGCTTGTTGTCGTGAGTGGTATTCCGATGATGTATTCTCTGTTTTGTCGCGTGGTAGGTCTGACAACTAAACTAAACTGAGCAGTGAACTATATAGGGTCAACGCAACGCAGCTTCCAATCAGCAAGGGCGGCGGGATGAGGTGAAAGCTTAGCACATAGATAAGAAGAGCGCATGTTGACGAATATGGTGCTAAGGGCTGATTTCCACTACGGTACCGTGAGTGCCGTGCCGTGAGTACCCATGGCGATTTGCTCACGTGAGGGACAGTTTGGGCGTGAATTCATTCCGTGGCTCCTGCCGTACCGCGCCGTGGACATTCCGGTGCCGAGGGCCTCCGTGAGGTCGAATGCAGTGAGTAGTAGGTATTTTACTACTCCCTGAAAGGAAGTTTTTTCTTTCTTTTGTATTTGTGATACGAAGTTTTTTCTTGGCTTTAGGCTTTTCGATTGGTTGATTCTTGAGCCTTCTCCAGTCATCTCCCCCACTATTTTCCCTCAGGACCAAAGTCAGAAATTGATAAAAATGGTGATCCGGCCTGCCGACGGAATGCACGGAATGACTGTGCGCAGGTGTAAATCACTCTCAGCTTCAAGCTCGTACCGTGGGGTACACGTGACCTACCCAAATCGTCGGCATGGCACTCACGGTACCTCTTTATCCTTTCTTTTCTCTTTTTGCTAAAAGCTTTCTTCTCGCCGTGACCACGATTTTTTCTTTTCCTTCTTTTCTCTTCTTCCTTTGCTGAGAGCCTTCTGTTCCCATATTTTCTTTTCATCTGTGTCTGCTGCCGAGTTTCCCATGCCTGGGTTATTTGGACTTCATTCGCTTCCTTGTCATTGGACATGTTCAGTCCGTTCGGTTTGCGAATTCAAATAAACACAACCAACCAGCGTAGAAGTAAGGTGTTAGATGTGGCGCATACAGGTAGTGATCTAACAGAGCATGGAGAGGAAAACTGCTACAGGTGCGGCCTAAAGCAGATATTTTCACTTCACCAAGGCTTTTGTATTTAAAAACACAGAAGAGAGTTTTATGCACCAGTACCAGGACTGTGTTAATACACGAGAGTTTTCAAACTGGGTTTAAGTCTGTAAGGTTGAAATGGTTACGCTGGCAAAAGTTCATATCCAGAGTCCTATGGGCTGGTGTGGCTACTTTGGCTGGAAGTTTGCGCGTGCAATGCTGAATAGAGGTAGTACGGGTATAGCGTATAGCGTATAGCATATAGTGTACATTTCTCGTATCCCCTTGTGTATTCTTGCCTCCGAGAGACTGCGGCCCGCTACATGGGCAGTTGCGCACTCCTAGGATCATGTACTCTCGACACAAGTGCACTGTTCATGTGAATACTCGAAGTAATATCATACGATGACCTGCTTCAACATTGCATGTGCACTCCACGACAAGGTACTCATGCGGTGCTTGCCAAATTGAAAATGTAAATACTCATGGATTGCTACTCTCCAGATTCTATTCACTCCGGACAAAAAAATCAACCACTGGTCAGAGATGCTGATACAAGATAAATGGATTGACTGCATAGCATGCCTGCTAAAGATAAGGGCTACAGTGTTCCACCAAGATCCAATTACAGCGAAGCCGTGCTACCAGAGACTTACTCGTGCATGTTGGTGCATTCTGCCACACACCAGCAGCATTGGTACATGTGGTGGCTGCCTGAGAAGGAGTGTTCTCATAACCAATAACACAGGTTACGACTCCACTGCTAGTAATCGAATCAATGAACTTCCCTAGTGGAATATTGCAGGCTGTAAAGGGGCAAAAAGTGTAAATTAAAAAAACAGAAATATAACATCGCAATCATTGACATCATATGCAGTCATTTAACACAGTCATGCATCTACACACATCATACATGGATCGGAATTATGATATGAATGCAATAGGTAAGTCCAGTTGAGTTTTGAACACACACACACGACTGGAGCTTAGCATCCTATTAAGTTAACCCTTTGTGTATGGACTGTACAACTTTCAATCCCCTGGGATCAAAACTTTTCTAAATTTCAACCGCTCGTAACTCAGTCATGTCTGGGTTATTTCCAAAAACTAAAAAATGTAGGTCAAAGAGGAAACTCCCACCTGTCCCTTGAAATAATCGCAGAAGCGCTCCGATGTGCAGTTCCAGAGTTATGAAGCTCGAAAGTCGAGTCACGGCAAATGTCGCTCAATAGCCGCGTGCACAGATTTGACCGAGGGATTTCCCCATCTCTCTAGGGATGCAGTGACGTGGAAACGCTTTCAAAATGGCTAACAGACGCGTGGCAGTTTGTACAAGTTACGCTATATTCTCCACTAACACCACCAGTTACTTTACAATCAGCTCATGCGATAACATTGCACGACACTGACCAATGGTACTGACGTTCTACACCTAACTGGCAATCAGCTCTAGCACATCTTGGATGCGCACTCCAACAGCCTTCCAGCTCGTAGAAAAAACATAAGGAGGGGCATGTCATCGCATGAGCTGATTGTAAAGTAACTGGTGGTGTTAGTGGAAAATATAGCGTAACTTGTAGCTCTTCTGGTCCTCTTTTCTTCTTATAAAATAATAATGGGGAATTGTGTGTTGCTCCCTACATGGGAGCTTGCGGTTTCCCTGCCGACTTGAATTCTCACTTGACTGACTCACGACTGCCATCCAGAGCAAAAAGAAGTCGCACCAACCTCTTCTTAAAGGGGAAGTTAAGGCAAAAATTAAAATTTCACCAGTTGTAGTCTTCGGGGTGCTGAGTCGAATGGTCTTGGTCCGAGAAAGCTGAGACCCTCCCTTCCTGCTTGAATCCCAATCGAACTCGCGCACTTCCACCGAAACTGGGTGACTGCGCCCTACTAGATGGGGATTTGTATGCAAAATGTCACTAAAAGCGCCATTTCGTTCTTATAAAAGCACGGATGGCCGCGATTGGCCCATATGTTGTAGTCTTTTGGACGCTGAGTCGACTGGTTTTGGTCCGAAAAGGCTGCGATGCAGCGTTCCTCCTTTATTCCCAATCGAACATGGTTGCAGAAGCGGTCACGTGCTCCTGGGTGCCACAAATCACCTGGTCACCACGCCAGCAGGCGACAACTTTCACACCAAGGTTCAACTCGAGTTCAACTCCAGTGACAGGACTGCACCCAAAAAAGGTCAAACAGGCTAGTAAGTTGTACCCTGCAGGCACGGTGACCAGGTGACTGGTGTACGCAGGAGCACGTGACCACTTGTTCGACCATGTTCGATTGGGAATAAAGGAGGAACGCTGCATCGCAGCCTTTTCGGACCAAAACCAGTCGACTCAGCGTCCAAAAGACTACAACATATGGGCCAATCGCGGTCATCCGTGCTTTTATAAGAACGAAATGGCGCTTTTAGTGACATTTTGCATACAAATCCCCATCTAGTAGGGCGCAGTCACCCAGTTTCGGTGGAAGTGCGCGAGTTCGATTGGGATTCAAGTAGGAAGGGAGCGTCTCAGCTTCCTCGGACCAAGACCATTCGACTCAGCACCCCGAAGACTACAACCGGTGAAATTTTAATTTTTGCCTTAACTTCCCCTTTAAAATAATAATACAGACATCATGACTTTGCACATTTATCATTACGACCCAGATTATACACACACACAACCTAGATGGCTAGATGGCTAGGATAAAATACTCTTGATGACTATAGTAGTCAAAGCTTGCAATCTCTCTCTTGTGTAGTAGTTATTTTATGATTCTCTTTTAACTTTTCAGCTACTAAAATTTAGGTTTCAATCTATTTAAATGATACATGTACATACCCTGGCAAGATGCAAGGCTTTGCCAAGTTAGTAAATGATCTTCACAAACAGGCTGCATTCCATTGTAGTAGTACCCAGCATCACAAGTTACAATGCCACTAACAGATACAGAAGATACCCTATGACCACTGCCACCGACTTGACAAGCTGAGAAAGCAACAGGGAACATGTACGCACACACACACACACACACACACACACACACACACACACACACACACACACACACACACACACACCACGCACACATATGAATACACACACAAACATGTACACATATATGCACATATGCACACACGCGCACGCACACACACATATGCACATATGCACACACGTGCACGCATACACACACACACACACACACACACACACACACACACACACACACACACTCTCAAACATACATGCATGCACACACATGGGTAAAACACACAAACACACAAGCACATGAACACTTAAGTAATGGCTACCAGATATGAGGCGGTAATTCATACATATTTTAAAACATGGGAAATCCACCGATTTATGTAGGTAAAACACTGAAATTCCTAGTGATATAGTGGAATTTACCTTGACAAGTAGGTGCTGAATAGAAGTCAGCACTTCCGTTCACAACAGTACAGTTCAATCTTGTGTTGCTCACTCCACTTGATAGTCTGTACCCCTGGTTACAGTTGTACACAGCTGTCGAGTACAACTCAGCACTGGAGCCAGAAACAGTCACTTTTGTTGCATTGACTTCTCCCTCACTGATGCTTGGCTTGTTGCACAAAGCTGGGAGAGATGAATTGCACGCACATGCACACACACACACACAGACACACACACACGCACACACAGACACACACACACGCACACACACACGCACACACACAAACATACACACACAAACATACACACACAAACATACACACAGATACACAGACACACACACACACACACAGACAAACACACATGAACACACAGACACACACAAACACACATGAACAGACAGACACAGATACGAACACACAAGAACAAACACTGGATCTGCTGTTCAGTGAAACAATGCATACCTGCCACATGTCAACATACAATCTCCCCAAATAGGAATCAGCAAGGACCTTCTTACTTTGGCATTCTCCAACTCCCTCCCAGTTGCCAGTTGTAGAATCCACCAGGCATCTAGCTAAAGCAACGGCACCCTGAACACGGGTTTAGCCATTACTACAGGTTACTTTGCCAGTACTATCGATGGTGTCGGAATTATTCATGATGAAGTCACAAAAACTTGCCAATGTATCCATCGTTTCAATTGTATTTGCCTCGTAAGTTGCACAACAGTCAAGCAGATCATCCAAGAAGGACGGGTTGGTATTATTTTGCCAAGTTGAAACGACTACAAGAATGGCGAACGGACCTCATCTGTAGCTTCAATTTAGGAAAATTTAGGACGAGTCTTGGTTTGAAATTTTGACAACGTCTGGCTCCCGGCACTGGCGCGAACGGTTCACAGACCACTTTTGGTCAAAATTCTACGGGATCAGCGCCGGGCAAATCGCAAGAGTTGGGCACTGGCCAACTTTGCATGTACGCCATGACCCCATCTCATGAAACTTCCTACGAAAGTTCATTTGCGTTCCCTGCAACTTTCGTGTCCAAAGCTGCGAAAGCTTGTGCGAAGTTTTGCACTTTATTTATTTTATTTATTTATTTATTTATTACAGCACCTCATAGCACAGTGAGAACACCGGCCAATACAAAGAGAGAGGGTGTTAGCCAACCACGGCAAGGCAGGGAGAAGGGGAGGAGAAGAAAAAGGAACCGGCATGGATAAGCAGTGATTGCAACCAAATCAGAAACACAAAATCAAAGTCAAGGCGCGACAAGGCTCTTAAAAAGGCGGAGGGAAGAAAGGTCCTTAGAAGTGCCAGCCACGCAGAGTACGCAATAAAAAAGGGAGAGTGAAGTAGAAAGGAGGACTTAGGTTTCGGAAGGGAAAGGGAGTTTCTCGTGCTACGGGAAGAGAACCAGTTGAAACAGCACTTTATGACGTAAAGCGAAAGTTTGTACGCATTTTCGTTTTGCAGAACCTCTCTAATTTATAAGAATAAAAAGAGCACCAAAGAGCTAAAAGTTACGCCATATTATCCACTAACACCACCAGTTACTTTACAATCAGCTCTTGCGATAACATTGCATGGCACTGACCAACGGTACTGACGTTCTACACATAACTGGCAATCAACTCCAGCACATCTTGGATGCGCACTCCAACAGCCTTCCAGCTTAGAAGCTAAGACTTTCAGCTGGTGCTTGTCTTGGTTGTGCTCACCTTCCCCTCCTTATGTTAATTCTATAATTTAGGACCTTCCAAGTTTTCTTCTGATAAATTATATTTCCGCTGATTCAACAGAGTACAGGTAGACTCCCTCTAATTCGAATACGGTATAATTCGAATATTCCGTGTAATTCGAACTTTTTCGTCGTACCGATTTCTGCAAGTCACTTCAAGTCAAATTCGAATGCATAATTCGAAGTACGAAAAGTGCGCCCGCTGGATAATTTGAACTCTGCCTTCGTACAGAAGAGCAGTTTACAGTACAGTGACTATGTCCTTCGAGCGCTTATTTCGAAGTGAGATGGAGTTGCTCTACTCGTAATTCGAAGTTCGTTTTTTCTCCTTCTCTACCGAGAGTAACTCAAAAATTGATAGCGTTGAAGAAACCCACCTTCTCTCGAAATTTGATACAAGCCTGTGCAAGGCAAAGTGCAAAGATTTGATTGAAGACGACTTCTTCCAGGTGGTTGGCTCCCTTCGCGGATCTCGATGGCTTGTCGTGCCACGCTAGCTCATGCGCAAAGAAGTTTGGGACTGAACAACAACTGGAAGTCGTAAATATTGTCTATGCCTTACGATGTGCTGCTCTCCGAAGGGCTTTTATGACGCAGAGAAGGCAGCGCTCTTCTTTTGCGTTGACATCGTTTCAGGACAACTGCAGCGATTGAAAACTGCTTCACTAGAACTTTGTAGGAGATGAAAATAATGTCCAATGACTTCATGTCGATCCAGTGTTTTGGTGAAATGAACTAATTTCGTAGTTCGTGACCACCTATGTTTCGTTGATGCAGATAAAATGTGCAAAAATAATCAGCACGCAATTTCGAGCATTTTGACATACATAATATCAGTACATGGGACTGCATTTGGATAATTAGAAGTTCCGGATAATTCGAATTTAGGGCCTGGCAATTTCAGGTTCGAATCAGAGGGAGTCTACCTGTACAGGAAAACCATCTGGGAGCACAGACCACATAGAAAATGAGATCGTGGACGCAATAGAACATTTTTCAAGAGGTCTTCTAAAACAAACAGCATGGGTTGAGGACTTCGCCCGACCCCGGCCACCTCTCAAGAAAACTGTTCAAGATCCAGGTGGGTCGTTCTTTGGTTCTGTTTGGTTTTCACTGGAGGCTTCTTTCTTCATCCTTCTTTATCCATATTCATGTGTTGTTCCCATCTATCAACAGTTAACACAAGCATCTGCATGCCGCACTCACACAACGAGCAACCAGTTTGGGGAATAGGAGGGTTTGTCAATTGCTTTGCCAGGCTCCGAGTGAGTGACAGCTTAGAGCTGTGTGAATGTGTGTGTATGGCAGCTGGGTAGGGCCCTGCTGCGGAGGCTGAGTGAGCCGTATTGAGAGGCTGAGTTAGCCGAGGCTGAGTGAGCCGTCTGAGTGTGAGAGGCTGAATGATCCGTATGAGGAGCTTGGTAACCAAGGTTGACTCCCCTCCATGTATTTACAGAGTTTCGCCGGTAGACGGCATCGGTGTAGTTATTGTAGGCCGGTATGATAATGGATACCGACAGGAGAGAACTAGAACAGGAAACATGATGATGACAATAGTGGAGTGGGTGGGTTGAGAAAGAAATCCACTGCCAATGCGGACAAAGCAAGAACTGAAATCAGGAACAGTGGACTTCGGAGAACAATGAGCACGTGAGAGTTAGTTGGGAACAGAGCATGCGCCTTCTGTGTAAACATATTTTTTGCGCGTGCGCAAAAAATCATTTAACAAAGGTCATGTATTTGGTACTCTTGTATGTTGTATGGTGAAAGCCACAATAGGTATATGTGCACATTGTGAGGTTCTTGAAATTTCTATCCAGCGGCTTCCCTAAGAATCGTGAGGTGCACATTGCCCGAGCATTTGCATGCCGTATCCCCTCCGGGGCATACAACTCCCTGATATAAATCTAGTTCTTGGCTTGAAAATGGTATCTTAGGGGAATTCTATGTGGTGCAGATCAGCCAATTCAAAGCATGCGAAGCGTCAACAAACTCACCTCTGCATGTTGTACCGTTTCCGTGGAAACCAGCATTACAAGAACATGTGAATGATCCAACAGTATTTGTGCAGGCTGCTGATGAGTCACAATCATTCACACCAGAGGTACTGCATTCATCGATATCTGCAATCAGAATGGGAAAGCACAGAAAAGAAAATAGGCTACAAAAACCATGACTGATGCATATGCATATCCATGACACCTACAATTACACCCAGCAGCAAAAATCACCAGCATGTCAGGCGCATGCCCCGTATGGGTTCCTGGGTGCCCGGACCCCCCCCCCCTTTTTCGCTCAAAATGCAGGATTTTGCTTCATTTTTTGAAAAATTTCCCGGGGGAGGTCCCCGGAAACCCCCTTTGAAGGGCACCGGCGCACGCGCCTGCATGTCATATACAAAGTCAAATGGATTACAATGTGGTGCGTCCACTTTTGTAAAAATTTTCAGGTGTTCTGGCCTTTCCTGAAGTTGATTGCCGGCTGACTGTGACCAGGATCCAAAACTTGTTTCTGGTGTGCTCTGCCTTGCAGATGGCTGGTCAGAATAACGTACGCTGCAGCAACCGACCAGGTAACCTGCGTCATGCTCAGCAATAGCAGGACCAAATATTGCTGTTGTTAGGCGCAATCATCTCGCTCTCTCCAATAATCTCGCTCTCTTCAAATAATCTCAATGTAGTCGTTTCGTTCGTCCTGGTCTCATCGTCTATAATAAATGTCGTTCCCTATAACTTGTTCCCATTGTCCGTTGTAATGTCTGAAGAAGATGTCGTCAGTTGTCCTTCTTCGGACCCAACATTGGCGCCCAACGTGGGGCTCGAACCCACGATGGCCGACTGAGTCGGTAGAGCATGAGACTCTTAATCTCAGGGTCGTGGGTTCGAGCCCCACGTTGGGCGCCAATGTTGAATGTTTCACAACAGCAAACGGACGCCAAAGAGAGATTGTTGCAGAGATTGTTGCAGAGATTGCTGCAGAGATTGTTGCAGAGAGAGAGGGCTCGACTGAGAAAATAACGCAATATAAAGGGCCTGGGTAGCTATGGCAAACATGGACGTGCAAGTAGCTACCCAGGCCAAATGAATAATGCATGAACTTGTGGGCCTAACACTGTGATAAAGAAATGGCACACTGATATAAGGGCAGTGATCCATGAACTGCTTTGATTCTTGGGACGCACCAACACTGATTTTAGGGTAGTTAGATACTTAATGATTTCCAGAAATCATAATACGTTAAGTGAAACAATATTTACCTTGACAAGTAGGTGGTCCATGGAAGTCAGCACTTCCACTCACAACAGAACAGTTTACTCTTGTGTTGCTCACTCTACTTGATAGTCTATAGCCCTCGTTACAGCTGTACACAGCTGTCGAGTACAACTCAGCACTGGAGTCAGAAACAGTCACTTGTGTTGCATTGACTTCTCCCTGGCTGATGCTTGGCATGTTGCACAAAGCTGGGAGAAATGAACGTACATTAGTATACCGCACAAGCCAAGAATGATCAGACATGCATCAGGGGAAGCCATGATGTAGACCCTCTTCATACCTGCATTTTAGGGTGTCACATGTCAACATACAATCTCCCCAATAGACCTTATGCACATTGTACAGATGTACGAAGTTCTGTGCTAGGACCGTAGGTGTGTACAGACCCGGTTGGGTGTTCATTGTGTGCTATGCATGCGCATTCGACCAATTTTAGCCTCATAATTAATCGCAAACAATCTCTTTTCCAGCTTCTTCACTTCGGTTGAACCTAACAACTAGCTAGATCTTAGTCAAAAAAGGTTTTCGTATGAAATGCCTTCAGGGCCTACGTTGTATTTCTTAGTGGAAATAGCAGAAAACACAATAGGGTCCTGCACATTCAACAACCAACCGGGTCTACGGGATTCTACGAGATTTCGTGCGTCTGTACAACGTGCATAAGGCTTATTAGGGGCCGTCTGTAAATATCGATGTTTTTTTAGAGACGATATTGGTGCGTCTGGGGGGGGGGGGGGGAGGGGGTTTGAGCCATGTGCGTCTTTTCGAGCATCAGAAAAATATCGATGTAAATATCTGAAGTTTCGCCGATCCCTGCACGCGGACGTCTAAATGGCTATACAAGAAATGTGAAACCAGCTTCCGTTCGCAGAGCTAAAACTCGCGACACAAGAACAAAATCAAAAATTGGAAGCTGTACGCCCATGGCGAATTTCAAGAGCAAAAGAATGAGCTATTGATTGTGGAAATCGGCCGAACGATGCCTGCAGGAGACCTTTTTCAAGACGTAGAGGCAGTGCGAACAAACACGGACGAACTCCACAAGAGTTTCCAGTCATAATGCTCTCCTTCTCAATTAGACCATATAAATACTGCAAACTTGCCATCTTGGGTTCATATTATTGACAAAAAAAGGAAAAAAATGAGCATCCAAAAATATTGATTCCATGATCTAGATGTACATGTGCGTCTTCTGGGGGGAGGGGGGGGGGGGGTCAAGGGAGAGAAGCACCAATATCGTCTCTAAAAAAACATCGATATTTACGGACGGCCCCTTACAGTCCATTTCAAAAACATTGACAATCAGGTTTTGGTATGAAGATAAGGGGAAATCGGAAAACAAAGTACATAGCAGGGCTGAGTGAAGGATTTCGGCCAGGTTTCTGGCCTTTTGCCCTGGTTTTGACTTTGCCCAGGAAGCCAGTAGCGATCTTCATCAAAAAACCATGATTTATCTTTGCCTTTTGGGCTTTGTGGTTATGAATGCTGTCTGCTGACCATGAAGTTGTGGGTTCAAATCCCAAACCTATCTCCAACTCAAACTTTTTTTAAGATGAAGAAAGGAAAAGGACAAAATGTTACGAGTTATGACAAACTGTCCAACAACGTAACCAGATCTTATACAGTCAGCGAGTGCGACAAAATGGCACAAACCACAAGGAGTACTGAGACATTCGGCGACCTTACACCTAGCTCCAACACTTCTCCAAGGCGCAAACCAACAACATAACTCATAACTCGTAACATTTTGTCCTCTTCCTTTCTTCATCATAATTATATTGGCTCACCATCCGAGTTCAAACTTTTTTCTTCGTTATTTTGGTGAGTCAAGTCAAAGAAGGTGGCTGCCCCAAACAACTTGTTGAATGTTGTTGTTGGAGTTTGCGTTTCCTTCCGACTGACTGACACTTGACTGGCTCGCGTCATGTGAACATACACACAACACTGAAACGGTGTGAGTGAGTAGAAGGCATTGCGCTGTAGCTACGTGTTGAATATACAGGCACATCGATCGATCGACTTCTTGTTGAGAATTATTTTATTATTTCACGATTGTCAATTTATTTGAATTTAGGAGTCGGCGACATCTTCTATCAACTTCCACAGGCGTCTGCTTTTCCCAAAATGTCGCCGAAGTCACACGGATCGATGGCTTTGCCAAGTCATGGCCTGGAGAATGAGTCCGTATCCGTGTCGTTTTCGTCACACGGTGAGAATAAATTGCTTTGCAGGGACACAGCTCAAAGAAACTATTTGGTCACAAAACAAATCGGGACTCATGCCGCCCTTCAACAGTTACCAGGGTTTCGACTTCTCTATGTACATGTACTCCATATCGATACAAGCAAGAGTTAAGTTGTTTGTTGTCAACCAGGGAGCCCTACACATGTATAGGGCTCCCTGTTGTAAACCAGACGTACCTGCGTGCGCGAGTTGTCACAGTTTTCCATACTTTCGCGCGGAATATTTCTTCGAGTTCACAGCGAATTTTTCCATGCACCACATGCGGTAAGACGGCAAACTCCCGGGCGATCACCAGGATTGTCAATGTTTTTGAAATGTAGGAATCAGCAAGGACCTTCTTACCTTGGCATTCTCCAACTCCTTCCCAGTTGCCAGTTGCAGAATTCACCGGGCAGCTAGCAACAGCAACGATGCCCTGAACACGGGTGTAGCCAATACTGCAGGTTACTTTGCCAGCACTATCGATTCCAGCAACATTGGACTCTGTGAAGCCACATGCTGAAACATAACATATAATACAAAGGCAAATTTACATTTATGTACAGAAAAGAAGCGTACTTGAAAAGTTTACGAAGTAATTTGTGTGCGAAATTTAACTCGGACACTGAGCCAATCAGAAATGTAAAATAGAGAAAAAAACACATGGGAACGAGTTATGAAGCAACTATCCACGACTGTAACAAGATAATAAGCAGTCAGAAAGTGCGAAAACAGGGCACAAAAGTGACAGACTACTGACGCATTCAACGACCTGAGACCTAGCTCTAACACATCTCCAGTGCGCAAACCAACAGCCTTCCAACTGAAAGTTCACGGTTAGGTAGTACCGAAGAGGGGAAGGTTTATCTCTGATATTGCTGACCCACCAAAGCTGGGTGGTGTGTTGCTTTGCTGCTTCGAATTGTAGTTAGACCGCATTGTCATGTTATTAACTAGTCTGATCATCATCCTGTAACATTCGGCATTATTTGTTGCCGTGGGACTTAGCTTGTGCACATTTCGCTGCGCTCACCTTCCCATCTTCATTCCTACTTAACCGTGAACCTTACAAATTGGAGATTTGTTAGAGCGAGGTCTCAGGTCGTTGAATGTCTCAGTAGTCTGTCAGTTTTGTGCCCTGCCATCGCACTTTCTGACTGCTTACAGTGGCGTAGGAAGATGCATTGTGAGGTCCTCGAAATTTCTAAACAGCGGCTTCCCTAAGAATCGTGAGGTGCACATTGCCCGATCTTTCGCATGCCGTGTCCCTTCCGGGCATACAACTCCCTGCTATAAATCTATAGTTCTCGGCTTGAAAATGGCGTTTAGGAATATTATGTTGTGCAGATCAGCCAATTTAAAGCATGCGAAACATCAACAAACTCACCTCTGCATGTTGTACCATTTCCATGGTAACCAGCATTACAAGAGCATGTGAATGATCCAACAGTATTTGTGCAGGCTGCTGATGAGTCACAATCATTCACACTAGAGGGACTGCATTCATTGATATCTACAATCAGAACGGGAAAGCACAGAAAAGAAAATAAGCTGCAAAAACCATGGCAGATGCATAATATGCATATCCATGACACCTACAATTATACACAACAGCAAAAAATCAGCAGCATGCCGTATACAAAATCAAATGGAATCACAATATGGACTCGGATGGAGAGCCAAGGATAATTTATAGAAAAAGAAATTTATAGAAAAGAAAAAGGACCAAGGAGCTACGCGATAATATAATAGGGAGTTTTAGTCCCACGTAATCCGTGGGTACTTTACGTGTGTGTACCACGTGATACTCAGTGACCCACGTACAGACGTTTTCTGATTCACGACATACCGTGTATGGAGGCTCACCCACGTTCCGCCAGAACGTGGGTGAAAATCAGAATGGAGCGCATTTTGCGAGCTGTGAGGGTGCTCAGCTGAAGAAATTTCCGAAGCACGAAATAAAAATATTCGATGAGCTTCTTTAAGTCCCGGGTAGCTTCGTCTTTGACCAGGTTTGGGCCTTTCGCTTCATGCTTTTGTTTGTTCCGTGTGACTAAACACAACATTGCAACGTGGATGCCCTTCATCCACTTTACGTGGATCACCCACGTACGCGTTTCCGTTACGTGGGAACTAAACCTCCCTAGTGTCCACTAACACCACCAGTTACTATTAAAACAATCAGCTTATGTTATAACATTGCACGACACTCACCGACGGTACTGATGTTCTACAACTAAGTGGCTATCAGCTCTAGCATCCCATGGATGAGCACTCCAACAGCCTTCCAACTTCATCGACATGCAAGTACATCCGCCAATGTCCTTCACAGCTGAGACTTTCACCTCTTTCTTGTCTTGGTGCATTCACCTTCCCCTCCTATGTCATCATATGACTTAGAACCTTCCAAGTTGGAAGGCTGTTGCGCATCCATGGCGTGTTAGAGCTGATAGCCAGTTAGTTGTAGAACGTCAGTGCCGTCAGTCAGTGTCGTGGAATGTTATCGCATGAGCTGATTGTTTAGTAACTGGTGGTGTTAGTGGACATTATAGCATAACTTGTCATTCCTTGGTCCTTTTCTTTTCTATGAGTACAATAATGGCACGTACACTTTTGTACAATTTTACAGGTGTTCTGGCCTTTCCTGAAGTTGATTGCCGGCTGACTGTGACCAGGATCCAAAACCTTTCCTGGTGTGCTCTGCCTTACAGATGGCTGGTCAGAATAACGTACGCTGCAGCAACCGACCAGGTAACCTGCGTCATGCTCAGCAACAGCGGGACCACTATTGCTGTGATAAAGAAATGGCACACTGACATATGGGCAGTGATCCATGAACTGCTTAGATTCTTGGGAATGCACCAGCATTTTAGGGCAGTTAGATACTGACATTTCCAGAAACCATAATACATTTGTGAAACAATATTTACCTTGACAAGTAGGTGGTCCATGGAAGTCAGCACTTTCACTCACAACAGAACAGTTTACTCTTGTATTGCTCACTCCCCTTGATAGTCTATAGCCTTCATTACAGCTGTACACAGCTGTCGAGTACAACTCAGCACTGGAGCCAGAAACAGTCACTTGTGTTGCATTGACTTCTCCCTCGTTGATGCTTGGCATGTTGCACAAAGCTGGGAGAAATGAATGGCATGAACGTACATTAGAATACCGCATAAACAAAGAATAATCTGACATGCATCAGGAGAAGCCATGATGTAGATCCTTTTCCTACCTGCATTTTAGAGTGTCACATGTCAACGTACAATCGCCTTAACTAGGAATCAGCAAGGACCTTCTTACCTTGGCATTCTCCGACTCCTTCCCAGTTGCCAGTTGTAGAATTCACCGGGCAGCTAGCTACAGCAACGATGCCCTGAACACGGGTGTAGCCATTACTGCAGGTTACGTTGCCAGTACTATCGATTCCAGCAACATTGGACTCTGTGAAGCCACATGCTGAAACATAACATATAATACAAAGGCAAATTTACATTTATGTACAGAAAAGAAGCATACTTGAAACGTTTACGAAGTAATTTGTGTGCAAAATTTAACTCTGAGCCGATAAGGAATGTAAAATAGAGGAAAAACACATGGGAACGAGTTATGAAGCAACTATCCACGACTGTAACAAGGTAATAAGCAGTCAGAAAGTGCGAATACTGAGCACGAAAAGTGACAGACTACTGAGACATTCAACGCCCTGAGACCTAGGTCTAACACATTTCCAGTGCGCAAACCAAAATCCTTCCAAATTGGAAGGTTCACGGTTAGGTAGAACAGAAGAGGGGAAGGTTTATCTCTGATATTGCTGACCCACCCAAGTTGGGTGGGGTGTTGTTTTGCTGCTTCGAATTGTAGTTAGACCGCATCGTCATGTTATTAACTGGTCTGATCATCATCCTGTAACATTCGGCATTCTTAGTTGCCGTGGGACTTAGCTTGTGCACATTTCGCTGCGCTCACCTTCCCATCTTCATTTCTACTTAACCGTGAACCTTACAAATTGGAGATTTGTTAGAGCTAGGAATGTCTCAGTAGTCTGTCAGTTTTGTGCCCTGTTATTGCACTTTCTGACTGCTTACAGTGGCATAGGAAGATGCATTGTGAGGTTCTCAAAATTTCTAAACAGCGGCTTCCCTAAGAATCATGAGGTGCACATCGCCCGAGCTTTCGCATGCCGTGTCCCTTCCGGAGCATACACCTCACTGCTATAAATCTATAATTCTCGGCTTGAAAATGGCGTTTTAGTGGAATACTATGTTGTGCAGATCAGCCAATTTAGAGCATGCGAAGCGTCAACAAACTCACCTCTGCATGTTGTACCATTTCCGTGGAAACCAGCATTACAAGAGCATGTGAATGATCCAACAGTGTTTGTGCAGGCTGCTGATGAGTGACAATCATTCACACCAGAGGGACCGCATTCATCGATATCTGCAATCAGAACGGGAAAGCACAGAAAATAAGCTGCAAAAACCATGGCAGATGCATAATATCAAGAGTACATAACCAATAATAGTGTGCAACTCGACGATCCCCCAGCCCATGGCGGAATGTTTTTTTTATGAAATCAGTCTTTGTCGGCGGTTTGGCTCACTGATGCCATCATCCGTAGCCAGAAATCAAAGTACAAATAATGTGTACATTATAGCTACGGTAATCGAACCAGAACAACGGACGATAGATCGATATGTCTTGAACCTGACGAACTCTCACTGTATCTACAAAACAAGCGTGGGAAAGAATACCCATTTCATCATACTTCTGCCAAAGAATGACGCAATAAAAAAAATTCCGCCATGGTGAACCCATTGCAGCTCAAGATAGGAGTTGCACACTCTTGGTTATGTACTCTTGATGATATGCATATCCATGACACCTACAATTATACACAACAGCAAAAAATCAGCAGCATGCCATATACAAAAACAAATGGAATACAATATGGACTCAGATGGAGAGCCAAGGATATTTTATAGAAAAGAAAAGGACTTCTTGGGAATGCAACTACATTATAGGGTAGTTACATACTTACATTTCCAGAAATCATAATACATTTGTGAAACAATATTTACCTTGACAAGAAGGTGCTGAATGGAAGACAGCACTGCTATTCACAACAGAACAGTTTACTCTTGTGTTGTTCACTCCACTTGATAGTCTATAGCCCTTGTTACAGCTGTACACAGCTGTCGAGTACAACTCAGCACTGGAGTCAGAAACAGTCACTTGTGTTGCATTGACTTCTCCCTGGCTGATGCTTGGCATGCTGCACAAAGCTGGGAGAAATGAATGGCATGCACGTACATTAGTATACCGCACAAACAAAGAATAATCTGACATGCATCAGGAGAAGCCATGGTTCGTTCACGAACTCTTTCGTTAGATCACTCCACCAGCAGGTTCGTTACGTACTAAATTCGTTTTTGGTCGAAGTCTGTCACCCCGAAAGTTCAGAAAAAAACTGTTATTCCGTGCCCCATAACGGACATGGTGAAAGTTAATTCCAAACGAAACTTTGTACTTATACAGTAGACCCTTTTCATATTATACCTGCATTTTAGGGTGTTAACTTTTGAATTGACCGTAAACTCCAACGGTGTCACTAGGGACATTTATCATCGTGAACGTTGGCACTTTCGTTGCGGGTGACATTATTTTCGTAAAAAGAGTCTGTGGATGATGTGATATGATGCCCATGTTTTATCACGTGATTATTACGTCATATATTTTGCCTGCATGTTACGTCACAACCAGCATGCGCCATCTTGGATTCTAGTCGGCTTAACCCTTTTACGGTCTCACATTTGAAAATCGATCACCGGTGATTGATTTCTTCAAACTATCGTAACTCAGTCAATTTTTGAGCAAATTCGAACATCTAAATATCTGGGTTGAAGAGAAAGCTCCAGGCTATCCGTAGGGACAATCGCCGAAGCGATAGAGAGTGAACGGCTGCGATGCTACGAAGCTCACAATCTGCGTCACGGCTCATTTGCGATTTGAGTGGGCGAGCTGGGTCTTGAGGACGGGTTTTTCCCTTTGCAGCTGGCTGTCGCCATAGAGACACGGATTCAAATGAGAGTATGGACTCGCAGCACTCCTCACAAAAAATGTGAGCTCGATGTGAGCAAGGAGAGGGAAATGGCAGTTGAATCTTGTTTCTCGTCGTGAATCAAGCACTGGGGCGATGTCGCTGCGCTGCAGCGCTGGATCCACGGCACGCTTGGTGTCGAATTGTAGCTCGGCGTGTTGCTCGTGTCCAGAGCTTTCCAGAGAGCTCAAGATCATGAAAATCAGCGAAGGGAAACTGAAGTTATGGATGAATCAAGGTACGAAATTGTTGAATTCTGTAAATAGCCTCATTTTGACTGGATTCTGAGACCGTGAAAGGGTTAAGTGCATGCTTAGCTTGATCTGGTTGTCTGTTCTTTTGCGAGAACTGTGGGAATACGCCCAGTGAGAAGGCAGATTTTGCCTGTGCTTATGGTGAAGTAAAATCGAACTAAACAAACAAACCAACTTTGGCACTTTCGTTGCGGGTGACATTTCCCCCATTCTTTTGTTTAGAGAAAATAGTCCCTGGAGGATTGGCAACGCGAGCTGCATTTTTTGAAAATGTTGTAATCAAATGTATACTCGAAGAACTCTAACCAGTCTTCATCACGTGCTGAGGAAAGAGAAGGTAATCTCTGCGAAACACCACTCTGTATTGCGCATTACTTAACATTCCATCAACTGTGAGGACCTTGCTAATTTCAAGTGTGAAAAAAAGAAAAAAATGAATATCCAGTAAACTGGATATTTGTCGATGGGTACTGTATGGGTACTACATGACATTGATATTTTGTCTTTTTTCGGAATATCTCTTTATTATTCTGGTGGCGCAGAGTAGCGTAGACTCTACCTGCGTAGTCCATGTAATTCTGTCACCATGACTGCTTGTCCCTGTACATGGAAAATTGGCACATAATCTATCATCAGGGATACTATCCTTCCTTCATTGGCATGCATGTACTGGGGGAAAAATCAGTGTACTGGTAGAATTGATTCGAGCTGAGCAAAATTCTCACCGATACTAAGTGGAGCCGATCCCAAACACTCATACTCCTGCTCATAGTCCTGCCCATCGCTGAAGGGATGATAGCGAACAAGCTATGCTAGACATAGCAACTTGTGATGGGATTACACCATTTAACAGCTCGCAAGGCTGATGAATTGACCACTACTAATTTAAGCCTGGGTTAGATCACACAGTTGGTTGAAGGGGCTTTTTCTGGCCATTGAATCCTTTTCAAGGTTTCTTTTTTTAACACAAACACACACACACACACACACACACCGCAGCACATACTCCGGCATGCACTGACTGTTGATAAACCACCCAGGAGAATGAAAGAAGAGCTAGGAGAATGAGAAAGAGCAGGAAGGCGTGTGCGATCATAATCGTCGGGAACTGAACCCGCACTCTCTCAATTGGAAAGCGACTGCACATACCACTGCACCATATGGGACGCATACACACACACATACACACATACACACACTCATTCACACATACCCCTGATTTGCCGTGAGACAGGAAGACAGTGATAACGATACTAAGAGACTAGTATATAAGCTCCCAAAAGAGTGAGCAACTCCTGATACCCTTTCTATGGGGTTTGCTGACTGTGACAACTCACATCACGTGGTGTAGTGTCCCAGTTGTAGGTTTCCAGCGCGTTTTTAGCGAGCAGCGGAGAAATAGAAAAGCACTCTCGGACAGAAACTCACTGCGTGTATGCAACTCTCCAGCATGATATTGGCAGATATTCGGATTGCGCGCACGCTATCCATCATTTGCATGTAGTACAAAACGAACCCGAGACATGTGATCGGAGTTTTCGCCGTCGAAGACGGTTGCAGACTCTTAGGAGCTTATATATTATTGACGATACCTGCCACATGTTAACGTACAATCTCCCCGATTAGGAATCAGCAAGGACCCTCTTACCTTGGCATTCTCCAACTCCTTCCCAGTTGCCAGTTGCAGATTTCACCGGGCAGGTAGCTAAAGCAACGTCGCCCTGAACGCGGGTGTAGCCATTACTACAGGTTACTTTGCCAGTACTGTTGATTCCAGCAACATTGGACTCTGTGAAGCCACATGCTGAAATATAACATATATACAAAGGTAAATTTATATTCATGTACATGTACAGACAAGAAGCAAACTTGAAAAGTTGACCAAGTGATCAGTGCATGCATGTTTAATTTGTGTCCTACTCAATTCCCGTTGTGCAAACTCATTGTACAGCCTAGTTCACATTCGACGGGGTGCGACGTCAGGATCAACGGGAAGCGACGGGACGGTCTGACGGCGTCCAATGTGAACACCAGGAACGGGCACTCAACCGTAGTACCGTACAGATCGGGAAGTGACGGGAAGAGTTGGATCAGTTCAACTTTTTATACCGTAGACGGGCGTAGATGGGGATGCAAGCGTACAAAACGCGTGCAATTTGAGTGTGAACAGGAGGCGGCATCATGAGCCGACTACTCCCGATTCGTACTTGGAAAGTTTCTAGCATTTCGAACACTACGCTTCCCATGATAACTCACAGAATGGCTAACACCACTGAGTTGAATTTTAGCAAGATAAGGTTTCATGTCACTTCCTTTATTGAGGGATAGTTCAGAAGCGTGACAGATGAACTGCTTTATCATTTCCGGGGCTATTATTAGAATGGCAGAACGTTCGGGGCTACATTTTGGTCTTCACGAAAAACTGGTCTTGTGAACTTGATTCCACTTCAATCAAGGATAAATAATTGAAAAGAAGTCCCGAAAAACAAGATATTAGGCCCGAAAGTCACCCCGTCATGGATCGTGCCTTATGACTCGCGCTGTTTGACGTTGAACATCGCAACAAGTGCGGCATGTCATGTCGTACGAATCATACACGATTTTACGATTTTACGGCTCACCCCAGCCCGACAGGCCCTTATGTCCCGTACTGTCAGTGTTGCATTGAATGTGAACCAGGCTTAAGTAGAGATGTTGTATATCAGCACAACAGACCGAATTTCTCTCTTCTTATTTACCTGATGATCGTAGTAATATGTGAAACTCAGAGTTGTGACAAAGCTTCCAATCTCTCTTGCGTCTCTTCTTATTTAAAATTAAATAAGTTGCAGATGCAGGTACGTTTAAAAATCAATTCACCGGTAAGCTGAAGGTGTGCTAACTGACAAATTGCTCAGTAGGACAGATCTAGTTATAAATCAGGGAGGTATATAAACAAGGGAGAGGATCTCTGTGGATCATGTTTGACACAGCCTGATGCCCATACAATTTTATTTCCGCCGAGTGCCTTTCAGGGCATCAGAGTTCATGCGCCACAAAGAAAATGAGATCGTGGACGCAATAGAAATTGGGTGATTTTTCAAAAGGTTCAGAAGGACGTGTTGTGTTCCCTTCGCCCGACAGCGCCCACTTGTGCCCCCTAGAAAACTGATCCATACGCCAGGGCACAATGCGGGTGGGTCCTTTTTTGGTTCTTTCCTTTTCACTGGAGGCTTCTTTCTCTATCCTTCTTGAGCAATATTCGCGTATTGTTCTCCATCTACTTGATAAGGCTTGAAAGTGTACTAGTGAAACTGAAAACTTATTATCGCATTCTTGTCTCCGAGGAAACTGTTCATCTATGAATAGTTAACGAAAGTCATATATTTCATACTCTCGTATACTTTGAGATGAAAGTCACAATAGGTATATGTGCACGTTGTGAGGTTCTTGAAATTTCTACCCAGCGGCTTCCCTAAGAATCGTGAGGTGCACATACCCGAGTTTTTGTATGCCGTGTCCCCTCCAGGGAATACAACTCACTGCTATAAATCTATAGCTCTTGGCTTGACAATGGCGTTTTAGGGGAATTTTATGTCATGCAGATCAACCAATTTAAAGCATGCGAAGCGTCAACAAACTCACCTCTGCATGTTGTACCGTTTCCGTGGAAACCAGCATTACAAGAGCATGTGAATGATCCAACAGTATTTGTGCAGGCTGCCGATGAGTCACAATCATTCACACCAGAGGGACTGCATTCATCGATATCTGCAATCAGAATGGGAAAGCACAGAAAAACCATGACTGATGCATATGCATAATCACGACACCTACAATTATACGCAACAGCAATAATCAGCAGCATGCCGTCTACAAAGTCAAATGAAGTACAATATGGCACGAAGTACTCCACTATGTTACAATGCTAGAGGAGTTCCACCCTTTGCTGAAGTTGATTGACCGCCTGTTGTGACCAGGATCCAAACTTTGTTCCAGCGTGATCTGCCTTGCAGATAGCTAGCCAGAGTAACAAGTGGTACGGCAGCCGGCCAGAAAGTCCATGCTATGTTCCGCAGCAGCAGGAAATCCCTCTATGTAAGGGCAGGAGCACTGGAAGATTTTAGCATCCGAGACATCCAACACCTCAGATCCATCCTACAAAGCCTTACAAATTTTACGCAACAGAAAAAATGGATATAATTATGACCCTGCAATTTAGATTAATTTGTACATACCCTGGCAAGACTTAAGGTTCTGCCAGTTTAGTGACTGATCTTCACACACAGGCTGTGTTCCACTGTAGTTGTACCCAGTATCACAAGTTACAGTGCCGCTATCTGATACAGAAGATATCTTGTGACCACTGCCACCAATTTGGCAAGCTGAAGACCAACAATGAACATACGTGCCCCCACGCACGCACACACACACACATACACACACACATGTACACACGCACACGCGCACATGCACAAACACACACACACATACACACACATGCACACACATGCACACACATGCACACACATGCACACACATGCACACACACACACACACACACACACACACACACACACACACACACACACACACATATATATATGTACACACACATGTACACACACACACACGCACACGCACACACACACAAACGCACACACACACATACACTGTTACTATGATTGCATGCAGCAGGAAACTAAAGTAAAGATGAATTTTATTACTGGTGTGGAATGCACACACACACACACACACACACACACGCACGCACGCACGCACGCACGCACGCACACACACACGCATGCACGCACCTTTTTTGACCTTTTAACGCCCATCACTGGAGGCGATGATAGCGATACTACAGCAGAACCCATAGCAATTTGTGCTGGGATTGCACCATTCAACCGCTTGCAAGGCTGAAGAATCGACCGCCACTATTCAGCCTGGTCTGGCCTGAGGTGACTTTTTCTGGCCAGTGAATCCCAAATTTATGGTCTTTTTCATTTTTACCCACACACACATCACACCACATACTCCACCATGCACTGGCTGTTAAGGTGGCTCGCGCCTATTTCTAAACTCGTCTTCTGCGCAGGTTCTCGCGCATCCTACGTTCGAGAAAAGACATGCGGAGTTGGCGTAGCGAGCTTGTAGCGCACTCCAGTTTCGAAGGGTCCAGCTCGAGCAGATGGCCTGAGTACGAAACTCTCGTACTCGAGTCTAGAGAGTGAGCTTTTTTCTTCTTTTTTTCACTCCTTCACTTGGCTACTTTTTTTTAGGTGCATTTTTTACTTGTGGAAATTGTCACCTGTCAGAGAAGTGTTGGGATGTCCCTTCCAGCAGGCACTGCCCATGCCCATGGTCGGCTTCGGAAAAAGAGTAGAATAAAAGCGTTGGAGTCTATGTGGATGTCTTGGAAGGAATGGGGGACGGCACAGACGGGTACGTGAATGTGTAAAACCTGAGTATTTTGTATTTTCGTTGAATTGGTTCAAGTGACTTGGCGAGTCCCTTCCACAGTAGAACGCCATCCTTCGCAAAATTTGTCTGACTATTTTGTCAAGAATGGCCGTTCTATAATGATCAATCGACTCTGAAGCCAGTGAATTGTGGAGGTCGCGCTTGAATATAAATTGAAATGGTCACGAATGTACGAAAGTATTTTTGATTCGAACATGTACTAGACAACGTGGTTGCATTGTGTCAGTAGAGGGTACTACTGTAGTATCTCACCATTTCTTTATGGTAATCGCTGTCCACCAAGAACTCTACTATAGTTATTGCCACGGCTTGATCACAGCGGTACACTGAATTTTTGTTGAGAAATTCCTTCAATTTATTGTCTTATCACTCTGACTAGACTCAGTGCTTGAGCGTTTTATTTAGGAGGCATTTTTTAGAGATTGATATTTACCAGTATGTGTTTCACATCACTCCTGACGAGAATAAGCATTTGAAAGCAACACTGGCTGACAGCAATCATGCTCCCCAGGCTCAAGTGTGTGTGTGTTACAAGGGTGTGCATGGCAATTTGGTAGAGTATGTGTGAACACAAAGTCCACTATTATATTCACAAACTCAAGTACATCGCAAAATTGTGCCTTTGTATCGCATATTGTGACTTCATAACTTTGACTAGCCCTAACCTGCTGTCTGACTGGTGTGTCATTGGTGAATGTACATGTACACTGTCTCCCTTCACAACTACGTGCATGTAACACAATATTTACAGTGCACTTGCAGTGTATATAGCTAGATCAATGCACAGTAATCAGTAAATTGTGGCTGCCTCTGTCACATTGTCATATTCACGCGACGTACATTCTAAATCATCGAAAATGCCCAAACCTATTTCTACGTGTGCAGAAGAAGATTGAACACATTCTTTCCTTGCATCTGCGCCTTGATCCTTGAAGGATAATGGCGTTCCTACGAATGCGGAAAACTCGGCCTCTAGCCGAGTCTGACGCGAACCGTGAATTTTTTTCCTTGACATTGGTTGATGGCATCAGTCACATCTAAGAGTGACACTCTATCTCAAACATATTTACGCAAAGAAGTAGTAATCTTATCTTCATTGGAGCGATGGTCTGCAGGCGTGCGATCATGTGTGTGCCTTGTGTGTGTGTGTGTGTGTGTGTGTGTTTAGTCACTGTTTACACGCACGTTTGTGCGTGTGTGGTTGTGTGTGTGTGTCTGTCTGTCTGGCCTGGTATGAGGTTGCTCAGGATAGGTCTGCCTGGCGGGTGGACTGTCTTATCTTCCATCGGTCATTTCGCCAGCCAGGTGACAAACAAGGCACAAATGTGGCGCAGAGCAAAGTCTCCCCATCCAGGATCAGCGTGGTGCTGTGCAGTGTGGTACATGCAGAAGGTGGTTTCACTCTCGTGGTGGCCTGCGTGTGCATCATTGTTTGCCCCTGGAACCATCGAAAGTGTCCGCGCCGGCATCATCTATTCCGCTCAGCGTCCATGCTTCTCTCTTGTGTTTGACATGCAATCGGCAATTCAAGTCAGTGCCTGGTTTCAGACGTCACATGTGCGACCGTGGCCATCGGGCAACCAAGTCTGACAGAGCGTCATATTGTGTCCGCTGTTCTCGCTGCAGCCGTCAGTTCCGTCGACAGAGTGACCTGAGTCGTCATCTCCGTTTCTGCTCCTGACAATGACTCCGGCTTCTTTCGGAATGGTGTGGCCCTTGCTACAGTAGCAGTAGTAGTAGTAGTAGTAGTAGTAGTAGTAGTAGTAGTAGTAGTAGTAGTGTGTGTGTGTGTGTGTGTTCTGCCTCGCCTAATAGCTATCATCGCCTTTGGCGATGGGCTTTCCAAAGGTCCAAAGGTGTGTGTGTGTGTGTGTGTGCGTGTGTGTCTGGAGCGCCACCGGGTGGCGTGCTCTTTCTCTCTCTCTGCTGCCCCTCCGGGGCCCACGTGACCCTTGTGGTAGTGGCTCGACAGGACAGGTGTGTGTGTGTGTGTGTGTGTGTGTGTGTGTTTGCATGTATGCGTGTGTGTGTTTGCATGTATGCGTGTGTGTGTGTGTTTGTGTGTGGTATGTGTGTGTACACGTGTGTCTATGTGTATTGCAGGGTTGGGTGGGCTAGTAGAGAAGGGTAGATGTATATGTACATGTACATGGGATATGTAGGTGTACATGTACATGCACCAAAGCAAACTTATCAAAATGGCATTCTGCGCCTATATGGCGAAATTGAGCATTGAAGCATATGTTTTTTATTTTCTCATTGGCATGTACACAGTTAGTCCATTCAATAACCAAAAAATGAGGAAGATTGTAAATCAGGTTCTTGATGAAATACCCGTCCGCTATACATCATAAATCCTGTACAAATTTGACAATTTAGTGAAATTGTCATCGCCTATATCTCAAAAGTTAGCATTGAGACCCCGTTTTTTTAACTCGCCATTTGCATACACTACCTAAGAGCAACCGCCCACCAAATTTTCAGAGCAATCGTTAATTTTTTTGAAATAGGCGTGAGCCACCTTAACCACCCACGAAAATGATAGAAAAGTCAGGAGGAGTCTGAGAAAGAGAAGAAAGACGTGTGTGACCATAATCGTTGGGAATCGAACCCGCAACCTCACACACCCACAAACCCACACACATGCACACACGCACACATGCACGCACGCACGCACACATGCACCCAGGAAAATGATAGAAAAGTAAGGAGGAGTCTGAGAAAGAGAAGAAAGACTTGTGTGACCATAATCGTTGGGAATCGAACCCGCAACCCCCCCCCCCCCCCACACACACACGCAAACGCACACATGCACGCACGCACGCACACACAATATTTTCACATTGTGGATTTGTAGCAAAGAAAGGACTGATCCATGCTCTGCTTAAATTTTAGGGCAAGAGAAAGTACATTTACAACAAATTACCTTGACAAGTAGGTGCTGAATGGAAGCTAGCCTTTCCAATCACAACAGAACAGTTTACTGTTGTGTTGCTCACTCCACTTGATAGTCTATAGCCCTCGTTACAGCTGTACATAGCTGTCGAGTACAACTCAGCACTGGAGCCAGAAACAATCACTTGCGTTGCTTCGACACTTCCATGAGGGATAGTTGGCTTGCTGCACAAAGCTGGAAGAAATCAATGGCATTCGCAAACATAAGTATAGTGTACTAACAAAGGACAATCCATTCCACAATCCACTACCCATTAAGAGAGGTCACAGCGTGGGACCTAATGATTACTGATATGGATAGCGGGAACAGCATCATGATTACGATACTGATCACAGCACCGCCACAGTCTTTGGCATATCGTCAACTGGTATTTTCTGTGAACAACTATCCAACAATTATAATAAGGCAAACTATCTACCGAGTGGAGTGAAAAAGATACCTATTGAAAGAAGTTACAATGATAGTTCAGAGGCCTATGAACCTAGTGCAATTAGTTAAGAACACTTGCAGTCCATACAGCAAAGCAAGAAGACACTCCTCTAATCTTTGAATCGTTTTCTTAACCTTTTCATTAGGATAATACATAGTACATCATTCCCTGCACTGCTCTGATGAGAAGGGAAAGAAAACATTCCATGGATTGAAGGAGTGTCTGGTGCATGAGTAACATCATGAAAACTGGAGCAGTTTTAAGGTCAAGGGCAATATGATACTTTTTGAAGTCACTGTAATGAGCGACCTAGTGACAAGACAAACTGAATTTCTCTCACGATTCACAATTGCACAAGTAGTAGTTTCAAGGAATAATATTGAACTAAGTGATTACACGAAGAGACAATGTTATTAGCACAGGAAGACTCAAGTGAAGGTAAGACTAAGAAAACAGAAGTAAAGACTGCAATAACTGAACTGAGAAACTGACAGACGGATCTATATACGGTACGGTAAGTCTATATCTATATACGGTATGGTAAGTCTATATCTATACACGGTATGGTAAGTCTATATCGATATACGGTACGGTAAGTCTATATCTATATACGGTATGGTAAGTCTATATCGATATACGGTACGGTAAGTCTATATCGATATACGGTACGGTAAGTCTAGTTACAACTCCCAGCGCTAGCTAGCGATCTCTAAATGTAAGCAAGGCAGTTATGCATCACTGGCCACTGTGACTTAAGGTTTGTGTAGGAGAAAGTCCGTCTACTACAGTCAAATCTGATGTGCACGATTTAATGTCTACTAATTGAGGACATTTGACTGCAAAGCTTGCAGGAGATCCCCTCGACAGGCCCAAAGCCTTTGGGAAATCCTTAAATATAATAAAATACAAAAAAATACAAAAAGGAGAATCTTAGGGCCGGGTTCCACTGCAGCTCCCATAAGCAGCACGAGGCAGAAGTTACATTCAACTAGGGTGAGCGGGAGTGCTAGCCACATACATGTAGAATGAGTAAGGAAATATTGATGGGAAAGGAAATAATTATGACAACTCACCAGCACATGCAGTCGTTGCATAATTTGTTGGTTGCCCATTGTCCTGACAGAGAACATGGCCAGATCCTTGCAGAGTGTAGCCAATCTGGCATGAAAAGTTCAGCTGCTGGTTATATGTAAATGTTCCAGGAGACACAATGGCTTTGCTTGGTGGAGCAGGCTTCTGGCAGGTCACAACTGTGAGAGCAAAAGCCATTTTAATTGAAGTTAGTTTCACATTGTGTCATAACTCCCTATGAAAGAGGTTTATCTCAGTTGTTGTTTCCTCCCACAGATACAGTACAAGACTGGAATTCTGCCATGTATAGGAAATCATAATGATTGCCATTCAGAGAATATTTCGCAGCAGCATCGACTTCACTACCAAACAGGCTTGTGTAAGAGAGGGGATGGGGGGTGGCTCATTTTCTTCAAACCATCCTCATGTAAATGCGAAATCAAAATATGTTTGTATTTCCGCAAAACATTTGGGTTGAGAGTGAAGAAAGTCGACACAATGAGTTCCCCTACCCAAACTGACGTAGACTTGCACTATGTACTCTCGGTTCAGCATTTAGGGCCGAATACAAAATACTTACACGAGTGTGACCTATCGTGATTAACGTTTCTCATTCAGCAAGTTATTGTGTGTGTGTGTGTGTGTGTGTATGTGTGTGTGTGTGGGGGGGGGGGTGTCTGTCTGTCTCTCTCCCCTCTCTCTCTCTCTCCCCCTCTCTCTCTCTCACCCCTCTCTCTCTCTCTCTCTCTCTCTCTCTCTCTCTCTCTCTCTCTCTCTCTCTCTCTCCCCCCTCTCTCTCTCCCCCCTCTCTCTCTCCCCTCTTTCTCTTTTCCCCTCTCTCTCTTCATTCCCTGCATGGTGCCCTGAATGGCATAATCGAGAGTGGCAATCCCGCCACACTTGCGATAATGCACTTAAAAATATAGTAATTGTGTGCAATAGCTACTAAGCCATTGACCATAAGAGGAAACAGCCAAACTTCATTATGGAAGCTTGCTGCATGTACTTGTTGCAGGGACTTACTTGTACAAGAGCGTCCAGTGCCATTGTAGCCAACAACACAGTCACAACGATAAGTACCAATCATATCCGTACAGTTTGCATTTGTGTCACATTCGTGTCCACTTACACATTCGTTGATATCTACAGGAGAAAATAAAACATATCCATCCAAAATGTAAAGAAATACATTACAGTAGTGAAATCTACCTACCACAGGAAGTGGTAGGTAGAACACAGACCAGCACTCAACAGCAAGAACAAAAGCGAAAATCAGCCAAGGCACGCCAGGCCAAGCGGCATACTCAGGTCGAAATTGGAGAAATTGTACATTATTGCGTTGTATGCGAGCGGAAAAGAGAAAAAAGGTAGTTCTGTAGATTGCTGGACATCGCAAGCCGGGAACTCTCTTGCACGAAGCATAGACACTAGAACTCGGCTAGCTGGCCTAAAGACTGAAGGCACGGGCCATAAGCTTACATATACACGTCATCCGTGGGGCCAGAGTGCGTCTGATGATGTACTAGTACATCATCCGCACTCAAGGGGTTAGAAAGATAGGCTGTGCTACACGAGAATTTCCAACCTGGGTCTAGCTCAACCCGGGCTGAAAGTCTGTAAGATGGAAAAAAAATAGGTGGGTGTGTACATGAAGACAGTTGACCCGGGTCAATTATTGATATGCCACTAAAAGTCCACTTCATGGTCACGTGAATGTTTTCGGGCGAAATTTGCCTGTGCAGTGCTGTTCAAACCTGACGCGAGATACCCACAGAGGTACAGTTGTACGATTTCTCGATTTCAACCCTCCCCGCCCCCCCCCCCCCCCCCCCCCCCCAGGGGAGGGTTGAAATCAACCCAGCGCAAAATTTCAACCAGGGTCAAGCACAACGCACCATGTAAACACGCCAGTCAATCTCTGTTCATGGCGGGTTGAAACTTGACCCGCGTTGAAACGCCTCATATAGACACAGCCATAGGGTGCAAGTTTCGAATGAATGGACTGAAATGGAAATGAAGACTGGCAAGTGCTTCTAGTTAGAAGAGAATCCTGATAATACAAAGCAACTCACTTTCGCAATAGGTCCCATTTCCAGTATAGCCACTGTTACACGAACACCCAAAACTTCCTGGAGTGTTAGTACACAAGGCATCATGGTGGCAATCATCATCCGGGAGAGTAGTGTTACCACACTCATTGATATCTGGCCATGAGATACACAAAAATGAGGAACCACGGGACTAGTTCAAACTTACTGTAAACCCATCAATTAAATTTTCCTAGGTATAATTGAAATAAGAATGGCATGGCGAATTGCGAATTGCAAATTGGTGGCATACCCACGTACTGCCTAGGGCGCGAAAAAACCACCTTGCTGGAAGTATGTTTCAAGTTCAAACTAATTCATGATTTACGCGCGCTATATACGACTATATCCATGTAGTCTACGTGGAGACAACAATTTAATCAGAGCTATGGAAAGTATGAATGCTGCAATGACGTCAGTAGAAAATACGGAACTGGAGTCACAAATTGAATAGATTTTTGGTTGGAGGAAAGCAAATCAGCACACGAAGCACAGAAGCCATATAATTTCGACTAGGCCTTTCGTACCATTACTCTTCAAGTCGAATACAATGGTGATTAACAAGGTAGCAAGCAAGTCCTTATAACCGGCACTTTGGCGGTCAGAGCATTGACAAAAATAGCACTTGAAACATAGTGCTAGTGGCGCCAACAACATATTTGGCGGTCAGAGCATTGACCAAATAGCACTTTAAAAGATAGCACAAATTGAAAAAAACAAAGGTTTAAAATATGCAAAGGGAGTGATTTCCCACTGACGTCACTCCCCATATTGCTCAGCTCACACGCTATCATCGCACTAGCAATGGGCGTCCAAGGTCCAAGGTGAGTGTGTGTGTATTCGCCGTCCGAATGATTTATCCCGACACAAGAACTACTGCCTCGCCTAATAGCTATCATCGCCTTCGGCGATGGGCTTTCCAAAGGTCCAAAGGTGTGTGTGTATGTGTGTGTGTGTGTATGAGTGTGTGTGTGTGTGTGTGTGTGTGTGTGTGTGTGTGTGTGTGTGTGTGTGTGTGTGTGTGTGCGTGCATGCGTGTGTGTGCGTGCGCGCATGTATGTGTGTGTGTGTATGTGTGTGTGTGTGTGTTTGTGTGTGTGTGTGTGTGTGTGTGTGTGCGTGCGTGCGTGTGCGTGTGTGTATATCGGGGAGCACCGCAGTACCTATAGTCCATTCACCAATAATTGATCTCTGGCCACTTTTCCTATACGCTGTATTAGGCTAAAAACCTCATCCTAATTCGACAGGAAAACATGGGATTTGGATTGGTATGTCTGCACAATTATCAACGCTAAATCCAGTCAAAATACTCGTAACCCAGCGGAAAACATAACTCTATTATGGTCTTAAGAAACACATTTCAAAAACATAACGAGAAGAGAATTCCATACTGCACGGCAAAACAATTTTGAGAAAAAGGTCAACCCTTGACACATTCTCCCTGTGCATGTACAGTAGGTATCAGTTATAGCGTGGGTGTTTGAGAAACGACTTTCTATTCTTATTTCTGATATTTCTTACACACGATAAATCAAGTGTGACATATCAGATGGATGTGCGCAGAGACAGGATGGCCATCATACGTACAACGTATCGCTGCTGTGCATGCGGGTGTTCATAGTCCCATACACTTGCCATGTGGCTATGCAGCATGAGATACATGACAACAACAGTTGAATCTGCAGCACTTTGATGCAATGCGAGTCGGATCAGAACTGCATTGGGCAGATGTTATTACTACAGGCGATACACTTTGTACTAATATGGTATGTTTTGCTACACGAAATCCATTCTTAGGATCGATATATTCCACTATTCGATAACATTGCTTGTAAGAATAAATGTTTACTTGAAACCCATGTTATGATGATGAAAATATGAGAGGTCATTCTTGTAAACAGTATTCTTTTACACGATCACGCTATAACCGATACGCACTGTAGTAGGTTCGACAATTTCGATAATTGTTGCACCCTGGCTGAATTTAGGGTACCTGGGTCTTAACTCGAAGAACTGCCATGTACTGCACTGGTCAGAACTCACCTAGTGTGCACTGGATCGACACGTGAATTCACATGCACACACATACACCTTCTCACCCCCCCCCCCCCCCCGCACACGCACACACACACACACACACACACTTGTACTTGTACTTGTTGCTCACTGCCAAAACTGGTGACGTGGGTCTCCCCGGGAGAGGGGAGAGAGACTCAAAAGGAATCTTGGAAAGATGACTCAACTGTCTATTGAACCGCCCAATGGCCGACACCCCCTGAAATCCCCAAAACTCTGGGTGGACTTGAAAATGATCCCACTTATGGGCTCACCACACCTCAGTAAGTGGGTGAGGACAAGGTGAAGAAAAAGGATTGACGGCATCAGGGTATCCGTCCTGGGATCCAACTGCAGTTACCCCTGCCCCCAGTGAAGATAATACTTGCTACTAGTGTGGATCTGATCTAAGCGTCACTAGCATCATTGATTACACAAGAGTTAATCTAGCCAGAAGAAGTCCATGGTTAACAGGTATGCATACTTCAAATAGAAAGTATACGAACCCTGAAACCAACAAAGGTGGCAGATACAACAATACACCTTCAAGCAGCCGAGCCTGTTAGCAACAGACCCAACACAATTAGGCATAAGTGTACCCACCAACCGGACTAGCTGACACACACACACACACACACACACACACACACACCTTCTCACCCCCCCCCCCCCCCCGCACACACACGCACACACGCACGCACACACGCATGCACCCACACACACGTACACTCAACTGATGACCCTCACCTTGGCACATAGGCTGTGCAGCTGTAAGACTTCCACTGGCATCGCACTCAGAGCTTTTCTCTCCAACCAGACGGAATCCGGTGTGGCAGGAGTAATTTACTTGTTGGTTGTAGTTAATAGTAGGAGGAAGTGGACTGGCACTGCCATTCGCAGGTGCAGAGATTATACATGTCTTAACTGCATTAGAGGATCAGAAAAAGAAACAACTTATATATAATTATATCATGAGGATTGCTTGAAATTCACGAATCCTCTGCTCTTTGAACTGCAAGCTGAAATAATTTGTGGCAGAAAGTGGATCGTCCTTTTGCAGACCCAATGAGGTGGCTTGCGAGGCGCATGCAAGTATCATTGTTCTTTTTTCTTCCTGGACACATTGGATCGACAGAATAAGACTATCAGCTTTCTAGAGAGCCCAAGATCGTAAAAAATCAGTGACCGGCCAGTGAATTTATGACATTTCTGAACGACCTGAGTGAATCCATTGCATGCGCGCACACACACGCACTGGGAATCAGGCAAGTTTCCGTGTCACATGCTGGGGGTGAAAGCGATACAAACACAAAAAAAGAGTTTTATGAACCAGAACAAGGACTGTGAAAGGAATTATTTGGGTGGACACACCCATTCCCATAGCGCTGCACATCCGAACCAGTTCCATTATTTTACAACGTTTCGGCACTTGGCCATCGTCAGGTAAGAAAAACAATTCAGATGTGCAGCGCTGTGGGAATGGGTGTGTCCACCTGAATTCCGTTCACAGATGAAGCTGCAGAAAGCCTCAGCCCTTCTTCATACAATGACTGTGTTTATAATTATATCTACATGAGAATTTTCAAACTGGGTGCTTCCATGCAGTACAGTACATGTATCTACAGGTACATCATCCACACCAGTCTAAAATAAGTTAAATAACACAGAGAATATTTTCCGAGCCGAACACTTTCGTTCCCTCCTCATTATGGGCTCACAATAATAATACGGTAAAATCTCGCCAGAGCAGGACTGTCTCTAGACTCTCTACCATGCACCCCTCCCTGACTTCTTGTCAGGGAAGTGATAACCATTGTGTCCAACATATGACTCTGTGAAGTGTGATGCCGTACTGCACTTCAGACGTGCGCTCGACCCAATTGGAAATGTATGCAACAGTTCACACCCTCTTGACCAGGGATCGCACTAACCCTGGGATTTGGTGTGTCTGTACGACTCCCTACTCTTGACCTTTGGTCGGTGCACACACAGTTTCCGTAGGGTGAGTACTTGTTCATGTAGTGTCTGAATGCGGCAAGTAGGACTAGCCCATCCGCCCCTCCCCACCTGGACCTACTAGATTGGTCGGAGGTAGGGCGCTCTGGTGGGATTTTACGGTACTTCTAATAATTAAAAGGATTGGGGGGGGGGGGGGGCTCCAAATTCAAAGAGACCTGTTTAGGAAGTGAACCACCTGAAAAGAGAAAATATGCCAACTCCACCCATCAAACCGGGTAATACTCCTTTATTGCGGTAACTACTGCCAGAGACTTACTCGTGCATGTTGATGCATTCTGCCACACGCCAGCAGCATTGGTACATGTGGTGGCTGCCTGAGAAGGAGTGTTCTCATAACCAGTAACACAGGTTACAGCTCCACTGCTAGTAATCGAATCAATGAACTTCCCTATTGGAATCTTGCAGGCTGTGGGGAGGGCAAAATAAGAGGAAAATAAGACCATGCAGAGTAACACAAAGTACCATTGCCCCCCCCCCCCATTTCCTTTGGTCCCACACTTACAAAGTGTTTGAAAAGCAAAGGATACTGTACTGACTCGATTGGAAACCCTTCTCAAATAATAGCCCCAAGCAATGAAGAAAAAAAGAAGCATGGGGCGACCAGATTGTGTCACGTTTGTCAAAATTAAATAAAAATTTCACGGTTCGCATGAGACTCGGCTGAAAGCCGAGTTTTCCGCATCCGCCGTGGGAACGCCACCACCCTCTAGGATCAAATGCGCAGATGCAGCGCCTAAACGGGGGGAGGTGAGTAGATCAGACCCACCACCAAGTGGTCAAAGACCGAAATCCCATTAGCTGCATCCATGGCAGGCATAGTGGGATGGTCTAAGACCATGATTGAGAAACAGAGGGTACCAGGTTCAAGTCCTGCTTGGAAGCGGAAGGAATTTTTCCAGTCGTGCTGCGACCCACAGTTAATTGGGAACTCGTGGCCTGGCACGAGGGTAACATGGATGCACGTTTGTCAAGGTCAAGCACATACAAAGAACGCACCAAGTGCATCGCGTGAAGGGTAGATCGAACTGCCCATAACTTCGGGGTCCGGAAAACCGAGGTATTAGTTTATAACATGTAACGTAATCTCTTGCTCACACAAGAGCTGCACCCCTGGACTGCATTGCATAAAGGGCCAAAGTGCAATTCTCGATCTGGAGATGGATTTCACTGGCTTCCGCTGTACAGGATATCCTGGCAGAAAACCTACATTATAGATCATATAGTACATACCCTTGCAAGATACAAGACTTTGCCAGTTCGGTGACTGATCTTCACAAACAGGCTGCGTTCCATTGTAGTAGTACCCAGCATCACAAGTTACAATGCCACTAACAGATACAGAAGATACCTTATGACCAGTGCCACTGACTTGACAAGCTGAGAGAGCAACAGGGAACATGTGCACACACACACACACATACACACACGTGCACGCACACACACACGCACACACACACACCACCCACACAAACACACATGCGCCCGCATATGCACGTACACACCCATGCATGCACATGCACGCACACACACAAGTATGCACACACGTACATACACATCACACATGCACATGCACACAAACACATAAACACACACGCGCGCGCGCACACACTATAATTCCCTTTCGGAAACTAGGACACGAAACAGAAAAGTCACTGGAAATTCCGATGAGGCCTTACCATCACTCTTCAAAGCCAGCACACTAGTTATGTGGGCAGCAGCAAACAAGTCTGTACACTTAGCTTTCTACTTCCTCCGCTAAGCAAAAATTTGTTGCATTTTTAGTGTTCTTGTCATGATATTTCTGTCGGCGTTAGACATACATGTCAGTGATCTATCCCCTACATTGGGTAGCTGAGTTGTCGTCCATTGTTCTGACAGGCTTTTGAACCTCCGAAAAGCGTGGAGTCCTTTGAAAAAATCGGCGAAGCAGAATCGTTAATTCCGCTAGGACCCTAAAGGTCCGACGCGGCATTTTAGGTTAATGAGGCTGAATGTGTTTATCTTTAAAACGCTATGAATTATATGAAAACGGAGCGATTTTGGGCCTAACACACTGTCACATTCTCAGCCTCACCTCCTTATGCAACCGTTTCTAGACAGGATGTCACCAGAACACAACCCCAGGCGTGCGCGCATAACACCAAAGTGCGAAAATGAGAAACAGTTTGAAAGGCGTGTGGCTCGAAGAAGTGTCCAGGAGCTGGCCAGCACTCAGGCACTGCTGTACTAGCACGAGTCGATGGTGCGCATCCGCACACAACCAAAATCAATGCACTTGTGTTTGCAGCGCAGTGGAAATCAAAAGCGTTCGACATTCAGGTTGTCGTTCAGTCGGCGCAAAATCCTTATCTCAACGTCGACGACTTGGCGTTCTTCCACGGCCTGTAGACAGACATGTCACTCGTGGCAAAGGAAACCAGAAAGGAGCTTCTGCAGGGTGTGGAAATGTGCTGGCACGACTACACCGCTGCGAAGATGGGGAGCGTTTGTTTGGGTCTGTATGGCTCCTTCCATGGCGTTCCGGAGAGTGGCCATAACTACCAGCGCCACCGTGGAGGTCGTCAAGCTCACAGTTCGAGCGAAGAACTTGGCGATCTCCACGATCAAAATAATCGTGTCTTGGAAACTTATAAAGGCTGCGGAACAAAAGCTGGCAGCGACAGTCAGCGAGGATGCAGACTCGATGTCATCAGGGAGTGAGTCGTCATCAGATTCAGACGAAGAGTGAAGCTAGACTGCTTTGAAAGGAGCTGTGTGACATCTGTAAATAGATATCTTTCATATGCTGCCTTGTTTTCCACTTTGCAAAGCATGTTCGTAGCCATAGAATGATTTGGACTGAACTTTTAAAACGCAACGAAGTTTTGCTTAACGGAGGAAGTAGGTGGTCAGAGCAATGGCAAAGATGCCACCGAGTGATGAATAAGTGGCTTACTGATAATGGGGCATTCATCCATACACTGTATTGTACCAATTTCTGATATTCCGAGAAATGAAATACATTTTACAAAATTTACCTTGACAAGTAGGTGCTGAACGGAAGTCAGCACTTCCAATCACAACAGAACAGTTTACTGTTGTGTTGCTCACTCCACTTGATAGTCTATAGCCCTCGTTACAGCTGTACACAGCTGTCGAGTACAACTCAGCACTGGAGTCAGAAACAGTCACTTGTGTTGCATAGACTTCTCCCGCCTTGATGCTTGGCATGCTGCACAAAGCTGGGAGAAATGAATGGTATGCACGTACATTTACCGCATAAACAAAGAATAATCTGACATGCTTCAGGAGCAGCCATGATGTAGACCCGTTCCATATTATACCTGCATTTTAGGGTGTTAACTTTTGAATTGATCGTAAACTCCAACATGGCAGCTTGTGATCGGGTTACACCATTCAACAGCTTGCAAGGCTGATCGGAATTGACCATCACTAATTTTAGCCTGGTTTACACCACACAGCTTGTTGAAGTGGCTTTTTCTGGCCAATGAATCCCTCCTTCTCATTTTTCTCATTTTTTCTCATCTATTCATAATTTAGGGATGGCAATAAACAGAATCAGCTGAAGCCTCATGTCACGAAGGTTTTATTGAGATGTCACGAATAAATTCTAGAGAAAGTGGTGATGGACAAAGAAATAACTATGATGGAAATGTGATCTTCATGATTTTTTTATCACACACGCACACCACACTACATATTTCGGCATACCTGGCTGTTGGTAAACCAACCAGGAGAATGAAAGAAGAGCTAAGAGAATGAGAAAGAGAAGAAAGACGCGTGCGACCATAATCGTCGGGAATTGAACCCGCAACCTCTCAATTGGACATCGACTGCACATACCACTGCACCATATGGGATACACAAACACATACACACGCACTCACACACTCACACATACCCCTGATTTGCCGTGAGACAGTTGCCACATGTTAATGTACAATCTCCCTAATTAGGAATTAGCAAGGACCTTCTTACCTTGGCATTCTCCAACTCCTTCCCAGTTGCCAGTTGTAGAATTCACCGGGCAGCTAGCTACAGCAACGATGCCCTGAACACGGGTGTAGCCATTACTGCAGGTTACATTTCCAGTACTATCGATTCCAGCAACATTGGACTCTATGAAGCCACATGCTGAAACATAACATATAATACAAAGGCAAATTTACATTTATGTACAGAAAAGAAGCGTACTTGAAAAGTTTACGAAGTAATTTGTGTGCGAAATTTAACTCGGACACTGAGCCAATCAGAAATGTAAAATAGAGAAAAAACACATGGGAACGAGTTATGAAGCAACCATCCACGACTGTAACAAGCAGTCAGAAAGTGCGAAAACAGGGCACAAAAGTGACAGACTACTGAGACATTCAACGACCTGAGACCTAGCTATAACCAAGGGTAGATAAACAAGAGTGTGCAATTCCGGATCTCTCCTGCACAATCTGCAGATACCCTGGTCTACGGCGGAATTTTTTGTTGACGTCACCTTTTTTCAGAGAAACGCGCATTTTGTCGCAGAGCAGTGTGAGAGCACGTGCTGGGCACCGATCTTGTAGTGTAAAGCCCGGCCAAGGGCACGAGGGAAAACTTTCCAAAAGACTCGCAGTGCGTGCGTCGTCGAAAAGATTACGGCAACAAAAATTCCGCCGTGGGCCAACCCATCCGTGAGTTGCACACTCTTGTTTATCTACTCTTGTTATAACACATCTCCAGTGCGCGAACCAACAGCCTTCCAACTGAACTTTCCCGGTTAGGTAGTACCGAAGAAATGTAAAGTAGAGGAAAAACACATGGAAACGATTTATGAAGCAACTACTCACGACTGGAACAAGATAACAAGCAGTCAGAAAGTGCGAAAACAGGGCACAACAGTGACAGACTACTGAGGCATTCAACGACCTGAGACCTAGCTATAACACATCTCCAGTGCGCAAAACCAACAGCCTTCCAACTGAAAGTTCACGGTTAGGTAGAACAGAAGTGGGGAAGGTTTATCTCTGATATTGTTGACCCACCAAAGCTGGGTGGTGTGTTGCTTTGCTGCTTCGAATTGTAGTTAGACCGCATTGTCATGTTATTAACTGGACTGATCATCATCCTGTAACATTCGGCATTCTTTGTTGCCGTGGAACTTAGCTTGTGCACATTTCGCTGCGCTCACCTTCCCCTCTTTGGTCCTACATAACAGTGAACCTTCCAAATTAGAGATCTGTTAGAGGTAGGTCTCAGGTCATTGAATGTCTCAGTAGTCTGTCAGTTTCGTGCCCTGCCATCGCACTTTCTGACTGCTTACAGTGGCGTAGGAAGATGCATTGTGAGGTTCTCAAAATTTCTTAACAGTGGCTTCCCTAAGAACAGTGAGGTGCACATTGCCCGAGCTTTCGCATGCCGTGTCCCTTCCGGGCATACAACTCCCTGCTATAAATCTATAGTTCTCGGCTTGAAAATGGCGTTTAGTGGAATATTCTGTTGTGCAGATCAGCCAATTTAAAGCATGTGAAACGTCAACAAACTCACCTCTGCATGTTGTACCATTTCCATGGTAACCAGCATTACAAGAGCATGTGAATGATCCAACGGTATTTGTGCAGGCTGCTGATGAGTCACAATCATTCACACTAGAGGGACTGCATTCATTGATATCTACAATCAGAACAGGAAAGCACAGAAAAGAAAATAAGCTGCAAAAACCATGGCAGATGCATAATATGCATATCCATGACATCTACAATTATACACAACAGCAAAAAATCAGCAGCATGCCGTATACAAAATCAAATGGAATACAATATAGACTCGGATGGAGAGCCAAGGATAATTTATAGAAAAAGAAATTGATAGAAAAGAAAAAAGGACCAAGGAGCTACGCGATAATATAATGTCCACTAACACCACCAGTTACTATTAAAACAATCAGCTTATGTTATAACATTGCACGACACTCACCGACGGTACTGCTGTTCTACAACTAAGTGGCTATCAGCTCTAGCATCCCATGGATGAGCACTCCAACAGCCTTCCAACTTCATCGACATGCAAGTACATCCGCCAACGTCCTTCACAGCTGAGACTTTCACCTCTTTCTTGTCTTGGTGCATTCACCTTCCCCTCCTATGTCATCATATGACTTAGAACCTTCCAAGTTGGAAGGCTGTTGCGCATCCATGGCGTGTTAGAGCTGATAGCCAGTTAGTTGTAGAACGTCAGTGCCGTCGGTCAGTGTCGTGGAATGTTATCGCATGAGCTGATTGTTTAGTAACTGGTGGTGTTAGTGGACATTATAGCATAACTTGTCATTCCTTGGTCCTTTTCCTTTCTATGAATACAATAATGGCACGTACACCTTTGTACAATTTTACAGGTGTTCTGGCCTTTCCTGAAGTTGATTGCCGGCTGACTGTGACCAGGATCCCAAACCTTTCCTGGTGTGCTCTGCCTTACAGATGGCTGGTCAGAATAACGTACGCTGCAGCAACCGACCAGGTAACCTGCGTCATGCTCAGCAACAGCGGGACCAAATATTGCTGTGATAAAGAAATGGCACACTGACATATGGGCAGTGATCCATGAACTGCTTAGATTCTTGGGAATGCACCAGCATTTTAGGGTAGTTAGATACTGACATTTCCAGAAATCATAATACATTTGTGAAACAATATTTACCTTGACAAGTAGGTGGTCCATGGAAGTTAGCACTTTCACTCACAACAGAACAGTTTACTCTTGTATTGCTCACTCCACTTGATAGTCTATAGCCCTCATTACAGCTGTACGCAGCTGTCGAGTAAAACTCAGCACTGGAGCCAGAAACAGTCACTTGTGTTGCATTGACTTCTCCCTCGTTGATGCTTGGCATGCTGCACAAAGCTGGGAGAAATGAATGGCATGAACGTACATTAGAATACCGCATAAACAAAGAATAATCTGACATGCATCAGGAGAAGCCATGATGTAGATCCTTTTCCTACCTGCATTTTATAGTGTCACATGTCAACGTACAATCTCCTTAACTAGGAATCAGCAAGGACCTTCTTACCTTGGCATTCTCCAACTCCTTCCCAGTTGCCAGTTGTAGAATTCACCGGGCAGCTAGCTACAGCAACGATGCCCTGAACACGGGTGTAGCCATTACTGCAGGTTACATTTCCAGTACTATCGATTCCAGCAACATTGGACTCTGTGAAGCCACATGCTGAAACATAACATATAATACAAAGGCAAATTTACATTTATGTACAGAAAAGAAGCATACTTGAAACGTTTACGAAGTAATTTGTGTGCAAAATTTAACTCTGAGCCAATAAGAAATGTAAAATAGAGGAAAAACACATGGGAAAGAGTTATGAAGTTATGAAGCAACTATCCACGACTGTAACAAGGTAATAAGCAGTCAGAAAGTGCGAATACTGAGCACCAAAAGTGACAGACTACTGAGACATTCAACGCCCTGAGACCTAGGTCTAACACATTTCCAGTGCGCAAACCAACATCCTTCCAAATTGGAAGGTTCACGGTTAGGTAGAACAGAAGAGGGGAAGGTTTATCTCTGATATTGCGTTTTAGGGGAATACTATGTTGTGCAGATCAGCCAATTTAGAGCATGCGAAGCGTCAACAAACTCACCTCTGCATGTTGTACCATTTCCGTGGAAACCAGCATTACAAGAGCATGTGAATGATCCAACAGTGTTTGTGCAGGCTGCTGATGAGTGACAATCATTCACACCAGAGGGACTGCATTCATCGATATCTGCAATCAGAACGGGAAAGCACAGAAAATAAGCTGCAAAAACCATGGTGAACCCATCGCAGCTCAAGATAGGAGTTGCACACTCTTGGTTATGTACTCTTGATAATATGCATATCCATGACACCTACAATTATACACAACAGCAAAAAACTCAGCAGCATGCCATATACAAAAACAAATGGAATACAATATGGACTCGGATGGAGAGCCAGGGATAATTTATGGAAAAGAAAAAGGACCAAGGAACTACAAGTTGCGATGTAAGATTACGGCAACAAAAAATTCCGCCGTGGGCCAACCCATCCGCGAGTTGCACACTCTTGTTTATCTACTCTTGCTATAACACATCTCCAGCGCGCGAACCAACAGCCTTCCAACTGAACGTTGATTACGGCAACAAAAAAATTCCGCCGTGGGCCAACCCATCCGCGAGTTGCACACTCTTGTTTATCTACTCTTGCTATAACACATCTCCAGCGCGCGAACCAACAGCCTTCCAACTGAACGTTCCCGGTTAGGTAGTACCGAAGAAATGTAAAGTAGAGGAAAAACACATAAGAACGAGTTCTGAAGCAACTATTCACGACTGGAACAAGATAACAAGCAGTCAGAAAGTGCGAAAACAGGGCACAAAAGTGACAGACTACTGAGGCATTCAACGACCTGAGACCTAGCTATAACACATCTCCAGTGCGCAAACCTTCCAACTGAAAGTTCACGGTTAGGTAGAACCGAAGAGGGGAAGGTTTACCTCTGATATTGCTGACCCACCCAAGTTGGGTGGCGTGTTGCTTTGCTGCTTCGGATTGTAGTTAGACCGCATTGTCATGTTATTAACTGGTCTGATCATCGTCCTGTAACATTCGGCATTCTTTGTTGCCGTGGGACTTAGCTTGTGCACATTTTCGCTGCGCTCACCTTCCCCTCTTCGGTCCTACATAACAGTGAACCTTCCAAATTGGAGATGTGTTAGAGCTAGGTCTCAGGTCATTGAATGTCTCAGTAGTCTGTCAGTTTTGTGCACTTTTATCGCACTTTCTGACTGCATATAGTGGCGTAGGAAGATGCATTGTGAGGTTCTCGAAAATTCTACCCAGCGGCTTCCCTAAGAATCATGAGTTGCACATTGCCCGAGCTTTTGCATGCCATATCCCCTGCGGGGCATACAATTCCCTGCTATAAATCTATAGTTATCAGCTTGAAAATGACGTTTAGGGGAATATTATGTTGTGCAGATAAGCCAATTGAAAGCATGCTAAGCATCAACAAACTCACCTCTGCATGTTGTACCATTTCCGTGGTAACCAGCATTACAAGAGCATGTGAATGATCCAACAGTATTTGTGCAGGCTGCTGATGAGTCACAATCATTCACACTAGAGGGACTGCATTCATCGATATCTACAATCAGAACAGGAAAGCACAGAAAAGAAAAGAGACTGCAAAAACCATGGCAGATGCATAATATGCATATCCATGACATCTACAGTTATACACAACAGCAAAAAATCAGCAGCATGCCGTATACAAAATCAAATGGAATACAATATGGACTCGGATGGAGAGCCAGGGATAATTTATGGAAAAGAAAAAGGATCAAGGAACTACAAGTTGCGATGTAATAATTATAATGTCCACTAACACCACCAGTTACTAAACAATCAGCTCAAATTCATCGACATGCAAGTACACCCGCCAACGTCCTTCACGGCTGACACTTTCACCTCGTTCTTGTCTTGGTGCGTTCACCTTCCCGTCCTTTGTTATCCTATAACTTAGAACCTTCCAAGTTGGAAGGCTGTTGGAGTGCGCATCCATGGCGTGCTAGAGCTGATAGCCAGTTAGTTGTAGAATGTCAGTACCGTCGGTCAGTGTCGTGGAATGTTATCGCATGATCTGATTGGTTAGTAACTGGTGGTGTTAGTGGACATTATAGCGTAACTTGTAGTTCCTTGGTCCTTTTCTTTTCTATGAATACAATATGGCACGTACACTTTTGTACAATTTTACAGGTGTTCTGGCCTTTCCTGAAGTTGATTGCCGCCGACAGTGACCAGGATCCAAAACCTTTTCTGGTGTGCTCTGTCTTACAGATGGCTGGTCAGAGTAAAGTACGCTGCAGCAACCGACCAGGTAACCTGCGTCATGCTCAGCAACAGCAGGACCAAATGTTGCTGTGATAAAGAAATGGCACACTGACATATGGGCAGTGATCCATGAACTGCTTAGATTCTTGGGAATGCACCAGCATTTTAGGGTAGTTAGATACTGACATTTCCAGAAATCATAATACATTTGTGAAACAATATTTACCTTGACAAGTAGGTGCTGAATGGAAGACGGCACTTCCATTCACAACAGAACAGTTTACTCTTGTGTTGTTCACTCCACTTGATAGTCTATAGCCCTCATTACAGCTGTACACAGCTGTCGAGTACAACTCAGCACTGGAGCCAGAAACAGTCACTTGTGTTGCATTGACTTCTCCCGCCTTGATGATTGGCATGCTGCACAAAGCTGGGAGAAATGAATGACATGCACAAACATAAGTAACTTGCAAAAACAAAGGATAGACCACATAATTATAATTATAATTATAATTTCAAAATCTACCACCCATGAGGAGGCCTTATTCCACATCTAATCATTTCTGATTCGGATAGGGGGAGGACTATTACTATTAGTACTATATTTCTGATTTGGATAGTGGGAGAACTATTAGTACTATATTGGCCACACGTTCACCATATTTTGTCATTGGCACACAGAAGCTGAATTATTACCTTGGCAGTCTCCGACGTTTTCCCATGTGCCAGTTGTCGAGCCTACTGGGCATGTAGCCACTGCGCTGCCCTGAATACGGGTGAAGGCGTTGTTACAGACTACCTTGCCGGCAGTATTGACACTAGCAACATTTGATTCTGTGAAGCGGCATTCTGGGTAAAACACACAAAATGGCAACTTCAAACTTTTCTACCAAAACCCCATAATTATAACTGAATTTCATTTAAAATTAAAATGTGCAACACGGCTGCTCGTAAAAATTGATATGAGCCCCTCTCCACATAAATTCGATTGTTCGACACGCGCAAAAGGCCGCCGTTAGTCATTACTGTTACGTTGGTGTGAAACCAAGCGAATCAGTTAATTTTAAAATACATTTTTTGACTGAAGCAGGTTGAAGCCTGATGTGACTAGCTAGGTGAACATGTGACATGTGTGATGTCAATGTGGAACGAAGTAGTCAAAGCCAACCGGCAAAATAATGATATAACACAGCAGTGATAAAACCATTCTGCCTCACTTTCCTATGAAATAGCTGATACATGCCCATAGCTTGCTCTAGCACCGAACTGGTTGAAAAGCGGGGCAGTTTGTGGTTAGCGCAACATTGAATTTTGAAACGGATGGTGCAAAAAGTCAGGAGGGATGGTAAAATGTTGGGAAATTAATTCATGGCAAGAGCAACTTCCAGGACATGGCACGTAGCATATAGGGAAGTATTGGGCACTTAAAAGGAGTCAACTTCATTGCCGTTCATCACCCTACACAACAGGATCAGAGTGAAGACATGATTAGTTCACCAAAAAAGTTGGGAGAGTTGAGTTGATAAAGGAACAGTGCACTCACAAAATCGGTCAAGTATGCTATCGCTGGCAGTCGCTGGCATACTGTATGATTGATCAGTCATAGTCAAAATAATCTGATTCTTATGATTAATTTTCTGATGCACAATAAACTTGTGTTACTAGATCAGGTTAAGTTAGAGAATAGATCCACCGTTCAGAGTCTTCAACAGAATGACAGAGGTGTGTGTGTGTGTGTGTGTGTGTGTGTGTGTGTGTGTGTGTGTGTGTGTGTGTACATGTGTGTGTGTACATGTGTATGTGCATACGTGCATGTGCATGCATATCCATTCACGGGTACTATTGAGTGGTAATACCAGGAGTAACATTGATCTGGCCGCTTATCCACGTATCCATGACATTTCACCACCTTCACCACTGTCAGGATTTATAGATGAATACAGAAAACTGACAATTGATTAGGAAAGTCAAAACAAACCCCACATAATATCAAGTACATCAATAATAGAACAGGTACTTTATTCAGATCACACTAGGTTAATTTTTGCTCGGTCAAACACTCACACCTGGTCTCTTTGCTACAGACAGTCACTTCAGGTTCATCTGCTGGTGAACCTGAAGTGAAGCTAGCAGCAAAGAGACCATGTGTGAGTGTTTGAACTGAGTAAAAGTAATGTGTATATGGTTGCAATGGAGTTGGCTAATACTTATAATTATAGGTTATAGACAATTAGTTAGAAAAGTTCATATTAGGAAGTAGTCACCGCATGTTCAAATAGAAGTATGAAAATTGCAGTTGGAGTTTTAGTTGATTCCTCGTTCAAGATACGTCAATTTCATAGGCTAGGCACGCAATACTCATGAATCATACCTTGACATCTTGACCCATTTCCATAGTATCCACTGTTACAGGAACATTCAAATGAACCAATGGTGTTGTTACATGATGCCATTGCATGACAATGATTACCACCAGTGGTACACTCATTGATGTCTGCAACAGGCGCACAAATCATCACTTTTAAAACCATTCAACGGAAAGTCCGTTTCTTTTCATGAAATCCACCATGTTTAGAAGAGAGCCAACAACGCACACCTTGGGCACATTCTGCATGTTAAGTTCTTCTGAAAGTCTGGTGCTACTCTTGATCGTGGGGAAATACTTTGATACACCGTAAACAAAAGATCATCGCTAAAAGGGCACCTATGTATTTCATTACTGAAAGTGTAAACGTGCAAATGGTCAGGGTTCTGACATAATACTATCCAAAAGGTCAACTTCCATGAGAAAACGTCAGTTTGTTAAGAAAGAGGTCATGATATGAGTATTGATGGATAGTTGACTGTACACAGGCTGATGCTGATCGAGGGGAACACAGACATAACGAAGGAGGCATGGGGGCTGGCCTTGACAGAATCATGATGCGCAGGGAGAAGGACACTGACCACCAGCATGCACAACAGGAACATACAACTTACCATCGCAAGTAGGAGCTGAATGGAAGTCAGCAACACCACCAACAACAGAACACTGGATGGATGTGTCGCTCACACCACTTGATAATCTGAAACCACTGTTGCAGTTGTACACAGCTCTAGAGTACAACTGGGCTGTGGAACCAGTCACCATAACTCTTGTACCATCAACTCTTCCATCAATGATACTAGCTACAGAGCACAGAGCTGGACATATCAGCAGCAGGAGCGGCAACACAAGCAAACCCGAATTTTGATTTAAAAGTTGAGAACCTCGGCAAAAACTGAACTGGAAATAGCAAGTGGATACAGTTACAGTTTTTGGTTAACTAATGGGTCTGATAGTCATAGCTTGACCTGTATTAGCTTTTCTGCTTACGCTGTCCGTCCATTTGACTGCTGGTCGTCCTCTCTTCCTTGTCCCAGACACAATGCCCTCCACCAGATCGGTCAGCTAATAGGCTTCCATAATACAACAGTGTTTACAGCAATTTTTTAAAGTGCTACACAATTTCTAACAGGATCTGTAAATACCACCAGTACTGCAAGACCAATTTGCAAAGGAGATCACAGAAGAATGCCCATCTCAAGAATGAGCAATCATAGGGCCAGGCATAAACAGCACACAGTACATACCTTGGCAACTTCCTACATTCAACCAGTAGCCAGTTGAAGAATTCCTTGGACAGATTGCCGTTGCAGTGCCTTCAACACGTGTGAAGCCGGTAACACAAGTTACCTTGCCACTCGCCTTCTCAATACTAGCAACATTTATTTCACTGAACTGGCATTCTGAAGAGTCAAAAATTAAAACGAAAATGGAAAGTACTGTATAAATCTGGAAAGTGCTATGCCACAGTCACCATTGACAAGATTTCACACTCTCCCATGCCTTATTTACTCTGAAAACATAATTGGGCGGTCTGACTTTGGCCACACGTGCCCAAGCCAGATCGCCAAAGTCAACTGCAATGCCCATGGTTTTAAGTGAAGTCGGTAGCAAAGAGACGGAGTGTTTAGACTGAGGAAACCTAACGTGTAAGTGGCTGTAATAGAGTTTGCATATACTATAAGTTTATACTCCAAATCCTTGACATTCTCATTTCACCCCTACTGATTGATCGGAGCAGACTATTTCTTCCAATCACATAATCCTACTGAATCTTCTGTGAGTGAGTCCACCGTGTACAGCATACCTTCACAAGATGTCCCGTTTCCGTAATATCCACTCTTACAGGAACATTCAAATGAACCAATAGTGTTTTTACATGTTGCCATTGAATCACAATTATGACCGCCTGTGCTACACTCGTCGATATCTGGAACCGACACACAAAATGATGAACATTAAAACATCAACATCATAGGAAGAAATAGCTCTGTCCTGCTCTTTTAGTAGTCAAGCACTCTCATATGGGGTAGCAGGGCTTTAGCTAGGTCAAAATAGTAGGGGGGGGGGGGCAGATCTTTCGATCACTACGATCTACCTGGCAACCTATGTCAATGTTTAAAAAGGAAAGCAACAGTTAACTCACATATGAACAAGTCCAAAAAATTGGTACAGCCCACAAGTAACCGATCACAAACTAAACATTAAGCTGTCCGATAGTGAGACAGTTGGTTCATAAAACAGTATTCTTCAACAATCAGGGACCCGATACATGTACTCGATTCAACACATTGAGACAGGTTTCAACTTTCAAGGCTGTTGTTTTCTTGAAAGGAGATGTATTACAGGTAAGTCTTAAATCATTTTAATTGTCAATGACCCCGACCATAAGCTTAGCGAATACAATGCAATTTTACTGTCAAGAAAGACATCATGTTGCCTGCTTACAACATACAACTTACCCACACAAGTAGGAGCTGAATGGAATTCGGCAATACCACCAACAACAGAACACTGGATGGATTTGTCGCTCACACCACTTGACAGTCTGAAACCACTGTTGCAGTTGTACACAGTTCTCGAGTACAACTGGGCTGTGGAACCAGTCACCATAACTCTTGTACCATCAACTCTTCCATCAATGATGCTAGCTGCAGAGCATAGAGCTAAGTACCACACAGTACCAGCAGTGACATCAGCAGCACATGCACAAGCAGCAAAAGGGGGGGGGGGATTCAGATGATCATTGAAATACACGCAGTAAAAATCGGACTAGGAGTGATGACAACTCTAGCTACACAGAGTGCTTGCCCCACACCCTGCCTGTCTTTACTCGATAGAGAAAGGCTCCCAGCGTATAGAGTGGTTTCTTATCTATCACATGACCATACGTTACAGCCATGTTAGTTCCAACCCCAATAAAACCTTACATTTATGGGTCACATGATGTTGGCACATTGGTTCCACTGTCCACATACCATGAACACTTACTACGAGAATTTAATTCCATTTTAAAAGTACAGGCACATAATTATATAATCAAAAAAGAAAAAGGTGAAGAAGAGGTTGGTGCGACTCCGGCGACACTTGGGGAATTGTGAGTCAGTGTCATTGAGAATTCAAGTCGCCAGGAAAAGCGCGAGCTCCCACGTAGGGAGCAACACACAATTCCAAAAAAAAAGAAAGGTAATTTTTTCACAAAGAAAAGCACAGAAACATAGGCAGTCTTGACCTCCACAAAAAAGATATTATTGGACAAAGCATAAACACGATACAAATATCTAAAAAGTACTGCTAGTTACCTTGGCAACTTCCTACATTCATCCAGTGGCCAGTTGAAGAATTCCTAGGACAGCTTGCCCTTGCAGTGCCTTCAACACGCGTGAAGCCGCCAGCACACCTTACTTCACCACTTGCCTTCTCAATAACAGCAACATTTATCTCACTGAACTGACATTCTGGACAGTCAAAAAATAGAGAGCACATTACGAGTGCTTTGCATTCTATGACATTTCGTTTGTTATCACACAACTACATTGAGAATCTGCGCCGATAACTGTTACAGATGTTACAAAAAACATGGAACAAGTCCATGCTAACATGCAAAACTGGTTTCAAGGGATATGGAGGGGATTCGTGCAGAAAAAAAACAATCTACAAAAAGTACTTGCATCCCTACTCACAATGGAAAGTAGAGCAGTACAGCAGTAGAGCAGTAGAGCAACGTCAGAGCAATGCACTTTCTTTGCAAGACCCAACTGACTTTTGTGGGCACATGTTAAAAACTGATGGCATACCTTCACATGATGTCCCATTGCCATAATAGCCACTCTTGCACGAACATTCAAATGAACCAATGATGTTGCTACATGATGCCATTGCATCACAATCATCAACACCAGTTGTACACTCATTGATATCTGTGGAAAGCACACAAAGTAATACATACCGCATAGTAACATCAACATCATCAGCAGCACGAATTAGTGGTTTCGACTTTGGCGAAGATTGTTCGGAAAGGGTTTGCTCCCCACACTGGAGCTCGTGCTATTCCGCCGACTTGACTTGACACGACTGACTCACTCACTCACGACTGCCATCCAGAGCACACGAGAACCATCAGCAGAACATATCAAAGGTATATACAACAATTCTGGGACATTTTCATTGTGCATTCACATACCTTCCCGGTGACACATCAACTACATTCAACTACATTCCTAACTTGAGTGAAATTTCGGAAAAAAAGAAAGAAAAAAGAGGTACATAATGCACACACTTACCATCACACATCGTGCCATTGATCATAGATGACTGACCGTTAGCTTCACAAACAATACTATTAGCACCATTCAGCCAATACCCTTTTGAACATGAAATGCTTAAGCTTTCATTGTATGTAAAGCTATCCTCGCCATTGCCCACTAACCCATTACTTGGAGGACCGGGAACCGGGCATCTTACAACTGAACAAAACAAACAAACATCAGAACAATAAATGCAACACCAGCAAACCCATATCAAAGCTCAAAGGGTCTTCATCTCTCTATGGCTACCGTGAAAGAGAAGAGAATCACTCAAGAGATATAACAGTAATAACATGTTTTAAAGGATTGGGAGAACTTCAAATTCAAAGGATCAGTTGGGGCAGTGAACTGCCTGAAAAGAGAAAAAAAACTTCACTTCCCCGACTGATCCTTTGAATTTGAAGTTCTCCCAGTCCTTTAATTAACAATTAATTACTTTCTGTCACCTCTGGCAGTACGTTCCAGAAACTGACAGTGGTTGGTCCCCTGGGGAAGGGAAAAACCCCCAAGTGCCATCAGTGTGTGTGGCACGTGTCATGAGCTGCCTTTGGAGTGAAAACTTGTCAGCGCCTTCTAGGTTCAGCCTTCTCCCATAGCTCAGATGGTTAGAGCATTGCTCGTGACAAGCAAGGTCCCTGGGTCTGGCATTTTTCAGGTAGTTCACTTCCCCAACTGATCCTTTGGATATAAAAAGTATAGGACAATATTTCGCACGTCAAATGAGTTTGAAGGTCACACTTCATTGGATATAAAAAGTATAGGACAATATTTCGCACGTCAAATGAGTTTGAAGGTCACACTTCAGTTCCAATCTGGGCGTGCCCAATCATGGCAGCTCATTGTCAAGTTTGTTCTTCCTTGCAACACAACTGATGGGTTGCAAGCCATGATGGACTCATGGTGGACTCTTGAACTGAAGGATACTAATTCTACAGCATTGAGTGAAATATAGAAACTACCGGGAATACTGTGCTCTTTCCTCTTTACATCAGCGGAAAGTTTTCTACATTTATGGGGTTGATGTCAAGTTGAGAGAAATTATTGGCTCTGTCTGTGCTCTATTTGGAAATGCTATACGATAATGTGATATCCATTTATCAAAACACAACAAAACACCATTCCGTAGCCGGAATCCACAAGATGCCGCTGTTGCGGATTGTGTGCAATGTTGAACATGAATGGCCTGAGTGGACCACAGTGATTTGAATCACTGGTATCAAAATGTTACGTCCAGAAAAGGAATCAAGCAGGTCACTTTGGTGGAAGGTACAAGTAGTTCCATCAAGAAGTTCCATCAAAGAATATCCAGGCTTAACAGAGCAGTAACAGTACATGGTTTGACGACATAACACACCAACACTACACACCACTAGGACCTAGGAGTTTAGCAGAATTACTGGAATATTCCGATAACAACAACTGCAAAGAACATTCATATCAAAACAACTGCAAAGGTCTTACTTCCGCAAAATGTTCCATTTCCGGTATAACCAGTGTTACAGTGACATGTATATGAGCCAAGGGTATCTGTACATCTCGCATTTCTATGGCAGTCATGAAGGCTCCCATCAGTACACTCAAGTACGTCTAAGAAGAAACATATCACAACAGAATATTTTTTAAAGGGAGCCAAATCAAAACACCGTTCGTTTGGAGAAGTAACGTTTCTCTTCGCTCTCCTTCAGGAGAGTGAACAGTTTCATCAAATGGAGTAAAGAAGGGAATGGAGCGAGGGATGAGAGCTCATTGACGGTCAGTGCAGAGTAGCGACTTGTGGCTGCTCGGCTGGTTGGTCACCCGGAGCTCCGTCAACACGGGCAAAACGCTGAAGCGAGTGCGTAGCCGAGGTTGCGCTGACTAGTTGGCGGCGGCAAGCAGAGCTCCACAGCCTCAGTATCAGAACTGCTACCACGACACAGGCACCGCAACAGCAGCAGAATGTTGGAATGTGTGAGTCTGCCTTGCTCATTCTACTATTATATCATGCAAGTACTGTTTTTTATGAAGATCTTTTTGCAAATTGTCTGTACATGTGCTCAATGCTTCCGTTTTGTTGTGTAGATTTCGACTTCGTAGTTCTCAGCTATAGTCTATTGGTAGAATTGTACAATGTGTTTACTCGTATTATGTCCGCGGCTTTTGACACTCTGCACGTCAACTATCTGTATGTGCATCATACTTACAGTATAGTACTCGGCAGTTTCCGGGTTTTATTTGTTGAAGGAAATAGTTGACAGTTCATGTGTGACTGTTTTGATATAATTCTGTGTTGCCTATTCTGCAGTTGCATGCGTATTAGCACCTCATTGACCCCACTCGTTCCTCATTCTTCATTCCATTTGGCCTAAGCGAAGACTAGCCAAGCTTGCTTGGTGATGTCAACGCGAAAAGGCTGATAATAATAACAAGAGCGCATAAACAGTATGCAACTGTGGTTATGGGACAGTGCGCTGCCTTCATTACGTGACTTGCCTTTATCACGCTCTGAAAGCAAGCATGCGACGAACTTTCCAGGAAGCCCAAGATTGAAAAATCAAATTCAGTCTGCGTACATTTTTCCGTACATAAAGGGTTATGGTGAAGTGCCACATGAAATCAGCATTTTTATGTACTGCTCACAGAAAATGTAACATCTTCAGAGGAATAACATCACCAAAATACTCTTTTCATCCATTCAAACATATGTCAACCGATACTCTCGTACTTCGATATCTGATCAACAATTTGTGTACGCGTTAACCTTAAGGAACACTCCCACTGTTAGGAAATACTTCAACGTGCAACAAAGACCACAGTGACAATGCCAACCACAAGGGCAACAACACAAACCAATTCATAATGCTAACTATACATCCGCCCAACTCACCTTCACAATGTGTTCCATTTCCTGTAAACCCTGACATGCATGAACATCCATAACTTCCATCAGTGTTCACACACCATGCATCATGGTGACAGTCATGTAAAGATGTATCGTTGCATTCAACAATGTCTGCAAATAACGACAAGACAGCAGAGTAAAAATTACTGCAACAGATTACAATATGATCAGCTTCAAATGCATACTATTACAATACATGATAATGGTCCAGTTCGAAACACATTCGCAATGTTCACAGCAATGACAGCACAACAACTATCACGCACCTTGGCACTTGGGAGGTACAGCATCAAGAGCACCACTTGAATCACAAAGAGCTTTGTCTTCACCCACAAGACGGAAGCCGTGGTCGCATGAATACACAACTCGCTCATTGAACTGGATAGAAGCAGAACCAGGACTTGTGCTGCCATTTCCCGGGGTTTTGATCGGACAGGTTTTGACTGCACATGTACAGAAACAAAAGAGGTATACACACCTGAATTAGGTAGGCACACAAACACACACACAAACACATGCGCACGCACACACGCACACACGCACACACACACACGCGCACACACACTCACACACACACACACACACACACACACACTACCACAAGCAAGTTGAATCATCAAAGTCTTCCATGGCAAAAAGTTTACTAAAATGGATATGTTGTAGCAAGCTGCCTTGAGTCACAGTCAAAATATTCTGCACAAAGTCCTGGAAAACAGTTATTCACAACTTACTTGTACATGTAGGTGCATTTCTCCATACACCATCTGTATTGGTACAGGTTTCAGCTGTATTATCTTGAACAACTTCATAACCATCGACACAAGTCACAGCCCCATTGCTTGAAATCGACTGTATAAACCGTCCTGTTGGAGCTGTACAGGCTAAAAGCACATGGTCAAAGGAAACAAATACAAAAACGTTCGAGAAAAAGCAAATAAACATACACACGCACTTGACAATCATCCTCGTAAGGCTTGGTAAACATGAACAGGAATTCCTCACAATAACACGCCCTAGTACATCATCAGTTGAAATCCTTACCTTGACAAGATGCAAGGTTCTGCCAATTTGGAGACAGATCTTCACATGCAGGCTGTGTTCCATTGTAGTAGTATCCATAGTCGCAAGTTACAGTGCCATTATAAGACACACTAGAGATCTTTCGACCGCTACCATCTATCTTGCAACCTACGTCAATGTTCAGGAAGGAAAGCAACAGAAGAGGCCAAATGTTAACTCACATAATTTGGTACAGCACACGAGAGACCGATCACAAACTCAACGCAACCCTTTGTGAGCCCATCGATCGATATCGATCAATTGGTACAGTGGCAATAAAATAAAAAGATATATCTCTGGCGTTCCTTCACTGATTTTCATAAACAAAGCATATATGTTTCGAAAAGAACCTTGACTACCACATCCGTTATCCGAAGGAGGTAAGATGCCGCTGTCGTGAGACTCGTAGTAGCAGGAAAACTGAAAAATGCACTCTGATCGAAAATTTCAAAATTTCACACCGCATTTGGCGGGGATTTCTCCGGAATGCTACGTCATGCTCAAGCATGCCGCACACCACAATGTTGCGCTTGAAACGAGCTTTCAGCTGTATTTTGTTTGAAGTCAATGTGATGAAGGAGAATGGAATGGGAGCGGTTTGAACTTTGCTGAAGTTGTTCGCCCAGGGCTGCTGTTTTGAGCGGCGTTCTAGGCCATGCAGAGCAAAGGACGTGCAGGTAGCTGCCTTGAGTGTGGTATTAGTCGCTTCCTCTTGGAAATACCTTTCCAGCAGTGGCTAGTTCGTCAAAATCGGTGAATGTTTGGTAGGGATACAAGCGAAAGTGCATGTTATTTTGAAGGTGAGTTAACACGCCTGCACTCGCTATTGCAGACCAGTGGAGGGCATACATCATATGGAGGATTCATGGAGTGCTGGGCAACCGAATCTGGCATGTGATAATCATGTAGGATAGTCCACGCACGAGGTGCAGCCCATGAAATGGGCACCCATGAACTGGGCGGAGCGTGGACGGCCTGTATGATAGTGTGTATGTATGTCCACGCACAAAGTGCAGCCCATGAGATGGGCGCCCATGAAATGGACGGAGTGTGGACGGCCCACGTACGAAGTGCAATGCCCGTTAGGAGGCAGGAGTGTGGGAGTATGAGTGTGATGGCCGAAGGCCGTGATAATTGCCAGATGAGAGGATATAGCTGGCCCAGCACTCCTATTTATTTTCGTCTTGTATGAATTATGATACCTGTGTTGAATTAAGGATATCAGTATTATTCATAGATGGGAAGATGTGGGTGGGTGAGAAAGGAGCAAACCGGTGTTCTTCTCACGACCCAAGCAAAGCAAATATGAAGTAGCAATGTGGCCAGCGCGAAGTATGGTGTATGCGTTACGGGTTCAAGCTCCGATGTGTGCTGCAGCCGCATATGGCTGGTTGGCTGGCGAGTTCAGGTGAGTTCCGGCGTACGCATGTTACATGCCACCGCAGCGTGCATGTACGTGTTGCTTGACATCAACAGTACATAACCCCCCAGAGTGTGCAACGCCGATCCAGCTCTGTGTAGGGTCTTGGTCGAGCGGAATCGGATCTTCTGATGTCATGCGTACACTTCACACCAGCGCAAGGCCGGTCTCGAGGCAGGGCACCATTGTTTTTGATCCAAGAGTACCCGCGACTTCCCGGGTTCCCCTCGGATGTGTACGGTATTATGACGCAAAGATCCGATTCCGCTCGACCAAGACCCTACACAGAGCTGGATCAGGCGTTGCACACTCTGGGGGGTTATGTACTCTTGTTGACATGCATCAATGAATAGCGTGGGATCTGAGGGCTCTTTGGAAGCCGCAGGAGCGCGTGTGAAGTGGTGGCTTGTGCAATGTGTTAACCTACATTACCGCAAGCTCTAATGTGCTATAAATTGTCGTACTTTCAGTGGGGTCACAAAGGGTTAAGCTGTCCGATAGTGAGCCAGTTGGTTCATAAGTCAGTATCCTTCAACATTCAGGGACCTGATACATGTACTCGATTCAACACAGTGAGACAGGTTTCAAGGCTGTTGGTTTCTTGAAAGGAGATGTATCACAGGGAAGTGTTTAATCATTTTAAAATGACCCGACCATCAGCTTAGTAAGCAGAATGCAATTTTACTGTCAAGAAAGACATCATGTTGCCTGCTTACAACATACAACTTACCCACACAAGTAGGAGCTGAATGGAAGTCAGCAATACCACCAACAACAGAACACTGAATGGATGTGTCGCTCACACCACTTGATAGTCTGAAGCCACTGTTGCAGCTGTACACAGCTCTAGAGTACAACTGGGCTATGGAACCAGCCACCATTACTCTTGTACCATCAACTCTTCCATCAATGATCCTAGCGACGGAGCATAGAGCTAAGTACCACATAGTACCAGCAGTGACATTGGCAGCACACGCACAAGCAGCAACAACAAAAAAGGGGATTCAAATTATCATTGAAAACACACACTAAAAATTGGGCTAGGAAACTCCAGCTACATAGAGAACTTGCCCCACACTTTGCCTGTCTTTACTCGATAGAAAAGGCCAAAAAAACAGTTGGCTACCAACTAAGTTCCCAGCTTATAGAGTGGTTTCTTATCTATCACATGACCATATGGGACAGCCATGTTAGTTCTGTCCACATACCATGTTCACTTACTACGAGAATTTAATCCACTCTAGAACTGGAGAAAGACTGCAACTGATATCTATATTTAGGTACCTAATTATAATTATAATCAAAATGAAAGGTCATTTTGCACAAAGAAAAGCACAGAAACATAGGCAGTCTTGACCTCAAATAAGATATCATGGGATAAAGCATAAACACGATACAAATATCTAAAAGTCCTGCTAGTTACCTTGGCAACTTCCTACATTCATCCAGTGGCCAGTTGAAGAATTCCTTGCACAGCTTGCCGCTGCAGTGCCTTCAACATGTGTGAAGCCGGCAGCACAAGTTACCTTGCCACTCGCCTTCTCAATAACAGCAACATTCATTTCACTGAACTGGCATTCTGGACAGTCGAAAACAGAGAGTGTATTACACGCGCATTGCATTCTATGACATTCCGTTTGTTATCATCCAACTACATTGAGAATCTGTGCCGAGAACTGTTGGCATTCTACTACACATGTTAGAAAACAAAAAGTCCAGGCTAACACGTGAACAGGTTTGAAGGGATTCATGCAAAAAACACAAATCTACAAAAAGCCAGGCTACGGGCATACCCTACCTATACCAAAAAGTAAAACAATGTCAAGGCAATGCACTTTCCTTGCAACAAACCAACTGACTTGTGGGAACATGTTAACCCTTTGCGGACTGATACCGTACATAAGTGTCAAAACGCCAGACCCTGATTTCCTGATGCCGCACATGTGCGTCAAGTAAAAGCGCATGCTTGCACAGTGCATATACATCAATGTTCAAATTGTCGTAACTCTATTATCCGTTGTCCGATCATCGTCAACGAGGGCTCATAGGAAAGGTGAGAGAATAAGCTTTCCAGGGGTATGTCGTTTGATGTAGCACGAGGGAATCACTGAGAGTCGAAGAACAGTACGCGAATATGCTTGAAAATGTTTTGAAAATGTCATGCGCAGAGCGCCTCGAAGTGATCAGCGTGCCTCAAAAGGGGGCTTCTCCTGTAACTCATCGCTGCACGGCGCATGCAAAGTAGAGACCAAAGGAATTACTTGAGCTTCATGAATCTGCAGGACTTTGAATCATCGTTCTACGTTGAGCAAAACTTAGCAACGATGAAATTTGTTGAGGTGTGTACAGAATCTCGATCAGGCATAATAGGGCAGCCCTCAACAGGCTTGAAGGCGATTCTGTTGCTTCTGCTGGGTGTCTAGTGGCGATACTCAGAGAGGGGGAGATCTATAGCTTCAAAAATGAGACCAAGATCAAAAAAATACGAAACAAAGATAAAAAAATTACAAAACTGGTGAGTGAAATTAGATAGCTTTCGAATTCATACTGGGATTGTTGCGTGTGGCAGCGCATGCGGTGGTAGGAAATTGTGGATTTAGTACCCGGGCACAACAGGTTAACAATTTATGCCATACCTTCACAAGATGTCCCGTTGCCATAATAGCCACTCTTACACGAACATTCAAATGAACCAATGGTGTTGCTACATGATGCCATTGCATCACAATCATCAACACCAGCGGTACACTCATCGATATCTGTAAAAAGCATACAAAGTAATATACACCGCATAGTACCATTCACATCATCAGCAGAACATATCAACATTTTCGACAACCACTCTGGGACATTTCCATTGTGCATTCACACACCTCCCCCACACTTGCTATGTTCGCAGCAATGACAGCACAACAACTATCACGCACCTTGGCACTTGGGAAGTACAGCATCCAGAGCACCAATAGAATCACAAAGAGCTTTGTCTCTACCAACAAGACGTCACCAAAAAAACCAGGCACGTGTGCTCTTAAAGGGGGGGGGGGGGTCCGGGGAGCTTCAACCGGGAAATTTTTCAACAAATGAAGCAAAATCCTGCATATTGAGCGAAAAAATAGCGAGCAGAATGCAATTTCACTGCAAAAAAACATCAGTTTACCTGCTTGCAACATACAACTTACCATCGCAAGTAGGAGCTGAATGGAAGTCAGCAATACCACCAACAACAGAACACTGGATAGATGTGTCGCTCACACCACTTGATATTCTGAAACCGCTGTTGCAGTTGTACACAGCTCTTGAGTACAACTGGGCTGTGGAACCAGTCACCATAACTCTAGTCCCATCAACTCTTCCATCAAAGATGATAGCTGCAGAGCATAGAGCTAAGTGCCACATAGTAGCAGCAGTGACATTGGCAGCACACGCACAAGCAGCAACAAAAAAGGGGGATTCAAATGATCATTGAAAACACACAGTTGGTTACACCGTCCGCATACCACGAAAAAAGTGAAAGGTCATTTTTCACAAGCACAGAAACATAGGCAGTCTTGACCTCAACAAATAAGATATCATCGGACAAAGCATAAATACGATACAAATATCTAAAAGAATTGCAAGTTACCTTGGCAATTTCCTACATTTATCCATTGGCCAGTTGAATTCCTTGGACAGCTTGCCGCTGCAGTGCCTTCAACGTGTGTGTAGCCGGCAACACAAGTTACCTTGCCACTAGCTTTCTCAATAACAGCAACATTCATTTCACTGAACTGGCATTCTGGACAGACGAAAATAGAGAGTGCATTACAAGTGTATTGCATTCGACAAAATTCCGTTTGTTATCACACAGCTACATTGAGAATCTGCGCCGAGAACCGTTACAGATGTTACAAAAAACATCTCAAAAGTCCATACTAACATGCAGAAGTGGTTTGAAGGGTTTTGGAGGGGATCCATGAATAATATTATGGCATACCTTCACATGATGTCCCGTTGCCATAATAGCCACTCTTACACGAACATTCAAATGAACCAATGATGTTCGTACATGATGCCATTGCATCACAATCATCAACGCCAGCCGTACACTCATCGATATCTGTAAAAAGCACACGAAGTAATATACACCGCATAGTAGTAGTACCATCAACATCATCAGCGGAACATATCAACATTTTAGACAACCATTCTGGGACATTTTCATTGTGCATTCACCGCACCCCCCCCCCCCCCCCCCCCCCCCACACACACACACACACATTGGCACTTGGGGGAGGTACAGCAACAGAGGAGACCAAATGTGAACTATAAGGGAATAAGGGCCGAATGCTGCATCGCAGCCTTTTCGGACCAAAACCAGTCGACTCAGCGTCCAAAGGACTACAACATATGGGCCAATGGCGGTCATCCGTGATTTTATAAGAACGACATGGCGCTTTTAGTGACATTTTGCATACATATACCCATCTAGTAGACTACAACTGGTGAAAATTTGATTTTAGGCTGAACTTCCCCTTTAATTGTCAATGACCCCGACCATCAGCTTAGTGAAACAGAATGCAATTTCACTACAGAAAAAAGACATCAGTTTGCCTGCTTCCAACATACAACTTACCATCGCAAGTAGGAGCTGAATGGAAGCCAGCAATACCACCAACAACAGAACACTGGATGGATGTGTTGCTCACACCACTTGATAGTCTGAAACCACTGTTGCAGCTGTACACAGCTCTAGAGTACAACTGGGCTATGGAACCAGCCACCATTACTCTTGTACCATCAACTCTTCCATCAATGATCCTAGCGACAGAGCATAGAGCTAAGTACCACATAGTACCAGCAGTGACATTGGCAGCACACGCACAAGCAGCAACAACAAAAAAGGGGATTCAAATTATCATTGGAAACACACAGGAAAATCGGGCTAGGAATGATGAAAACTCTAGTTACATAGAGCACTTGCCCCACATTTTTCCCGTCTTTACCGGATAGAAAAGGCCAAACAAAAAGTTGGCTACCAACTAAGTTCCCAGCTTATAGAGTGGTTTCTAATCTATCACATGACTATACGGGACAGCCATGTTAGTTCCAACCCCAACAAAGCTAGTCCTCACATTCATGGGTCACATCGTGTCGGCACGTTGGTTGCACCGTCCCATGATCACTCACTACGAGAATCTAATATCCCATGACAAAGATGTGAAACCACTCTATTAACTGGTGAAAGACTGCAACTAATTTGTATCTTTAAGTACAGGTACCTAATTTATAATTATAATCAAAAGTGAAAGGTCATTTTTCACAAAGAACTGAAACATAGGCAGTCTTGACCTCTACAAAATAAGATATCATTGGACAAAGCATAAATAAGGTACAAATATCTAAAAGAACTGCAAGTTACCTTGGCAACTTCCTACATTCATCCAGTGGCCAGTTGAAGAATTCCTTGCACAGCTTGCCGCTGCATTGCCTTCAACACGTGTGTAGCCGGCAACACAAGTTACCTTTCCAGCCGCCTTCTCAATAACAGCAACATTCATTTCACTGAACTGGCATTCTGGACAGTCGAAAATAGAGAGTGCATTACAAGTGCATTGCATTTGGCAAAATTCTGTTTGAAACCGCACAACTACAGTGAGAATCTGCACCGAGAACCGTTACAGATGTTACAAAACCATGGAAGAAGTCCATGCCAACACGCAAAAGTGGTTTGAAGGGTTATGGAGGCGGTCCATGCATAACAATTTATGGCATACCTTCACATGATGTCCCGTTGCCATAATAGCCACTCTTACACGAACATTCAAATGAACCAATGGTGTTGCTACATGATGCCATTGCATCACAATCATCAACGCCAGCGGTACACTCATCAATATCTGTAAAAAACACACAAAGTAATATACACCGCATAGTACCTTCAACATCTAAAAAGTCCATGCTAACACGCAGAAGTGGTTTGAAGGGTTTTGGAGGGGATCCATGAATAATAATTTTAAAAAACCTCTCATCCCACCAGAAGCTCAAGCAGCTACTCTTTGCACATGAATAATAAATTATGGCATACCTTCACATGATGTCCCGTTGCCATAATAGCCACTCTTACACGAACATTCAAATGAACCAATGATGTTCGTACATGATGCCATTGCATCACAATCATCAACGCCAGCCGTACACTCATCGATATCTGTAAAAAGCACACGAAGTAATATACACCGCATAGTAGTAGTACCATCAACATCATCAGCGGAACATATCAACATTTTAGACAACCATTCTGGGACATTTCCATTGTGCATTCACACACCTCCCCCACACTTGCTATGTTCGCAGCAATGACAGCACGACAAATATCACGCACCTTGGCACTTGGGAGGTACAGCATTCAGAGTACCACTTGAATCACAAAGAGCTCTGTCTTCACCCACAAGACGGAAGCCGTTGTCGCATGAATACACAACTTGCTCATTGAACTGGATAGAAGAAGAAACAGGACTTGTGCTGCCATTTCCCGGGGCTTTGATGAAACAGGTTTTGACTGCACATTTATTGAAACAAAGATGTTTACACACATGAATTGGGAAGACACACAAACACACACAAAGACACACACACACACACACAAGAAACATCCCTTATAAGGCACTACCACAAACAAGAAAAGTTGAATCATGAAAATCTTCCATGGCAAAACGTAAAAGAGGACATGCTCAGGTGAGCTGCTTTGAGTCACAGTCAAAATATTGTGCACGAAGTCCTGGAAAACAGTTGATCACAACTTACTTGTACATGTAGGTGCATTTCTCCACACACCATCAGTATTTGTACAGGTTTCAGCTGTATTATCTTGAACAACTTCATAACCATCAACACAAGTCACAGCCCCATTGCTTGAAATTGACTGTATAAACCGTCCTGGCGGAGCTTTACAGGCTAAAAACACATGGCCACAGGAAACAAACAAAAGAAAAACTTTCCAAAAGATAAAGCAAATTAACCCTTACAGTGCCAAGGACGAGATAACTCGTCCTGAAACTACACACTGAATGGCCAAGGACGAGATGACTCGTCACGCACACGGAGCATATAGAAACGAGCCTTGACCACTGTACAAACAGCTATAACATCCACATACCTACTTCAAATTTGACATATGACGGCTCATTGGAAAGCTATTGAGCGCAGCTTTCCAACAATTTATCATTCGATATAGCGTAACATACGCATGCGCAGAAGCTCGAAGTCCGGGAAATTCATGCTTAAGTTGACGAGGTGTTTGATTACGGGGAACTTACCCAGTGCACAGCCCATGCGTGACATACACCAAACTGAGCACTAGAACAGCCTGATTCTGCTGGTGTTTGAATCGTCTCTGTACATTGAGTATGTGCCGTAAAATCAAAACGAGAGAGCTTGGAAGCTCAGGGCCCTACGCTATGCTTTCTTGCCTTGATGAACTAGACAAAAAAAAGCATAGGGATGTTTTTTCAGACATAACCTGGGATTCGAACCCGCACTATCGCCCTGCAAGCATCCCTCGATACACTTCGCATACATACTAATTCTTCCAAGTTGCTTCACGTTATGATCTTGCATTTCAAAGCCCTATTTGAATATTGTGGCCAGCCGTCTTTGATGGTACGGTACGGTACGGGACAGGTACGGGCGTGGATAATACGACACCGTCCACCGCCATCATGACCTAGACAAAAAAAGCATGAGGATGTTATAAATTTATCAATTCTCCTATTATAACACGGGATTCGAACCCGCACTATCGCCCTACATGCATTCCAAAATACACTTCGCATTCATACTCATTCTTCCAAGTTGCTTCACGTTATGATCTTGCGTTTGAAAGCCCTCTTTGAATGTTGTGCCCAGCTGTTTGTGGCCAGCTGTCTTTGTTGGTATGGTACGGTACGGGTCAGAAACGGGATAGCGCCAGGCGTGACACAAACAAACACCAAATTAAAGCTGTGTGGACCCTGGCTAGCGCCAGACGTTACTGAAGTAACGTCTTCTGCATAGCTACGGGAATAATTTGTCGCTGACTGTAGAATAGCACTACAAAGGCGCATAGGAGCGGATTTCGAAGTGTTTGTAGGCCGTTCTCCTGCTCCTGCAGAGCACTGAGCACCATGAATCGAGAGGGGAGACACTCAGCTTTCCAGGGAGCCTATGATGATGAAAATCTGTTACTGGTGAGTGAAATGGCGATATTTTTAGTGCCCAATGTGAACATTATGTGTGGTGCGAGTGTGTGTGCTGGCCAATCGTGTAGTAAGTGCTCTAGCACTGAAAGAGTTAACACACATGCACACTTGACAATCATCCTCGTAAGGCTTGGTAAACATGAACAGGAATTCCTCACAATAACATGCTCTACAGCACATCATGTGTTACTACATCATAAGTTGAAATTCTTACCTTGACAAGATGCAAGGTTCTGCCAATTTGGGAACAGATCTTCACACACAGGCTGTGTTCCATTGTAGTAGTATCCATTGTCGCAAGTTACAGTGCCATTATAAGACACACTAGATATATTTCGACCACTACCATCTGTCTTGCAAGCTACGTCAACGTTCAAGAAGGAAAGAAATAGAAAAGACCAAATGTTAACTCAATTTGAACACGTCCCATAATGAGATACAGCTCACGAGAAACCAATCACAAACTCAACTAAACACTAAGCTGTCCGATAGTGAGATAGTTGGTTCATAAGACCGTATTCTTCAACATTGCGGGACCTGATACATGTACTCGATTCAACACAGCGAGACAGATTTTAACTTTCAAGCCTGTTGGTGTTTCGAAAGGAGATGTACTACAGGGAAGTTTTTAATCATTGCAATTGTCAATGACCCAACCATCAGCCTCGTAAGCAGAATGCAATTTTAACTGTAAAGAAAACATCAGTTTGCCTTCTTGTAACATACAACTTACCATCGCAAGTAGGAGCTGAATGGAAATCAGCAATACCACCAACAACAGAACACTGGATGGATGTGTCGCTCACACCACTTGATAGTCTGAAGCCACTATTACAGTTGTACACAGTTCTTGAGTACAATTGGGCTGTGGAACCAGTCACCATAACTCTTGTACCATCAACTCTTCCATCAATGATGCTAGCTGCAGAGCATAGAGCTAAGTACCACACAGTACCGGCAGTGGCATCAGCAGCACACCCACAAGCAGCAACAACAAAAAAAGGGGATTCAAATGATCATTGAAAACACACAGTGAAAATCGTGCTAGGAATGTTGACCAGGCAGGCACAGTGGGGTGGTCAAAGACCATGATTTAGATACGCGAGGTACCTGGTTCAAGTCCTGCCTGGGAGCGGTTTTTCCAGCCGGGCTGCTACCCACAGCCAACTGGGAACTTGCGGCCAGGCACAAGTGGTACATGGATGCAGCTAATGGGGTCGTTCTCGGCACTTGTGCCAGTGGTTGTGAGACTTATCCACTCACCCCCACCGTTAGGCGCTGCATCTGCCGCAAGGGTTTACCGGGTGTTAGCGGCCGTCGTGAGTTCCCTTTGGGAACGGACAAGATAATATACTTTTTTTTAATGTTGACAACTCCAGCTACACAGATTACTCGCCCCACGTTTTGCTGATCTTTACTCGATAGAAAAGGCCAAAAAATAGTTGGCCGCCAACTAAGTTCCCAACTTATAGAGTAGTTTCTCGTCTATCACATGACCATATGGGACAGCCATGTTAGTTCCAATCACATGACGTCGGCACGTTGGTTCCACTGTCTACATACCATGATCCCTTACTACGAGAATTTAATACCATGACAAAGATGTGAAACCACTCTAGAACTGGAGATAGACTGCAACTGATATCTATATTTAGGTACCTAATTATATTATCAAAAGTGAGAGGTCATTTTGCACAACAAAAAGCACAGAAACATAGGCAGTCTTAACCTCAACAATAAGATATCATTGGACAAAGCATAACAAATTGATACAAATATCTACTTCCTCCGCCCAAGCAAAATTTTCGCTTATCTTTACACTTTTTACTGATACCTTCCAGGTTCTCAGAACGGCCTATAACAACTCAGAATGAGTTGAGGAGTCGTTGAACATCAAGAGAAACTCTCCAAGTCGAAAAATGTAGAAGTCATCCTTTGTCATCAGCCGACGCAGCACGTGTTGTCGGGTAGTACTTCGCACTTTCCAGAAGCACAAATATTTCGTATCGACACTTTTCCCAGCGCTTCACCTCCTTCATGGGTACGATCGGTCGTGTTTCTTACCAGCCGAAGCTGACGAGCTCAGCGTTGCTTTGCAGGATCGTTCACGTTGACATCAGGCGGATGAGCTGGGTGAGTGACAACCCTGTCGAGGCCTTTCTTTTTTCCCTGTTTTGCCCAGTGCCGATGCTGGTTCATTTTGCAGTACCGTATGTGGGCGAGCGTCGCTGAGTGGCTTCCTCAGCTTCAAGCTCACGTGCATTTTTACCGTACACACATCTTGTGCCGGATGCAATCCAACACGCTGGCTTTTCGCAACATGACACCTCTGCTCTGTACTCCAGTGGTACTCTAGCAGCACCCACCTTGACCAGTGACTGACTTCGTGTTCTTTTTACCAGTTCACTCGCATTCGACGCGCTCTACTCTAGGTGTTTCTCTACTCTTTGCCGACTTCGCCGACTTGTTTGGAACTGGTACGCCTGAACCAGCAGATTTGTGTGATGGTGAAGTGCACAAGATGAAAAAATTGCTGTCAGACACCTGTCATTGGGCTGAAGGAGATAAGCGAAAATTTTGCCTGAGCGGAGGAAGTAAAAGAACTGAGAGTTACCTTGGCAACTTCCCACATTCAACCAGTGGCCAGTTGAAGAATTCCTTGGACAGCTTGCCGTTGTAGTGCCTTCAACACGCGTGAAGCCGGCAACACATGTTACCATACCACTTGCCTTCTCAATACCAGCAACATTTACCTCGCTGAACTGACATTCTGGACAGTCAAAGATAGAGAGCGCATTACAAGTGCATTGCATTCTATGACATTCGGTTTGTTATCATCCACCTACATTGAGAATCTGCGCCAAGAATTGTTGGCATTCTTCTACATAATTATGTTAGAAAACATGGAAAACATCCACCCTAACACGCAAAACTAGTTTGAAGGGTTATAAAGTCAGGGTACAGGTAGACTCCCTCCAATTCGAATACGGTATAATTCGAATATTCCGTGTAATTCGAACTTTTTCGTCGTACCGATCTCCTGCAAGTCACTTCAAGTCGAATTCGAATGCATAATTCGAAGTACGAAATGTGCAACGATTGGATAATTCGAACTCAGTCTTCGTACAGAAGAGCTGTTTACAGTACAGTGACTATGCCCTTCGAACGCTTATTTCGAAGTGAGATGGAGTTGCTATATTGTAATTCGAAGTCATTCTTTTCTCATTCTCTAGCCAAGAGTAGCTCAAAAATCGATCCCTGGTCCGCTCCAGGATCGACAGTAGCGTTCAAGAAACCCACCTTCTCTCAAAATTTGATTGAAGCCCGTGCGAGGCAAAGTGCAAAGATTTGATTGAAGACGACTTCTTCCAGGTGGCTGACTCCATCCGCGGATCTCAGTGGCCTTTCATGCTGCGCCAGCTCGTGCGCAGAGATGTTTGCGAACAACAGCACTCTTGACTGGAAGTCGTAAAAATCGTCTATGCCAATGCTCCAATTCCGTTCCTCAGAACGACGTGCTGCTATCCCACGCCCTTTCATGACGCGGATAAGCCGGCGCTGTTCTTTCCGTTGAAATTGTTTCAGGACAGCTGCTGTACCGGACAATTTCTTCACTAGAAGATCAAGATATCAAGTCAAATGACTTTGTGTCAATCCAGTGCTTATTATGAAACGGCCTGGTCCATTGTACATGACCACCGATGTTTCATTGATGCGAATAAAATGTGCGAAAATAATCAGCAAACGGTTTCGAGCATTTAGACATACACAATCAGTGCATTGGGCTGCATTTGGATAATTAGAAGTTCCTGATAATTCGAAGTTGGGGCCTGGCAATTTGAGGTTCGACTTAAAGGGAGTCTAACTGTACGTGCATCTAGCCCTACCCCTACCCACACTAGAAAGTAAAGCAACGTCAAAGCAATGCACTTTCTTTGGAAGACCCAACTGACTTTTGTGGGAATGTGTCCACGGCGTACTTCATACCTGTACAAGCTGTCCCGTTCCCATAGTAGCCACTTTTGCACGAACATTCAAATGACCCAATGATGTTGCTACATGATGCCATTGCATGACAAATATTAACACCAGTGGAACACTCATCAATATCTGTGAAAACATGTAACAATAACAACACACAATAGAGAAAGAGAGAAGAAAATTATAGTTACAACCCAGAGTGTCGGGCTCTGTACCGTCTTTTGACCAGAGCGTGAAACTCCACCTCATGGTATTGACCACTCTGAAGATCAAGCAGAGCATGAAATTCCACCTCACGATGGTTGTATAACAACAACAACACATGTTTCTTTTACATCGAACAGGCTCTATACAATTCTGACACGGGTGATGAGGACCACAGTGATGGCAGTGACAGCCAAGACATCATACAGCAGCTAGTTATGCTTATTACTAAGAGTACATAGAACCCAGAGTGTGCAACTTGGGACTTTTCCTACTATGGGTGTCTGTCACCGTGGAATTTTTGTGATTACATCATATTTGGTGCAGATCTGAGGCGAGAAGTGAAATAGTGCGTACAGCTGAGCTGCAGTGGTGCAGAAAGAGACCTGCTTAAATCCTGCTTGTACGCACTACATCACTAAAAATGATCTGATTACGGAATTTCGCCGTGACAGCAACCCACCAGAGCTGCACACTCTGGGTTTCATGTACTCTTGTTATTGCCGTCTCACTCACCTTCACAATGTGTTCCATTTCCTGTAAACCCTGACATGCATGAACATCCATAACTTCCATCAGTGTTCACACACCATGCATCATGGTGACAGTCATGTAAAGAGGCATTGTTGCATTCAACAATGTCTGCACAGGAGGGAAAATACAGCAGTGTTCAAATTACTGCAACAGATATCACAGCTTCAGGCAAGTCCAAATGAACACTTGGTGTGCAACTGATCATCATAAACATCTCAAAACAAATGAATCGTAAAGTCATACAAAATGCCATGCCAGTAAAGGTATGGTGTAAAACACAGACAAAAGCATTGTACAGTACTTGGAAATGGTGCAGTACAAAACACTTCAACTAAAGGAAGCGGCAACGATACAACACGAATTACACACCTTGGCACTTGGGAGGTACAACATCCAGAGTACCACTCGCATCACAAAGACCTTTGTCTTCACCCACAAGACGAAAACCGCTGTCACACGAATACACAACCGTCTCATTGAACTTGATAGAAACAGAAATTGGATTTGTGCTGCCATTTCCCGGAGCACTGATCTGACAGATTTTGACTGCAAAACATGACATATTGATGTACACATTACACATTACACACACACACGCACACGCACACACACGCGCACACACACACACACACACACACACACACACACACACACGCACACACACACACACACGCAAGCATGCACGCACAGAGAAGTGTGCACACTTTTATGGAAACACTCCTAAAAGAACCAAATTATATGCAATTGGGAGTTAACAATCTTGTTGTCACAAGTCTGTAGCTAAGCAGCACAAAAGTGGATGTGCTAGAGCGTAAGTAGCCATCTCTCAACATATCCAGCATTTATAAAATAAATTGGAATTTAGACGGCAAATCCTGCACTCTGGGCGACTCCCTGTACAAAATCATACAACTTTTTCTCCCCGGTTTTGGACGTTCCACGGCCACATGGACCGACTTTTTGGGAAGTTTTTTGTTTTTGTTTTTTTTGTTTTGTTTTTTTGGTACGGCCATGGCCCTGCTGTCTTTAAACATTTGAGCATCTATAAAAAAATTGCTACAAATATAGGAATTGCAGCGTTGCTTTAAAATTATACCTTGAATTGGACAATAGAGGTTATGCGATCACCTCACCAGTTGAGATGTTTTGGCGAAGTAGCAACACAGAGCTGCACTAGCAATTCATGCTGCATAATCATGTCAAAGACTGATTATAGCTTACTTGTACATGTAGGTGCATTTTTCCATTCACCACCTGCATTGGTACAGGTTTCAGCTGAGCTACCTTGAGCGACTTCATAACCCTTAACACAGGTTACCACCCCACTGCTTGATATCGAATCAATAAACTGTCCTGGTGGGACTCCACAAGCTACAGAACACATAGCCACATAGAACAATGCAAACCATTTAAAAAAGATAATGCAAATACAAAGGAATTGAAGCAAGCATGTGCAATGCACAATCACTCTCGTAAGGCAAAGCATCGTAAACCAGTCTCATACAATGGCACGTCACCAAATATGAATGCCAGACTCAAAAACGAACCTTGACATGATACAATGTTCTGCCAGTTTGGAGACAAATCTTTACACACAGGCTGTGTTCCATTGTAGTAGTATCCATTGTCGCAAGTTACAGTGCCATCATCGGACACACTGGAAATCTTTTGGCCGCTACCATCGATCTTGCAAGCTACATCAAAAGCAACAGAAGAGACAACATGTTTAACCCACAAATATGTATGTACACATTCAAAAGGCTTGTTGTTCAAGAACTCTAGAACATGATGTGGAATATCACATAAGAATTCTTCTTGGTGTCTCTGATGCGATGATTGAAGAAACTATAAGTTGACAAGGTATCCATTGGAATAGGGTTCTGTTGCAATCGTTGAATGAGAACATTCGACGCAAGTAACAGTCCTCCAATTCAAGCAGCTTAGGTTAGAAGAATACGGAGTGCTGTGACTGTACCACTGTGTATTTTCTAGTGGAATTCGTGTACAGATACTCTTACTGTAAACTATTTAGCAGCAAACCTGGAAAGGTGTACTATGGATTTCACCGTGAAAACGGAACATCAGTTAGCACACTTAGTACATGTCACTTACCCACACAAGTAGGAGCTGAGTGGAAGTCAGCAATACCACCAACAACAGAACATTGGATGGATGTGTCGCTCACACCACTTGACAGTCTGAAGCCACTGTTGCAGTTGTACACAGCTCCCGAGTACAACTGGGCTGTGGAACCAGTCACCACAACTCTTGTACCATCAACTCTTCCATCAATGATGCTAGCTACAGAGCACAGAGCTAAGTACCACACAGTACCGGCAGTGACGTTTGCAGCACATGCACAAGCAGCAAAAAAAGAGGAGGGGGGTTAAATGATCATTGAAAACACACAGTAAATATTGGGCTAGGAATGATGAAAATTCCAGCTACATAGAGCACTTGCCCCACCAAACTTCGCCTGTCTCTACTCGATAGAAAAGGCCAGAAAAATGGTTGGCTACCGACTAAGTTCCTAGCTTATAGAGTGGTTTCTAATCTATCACATGACTATACGGGACAGCCATGTTAGTTCCAACCCCAACAAAACTAGTCCTCACATTTATGGGTCACATAGTGTCGGCATGTTGGTTGCACCATCCGCATACCATGATCACTCACTATGAGAATCTAATATCCCATGACAAAGATGTGAAACCAATCTATTCTAACTTAACTGGCGAAAGACTGATAACCAAAAGTGAAAGGTCATTTTCACAAAGCACCGAAACATGGGCAGCCTTGACCTCAACAAATAATATATCATTGGACAAAGCATAAAATACGATACAAATATTAAAAGAACTGCAAGTTACCTTGGCAACTTCCTACATTCATCCAGTGGCCAGTTGAAGAATTCCTCGGACAGCTTGCCACTGTAGTGCCTTCAACACGTGTATAGCCGGCAACACAAGTTACCTTGCCACTCGCCTTCTCAATAACAGCAACATTCATGTCAATGAACTTGCATTCTGGATAATCGAAAATAGAGAGTGCATTACAAGTGAATTGCATTCTGCAAAATTCCGTTTGAAATCGCACAACTACAGTGAGAATCTGCACCGAGAACCGTTACAGATGTTACAAAACCATGGAAAAAGTCCATGCCAACACGCAAAAGTGGTTTGAAGGGTTATGGAGGCGGTCCATGCATAACAATTTATGGCATACCTTCACATGATGTCCCGTTGCCATAATAGCCACTCTTACACGAACATTCAAATGAACCAATGGTGTTGCTACAGGATGCCATTGCATCACAATCATCAACGCCAGTGGTACACTCATCGATATCTGTAAAAAGCACACAAAGTATTATACACCGCATAGTACCATCAACATCATCAGCAGAACATATCAACATTTTAGACAACCATTCTGGGACATTTTCGTTGTGCATTCACCGCTCCCTTCCTCCTTTATTCCCAATCAAACTGGCTCACTTTCACCGAAACTGGGTGACTGCGCCCAACAACAAAATAATTACTTACAGCATGTTTGAGCGAGTTTCTGTCACTTGAGTTGAACCTTGGAACGAAAGTTGTCACTTGCTGGCGCGGTGACCAGGTGACTGGAGTACGCAGGATTACGTGACCACTTATTCAGCCATGTTCGATTGGGAATAAGGGCCGAATGCTGCATTGCAGCCTTTCGGACCAAAACCAGTCGACTCAGCGTCCAAAGGACTACAACATATGGGCCAATCGCGGTCATCCGTGATTTTATAAGAACGAAATGGCGCTTTTAGTAACCTTTTGTATACATATCCCATCTAGTAGGGCGCAGTCACCCAGTTTCGATGGAAGTGCACGAGTTCGATTGGGAATAAAGGAGGAAGGGAGCGTCTCAGCTTCCTCGGACCAAGACCATTCGACTCAGCACCCCGAAGACTACAACTGGTGAAAATTTGATCTGTAATTGTCAATGACCCCGACCATCAGCTTAGTGAGCAGAATGCAATTTCATTGCTGAAAAAGAAATCAGTTTGCCTGCTTCCAACATACAACTTACCATCGCAAGTAGGAGCTGAATGGAAGTCAGCAATACCACCAACAACAGAACACTGAATGGATGTGTTGCTCACACCACTTGATAGTCTGAAACCACTGTTGCAGTTGTACACAGCTCTAGAGTACAACTGGGCTATGGAACCAGCCACCATTACTCTTGTACCATAAACTCTTCCATCAATGATCCTAGCGACAGAGCATAGAGCTAAGTACCACACAGTACCAGCAGTGACATTGGTAGCACCCGCACAAGCATCAACAACAAAAAAAGGGGATTCAAATTATCATTGGAAACACACAGAAAAATCGGGCTAGGAATGATGAAAACTCTAGTTACATAGAGCACTTGCCCCACACTTTTCCCGTCTTTACCGGATAGAAAAGGCCAAACAAAAAGTTGGCTACCAACTAAGTTCCTAGCTTGTAGAGTGGTTTCTCATCTATCACATGACTATACGAGACACACATCGTGTCGGCACGTTGGTTGCACCGTCCGCATACCATGATCACTCACTACGAGAATCTAATATCCCATGACAAAGATGTGAAACCACTCTATTAACTGGTGAAAGACTGCATCTAATTTCTGTCTTTAAGTACAGGTACCTAATTTATAATTATAATCAAAAGTGAAAGGTCATTTTTCACAAAGAACAGAAACATAGGCAGTCTTGACCTCAACAAATAAGATATCATTGGACAAAGCATAAATAAGATGCAAGTTACCTTGGCAACTTCCTACATTCATCCAGTGGCCAGTTGAAGAATTCCTTGGACAGCTTGCCGCTGCAGTGCCTTCAACACGTGTGTAGCCGGCAACACAAGTTACCTTGCCAGCCGCCTTCTCAATAACAGCAACATTCATTTCACTGAACTGGCATTCTGGACAGTCGAAAATAGAGAGTGCATTACAAGTGCATTGCATTCGGCAAAATTCCGTTTGAAACCACACAACTACAGTGAGAATCTGCACCGAGAACCGTTACAGATGTTACAAAACCATGGAAAAAGTCCATGCCAACATGCAAAAGTGGTTTGAAGGGTTATGGAGGCGGTCCATGCATAACAATTTATGGCATACCTTCACATGATGTCCCGTTGCCATAATAGCCACTCTTACACGAACATTCAAATGAACCAATGGTGTTGCTACATGATGCCATTGCATCACAATCATCAACGCCAGCGGTACACTCATCAATATCTGTAAAAAACACACAAAGTAATATACACCGCATAGTACCTTCAACATCTAAAAAGTCCATGCTAACACGCAGAAGTGGTTTGAAGGGTTTTGGAGGGGATCCATGAATAATAATTTAAAAAAACCTCTCATCCCACCAGAAGCTCAAGCAGCTACTCTTTGCACATGAATAATAAATTATGGCATACCTTCACATGATGTCCCGTTGCCATAATAGCCACTCTTACACGAACATTCAAATGAACCAATGATGTTCGTACATGATGCCATTGCATCACAATCATCAACGCCAGCCGTACACTCATCGATATCTGTAAGAAGTACACGAAGTAATATACACCGCTTAGTAGTAGTACCATCAACATCATCAGCGGAACATATCAACATTTTAGACAACCATTCTGGGACATTTCCATTGTGCATTCACACACCTCCCCCACACTTGCTATGTTCGCAGCAATGACAGCACGACAACTATCACGCACCTTGGCACTTGGGAGGTACAGCATTCAGAGTACCACTTGAATCACAAAGAGCTTTGTCTTCACCCACAAGACGGAAGCCGTTGTCGCATGAATACACAACTTGCTCATTGAACTGGATAGAAGAAGAAACTGGACTTGTGCTGCCATTTCCCGGGGCTTTGATGAGACAGGTTTTGACTGCACATTTATTGAAACAAAGATTTATACACACATGAATTAGGAAGACACACAAACACACACACACACACACAAGAAACATCCCTTATAAGGCACTACCACAAACAAGAAAAGTTGAATCATGAAAATCTTCCATGGCAAAACGTAAAAGAGGACATGCTCGGGTGAGCTGCTTTGAGTCACAGTCAAAATATTGTGCACGAAGTCCTGGAAAACAGTTGATCACAACTTACTTGTACATGTAGGTGCATTTCTCCACACACCATCAGTATTTGTACAGGTTTCAGCTGTATTATCTTGAACAACTTCATAACCATCAACACAAGTCACAGCCCCATTGCTTGAAATCGACTGTATAAACCGTCCTGGCGGAGCTTTACAGGCTAAAAACACATGGCCACAGGAAACAAACAAAAGAAAAACTTTCCAAAAGATAAAGCAAATTAACCCCTACAGTGCCAAGGACGAGGTAACTCGTCCTGAAACAACCACACTGAATGGCCAAGGACGAGATGACTCGTCACGCACACGGAGCATATAGACACGAGCCTAGACCACTGTACAAACAGCTATAACATCCACATACCTACTTCAAATTCGACATATGACGGCTCATTGGAAAGCTATTGAGCGCAGCTTTCCAACAATTTATCATTCGATATAGCGTAACATACGCATGCGCAGAAGCTCGAAGTCCAGGAAACAGGTGAATGTCAAATTTCAAACGTGTGACTGTGAGGCACTTCATGCTAAAGTTGACGAGGTGCTTGATTACGGGGAACTTCCCCAGTGCACAGCCCATGCGTGACATACACCAAACTGAGCACTAGAACAGCCTGATTCTGCTGGTGTTTGAATCGTCACTGTACATTGAGTATGCGCCGTAAATCGAAATAATTTGTCGCTGACTGTAGATTAGCACTACAAAGACGCATAGGAGCGGATTTCGAAGTGTTTGTAGGCCGTTCTCCTGCGCCTGCAGAGCACTGAGCACCATGAATCGAGAGGGGAGACACTCAGCTTTCCAGGGAGCCTATGATGATGAAAATCTGTTACTGGTGAGTGAAATGGTGATATTTTTAGTGCCCAATGTGAACATTATGTGTGGTGCGAGTGTGTGTGCTGGCCAACCGTGTAGTAAGTGCTCCAGCACTGAAAGAGTTAACCCTTTAAGAGCCACAGGAAAATTTCAAAATTCTGCATTTTTTCGTGTTCCTTGGATCATAGCTTCAGTTCTACTCACTCAATCCTCACAATCTAGGGCTTCCTGGCACGGTCTCCGCGAGAGGAAGAGAATGAGGTCGATCATGATAGCCAGCACACTGTCTATCCAGCGCTAGATCGCAGCGACAGTACGAAAAATGCCCCAAATGCGTCCAATTGCGTCCCGCTCCAGATATTTCATTTTACTCGATCGTGGAGTTCCAATTTTTTCGCTGTGTACTCTTGACAATATCAACAGTGAAACCCGTGCAAATTCGAGTAAACCAGCGTGACGAAAAGTCTCAAAATACTCAATACTAAAGTCGCACTGCGCGCTTTTGAAATTGCCGCGATCGCGGCTCAACTTACGAGTGATCTATCTCAGGAACCGTTGCTCGCAGCGTTTCGCGGATTGTTTCTCCAAACAGGTGAGAGTTTTCTCTTCGCCCTGGATATTTCGATCGATGGATTGGAGCGAGATTGGACTGAGTTACGATCTTTTGAAGTTTTGCATTTGAATGCGTCGTTTACGACGCATTCAAGTATGGGGTGGCTCTTAAAGGGTTAACACACATGCACACTTGACAATCATCCTCGTGAGGCTTGGTAAACATGAACAGGAATTCCTCACAATAACATGCTCTACAGCACATCATGTGTTACTACATCATAAGTTGAAATTCTTACCTTGACAAGATGCAAGGTTCTGCCAATTTGGAGACAGATCTTCACACACAGGCTGTGTTCCATTGTAGTAGTATCCATTGTCGCAAGTTACAGTGCCATTATAAGACACACTAGAGATCTTTCGACCACTACCATCTGTCTTGCAAGCTACGTCAACGTTCAAGAAGGAAAGCAATAGAAAAGACCAAATGTTAACTCAATATGAACATGTTCTGTAATGTGGTACAGCTCACGAGAAACCGATCACAAACTCAACTAAACATTAAGCTGTCCGATAATGAGATAGTTGGTTCATAAGACTGTATTCTTCAACATTCAGGGACCTGATACTCGATTCAACACAGTGATACAGGCTTGAAAGCTGTTGGTTTCTTGAAAGGATATGCATTATAGGAAAGTTTTAAATCATTGTAATTGTCAATGACCCCACCATCAGCTTAGCGAGCAGAATACAATTTCACTGCAAAAAAGACATTAGTTTGCCTGCTTCCAACATACAACTTACCATCGCAAGTAGGAGCTGAATGGAAGTCAGCAACACCACCAACAACAGAACACTGAATGGATGTGTTGCTCACACCACTTGATAGTCTGAAACCACTGTTGCAGATGTACACAGCTCTAGAGTACAACTGGGCTATGGAACCAGTCACCATAACTCTTGTACCATCAACTCTTCCATCAATGATGCTAGCTGCAGAGCACAGAGCTAAGTACCACACAGTACCAGCAGTGACATTGGCAGCACACGCACAAGCAGCAACAACAAAAATGGGGATTCAAATGATCATTGAAAACACAAAGTAAAAACCGGGCTAGGAATCATGAAAACTCCAGCTACACAGACTACTCACCCCACATTTTGCCGATCTTTACTCGATAGAAAAGGCCAAAAAATAAATGGCCGCCAACTAAGTTCCCAAAGTACCGTATTTCCTCGTTTAATAGACCCGGTCTTTTGTTTTTTGAAGAGGGTTGGACCCCCGGTCTCTTATTTGGGCATGGTCCATTATTTGAGCACGGTCCACTATACTTTCATCGGCACATCGCTGGAAATGGTGGATTTTTAACACGTCACAATATAGAAGTTCTATATTATGATGTGTTAAAAATTCACCATTTCCAGCGATGTGCCGATGAAAATATAGTGGACCGTGCTCAAATAATGAAAGAAAGCACTAGCCACTACAAAAATTGTAGTTGCGCAACCTAAAATCGCGTCCTTTTTTGATCCACCACGTGCTTTCTTAGTGCGCATGTGCAAAGCGATGAACTCAAATAAGAGACCGGGTCTCTTATTCGGGCATGGTCTACTATTTTTCCGTGAGGCCTCTAGGAGGGTCTACTATTTGAGCATGGTCTATTATTCGAGCATGGTCCATTAATCGAGGAAATACGGTAGTTTCTCATCTATCACATGACCATATGGGACAGCCATGTTAGTTCCAATCACATGACGTCGGCACGTTGGTTCCACTGTCCACATACCATGATCCCTTACTACGAGAATTTAATCCCATGACAAAGATGTGAAACCACTCTAGAACTGGAGATAGACTGCTACTGAAATCAATATTTACTAATTTAGGTACCTAATTACATTATCAAAAGTGAGAGGTCATTTTGCACAACGAAAAGCACAGAAACATAGGCAGTCTTAACCTCAACAATAAGATATCATTAGACAAAGCATAACAAATGATACAAATATCTAAATGTACTACTAGTTACCTTGGCAACTTCCTACATTCAACCAGTAGCCAGTTGAATAATTCTTTGGACAGATTGCCGTTGCAGTGCCTTCAACACGTGTGAAGCCGGCAACACATGTTACCATACCACTTGCCTTCTCAATACCAGCAACATTTACCTCGCTGAACTGACATTCTGGACAGTCAAAAATAGAGAGCTCGTCACAAGGGCATTGCATTATGTGACATTTTGCTTGTTATCACACAACTACATTGCGAATCTGCGCCGAGAACTGTTGGCATTCTTCTACTTCAGAAGTACACATGTTAGAAAACATGGAAAACGTCCACCCTAACACACAAACCTGGTTTGAAGGGTTATAAAGTCAGAGTACATGCATCAAGCCCTACATGACCACCGATGTTTCGTTGATGCAAATAAAATGTGCGAAAATAATCAGCACACTATTTCGAGCATTTCGACATACATAAACAGTGCATTGGGCTGCATTTGGATAATTAGAAGTTCCTGATAATTCGAAGTTGGGGCCTGGCAATTTGAGGTTTGAATTAAAGGGAGTCTAACTGTGCGTGCATCTAGCCCTACCCCTACCTACACTAGAAAGTAAAGCAACGTCAAAGCAATGCACTTTCTTTGCAAGACCCACTGACTTTTGTGGGAACGTGTTAACAACTTATGGCATACCTTCGCAAGATGTCCCGTTCCCATAGTAGCCACTTTTGCACGAACATTCAAATGACCCAATGATGTTGCTACATGATGCCATTGCATGACAAATATTAACACCAGTGGAACACTCATCGATATCTATGAAAACATGTAACATTAACAACACACAATAGAGAGAGAGAAGAAAATTATAATTACAACCCAGAGTTCCGGGCTCCGTACCGTCTTTAGGTTACCTCCTGAAGATTGACTAGAGCGTGAAACTCCACCTCATGGTATGGACCACTCTGAAGATCAACCAGGGCGTGAAATTCCACCTCGTGGTATTGACCACTCTGAAGATCAAGCAGAGCGTGAAATTCCACCTCACGATGGTTGCATAACAATAACACATGTTTTGAATGATATCTCTAACATCGAACAGGCTCTATACAATTCTGACATGGGTGATGAGGACCACAGTGATGGCAGTGACAGCCAAGACATCATACAGCAGCTAGTTATGCTCATTACTAAGAGTACATAGAACCCAGAGTGTGAAACTTGGGACTTTTCCTACTATGGGTGTCTGTCACCGTGGAATTTTTGTGATTACATCATATTTGGTGCCGATCTGAGGCGAGAAGTGAAATAGTGCGTACAGCTGAGCTGCAGTTGTGCAGAAAGAGACCTGCTTGAATCCTGCTTGTACGCACTACATCACTAAAAATGATCTGATCGCGGATTTGTTTGTGATCGGGTTTGTTTCATCTGGCAATGTTTGCATGATGCATGTAGCACCCTATTTCAGTCCATTTTTGCTATCGTGCCCTCAACTCGCACTCGAGGAGGCCAAAGCAACTTGCTTGTGGTCCCACCTGCTAGCACGGCTCGTTCTGCTAAGCGCCTAACGCACGCTGGAGCCATAATGTGGAATAGATTGCCCCCAGCAGCAAAATGTTCAAATAGGTATTTGGATTTCAAATCTCAAGCCTTGCAGTATACATTATCAGCGACATAGGTTTTCCAATGCTCACTGGATTGATATTTGTTCGTTGCAACCAACCTTCCGTTTTCTTTTCTTTCTCTTTTTCTCTTATATCTACTTTTCCACAATATCCTTTTACATTTTTATTCACAGTGGGTCCAATGTTATTAGGCAGTTTGCCTGTTTTGATTTCCACTATAAATAAAGTATACACAACAAAAACAATTTTGCCGTGACAGCAACCCACCAGAGCTGCACACTCTGGGCTTCATGTACTTGTTATTACCGTCTCACTCACCTTCACAATGTGTTCCATTCCCTGTAAACCCTGACATGCATGAACATCCATAACTTCCATCAGTGTTCACACACCATGCATCATGGTGACAGTCATGTAAAGAGGCATTGTTGCATTCAACAATGTCTGCACAGGAGAAAACGACAGCAGTGTTCAAATTACTGCAACAGATATCACAGCTTCAGGCAAGTCCAAATGAACACTCGGTGTGCAACTGATCATCATAAACATCTCAAAACAAATGAATCGTAAAGTCATGAGGGTGTCAATGAATCAGAGAGAGCATCAATGAATCAGAGAGAGAGTGAGTGTAGAAGCAACGCAATATATAGGGCCTGGGTAGCTATGGCGCAAGTAGCTACCCAGGCCAACGGAACGAAAGGTGGGAATGACGTAGGTGAGAATGACGTAGCACGGGCGGAGGTACCTAACACATAGACAAAAGCATTGTACAGTACTTGGAAATGGTGCAGTACAAAACACTTCAACTAAGGAAGCGGCAATGATACAACACGAATTACACACCTTGGCACTTGGGAGGTACAACATCCAGAGTATCACTTGCATCACAAAGACCTTTGTCTTCACCCACAAGACGAAAGCCGATGTCACACGAATACACAACCGTCTCATTGAACTTGATAGAAACAGAAATTGGATTTGTGCTGCCATTTCCGGGAGCACTGATCTGACAGGTTTTGACTGCAAAGACATGTATTGATGTACACATTACACACACACACACACACACACACACACACACACACACACACACACACGCACGCACGCACGCACACACGCACGCACACACACACACATGCACGCACGCAGTCACGCACGCCCGCACAGATAAGTGTGCACACTGTTATAGAAACACTCATAAAAGAACCAAATTATATGCAATTGTAAGTAGCCACCTCTCAACATTATCCAGCATACTCTGCATGAAATATTCATAAGATTGAGGATTTGGAATGGGGAACAAATTGAAGAAAAGATTGACTGTCACCACCATGACTCGAACCAGAGACCTTCGCTATAGGCCAGCGTTGCTCTGACCAATGAGCTTTGGTGTATTGTATTCTGCATGAACATAACTTTATTTCTTCACTAACTGGACATGCACAGGTGCCTTCTAAGTTCTCATCATCCCAATGGCCGATTCTCACAGAAAGATTGAGCAAGGAAGGAGAGCTCAAGCCAGATGGTGAAATTCATTTTCTCAGAGGACATTGGCATCCTTGCTTGGCTGGCAATGTATGTCTATGGTGCCATGAGGTCGCATCTCAGTAGAGTTCAGGAGTGTCTGCTTCTTTGGTATTAACGATCTAGCTTTCTAACGGGTAAACATTCTCATCCCACCACAATGTTGAGCACTCTTTCTGAAACAGTAGATAATTAACTACTTCTTCTGAATCAGGAGTTAAGTCAAGTTGCACTGTATTTAATTTGAGCATCTGTAAAAAATGCTACAAATACAGGAATTGCAGAGTTGCTTTCTGATAAGGTTGGAACTAGATGTACGCAAAGAAAGGCACCATATAAAAGTATACCTTGAATTGGACTTTGATTCCTCCTTGAGAATAAAGGTTATGCGATAACCTCACCAGTTGAGATGTTTTGGCGAAGTAGCAGCACATTACTTTTGTCGAATGCTGTGATGGGGTGAGTCCGCTGTATACATAGCGCCCATAAGCGGTTCCGCTGATTCACCCCATCACAGCATTCGACAAAAGTAATGTCCTTCAATAAAGGGTTTGAACAAAGATGAATTTGCTTACTTGTGCATGTAGGTGCATTTTTCCATTCACCACCTGCATTGGTACAGGTTTCAGCTGAGCTAACTTGAGCGACTTCATAACCCTTAACACAGGTTACCACCCCACTGCTTGATATCGAATCAATAAACTGTCCCGGTGGGACTCCACAAGCTACAGAACACATAGCCACATAGAACAATGCAAACCATTTAAAAAAGATAATGGAAATGCAAATGAATGCAAGCATGTGCAATGCACAATCACTCTCGTAAGGCAAAGCATGGTACACATGCAAGAGTCTCATACAATGGCACGTCACCAAATACGAATGCCAGACTCAAAAACGAACCTTGACATGATACAAGGTTCTGCCAGTTTGGAGACAGATCTTCACATATAGGCCGTGTTCCACTGTAGTAGTATCCATTGTCGCAAGTTACAGTGCCATTATCGGACACACTGGAGATCTTTTGACCACTACCATTGATCTTGCAAGCTACAGCAAAGCAACAGAAGAGACAAATGGGTTAACCCAAATGTACTTGTACTGTCTTGTACTTGTACTTGCTTACTGCCAAAACTGGTCACGTGGGTTTCCGCTTGGGAGAGGGGAGGGAGACACAAAAGGAAACACGACTCAATTGGCTATTGAACCGCCCAACGGCCGACACCCCTTAAATCCCAAACTAGGGTGGACTTGGAAATGATCCCGCTTATAGGCTCACCACACCTCAGTATGTGTGGGTGAGGACAAGGTGCAGAAAAAGGATTGACGGTATCAGAGTTACCCACATACATGTATGTACACCTCCAAAAAAGCTTGTTCTAATACTCGAACATGATGTGGAATATCACATACGAAAATTCAAATATTCTTGGCGTCTCCGATGCGATGATTGAAAACACTATAAGTTGAAAAGGTATATCCATTGGAATAGGGTTCTGTTGCAATCGTTGAATGAGAACATTCGACGCAAGTAACAGTCCTCCAATTCAAGCAGCTTAGGTTAGAAGAATACGGAGTGCTGTGACTGTACCACTGTGTATTTTCTAGTGGAATTCGTGTACAGATACTCTTACTGTAAACTATTTAGCAGCAAACCTGGAAAGGTGTACTATGGATTTCACCGTGAAAACGGAACATCAGTTAGCACACTTAGTACATGTCACTTACCCACACAAGTAGGAGCTGAGTGGAAGTCAGCAATGCCACCAACAACAGAACATTGGATGGATGTGTTGCTCACACCACTTGATAGTCTGAAACCACTGTTGCAGTTGTACACAGCTCTAGAGTACAACTGGGCTGTGGAACCAGTCACCATAACTCTTGTACCATCAACTCTTCCATCAATGATGCTAGCTGCAGAGCACAGAGCTAAGTACCACACAGTACCAGCAGTGACATCAGCAGCACATGCACAAGCAGCAACAACAAAACAAAGAGAATCAACATGAAAGCACTCAGGCAACACTGGGAATAGGAAGTCCAGCTACACAGAGCAGAAAACAAAAACCAAATAAGAAAAGTGTTTCAAAAATACTTCCAATTACTTCATGGTATTTTGCTGCCAGTCCTGACCCCAAGAATGAGATATAAAACACACGCACTTTGGCTACTTACCCTTGCATCTTCCGACATTCACCCATTGGCCAGTCGAGGAGTTTCCTGGACATCTTGCGGCAGCAGTGCCTTCAACATGGGTAAAGCCAGCAACACACGTCACCTTGCCACTGGCTTTCTCAATACTTGCAACATGTATTCCACTGAACTGGCATTCTAGACAGACCAACAAACACACACACGCACACAAAATGAAATACTCGCATTGTATAGGATTTGTAAGTTATCACATAAATAGAACAAGGCCCAAGGCTAGTTCGTTGGAACTCTAATGAGTTTCAATCTATGCAATCATCAGGCAACACAGTAATTATCACATAATTAAATGTGTGCCTGGATTCTAAACTGATCAGAACACCTTGTAGCTGGTAGGAGTCTACTACAGATGGCAAAATACTTTTCAAAATAGTGTAGTGTCCAGGCCACCATACATAGGTGGGGAGGGGGAGAGAATCAGGCAAAAGTGGTTCAGAAAAGTGAGGATAGTTTCTCGCACAGAAAAATGCGATAATACTAAGAAGGACACACTTCAGGCTCGTGAACAACAAAAGCAAATGAACAAAGACAATAGATTAAGTACAGTAGAGAGGTGATGGAAACAGCGCAAGGAAGAAGAGCTCAAACAACAACGCTGAATGCGCGACCCATACACATAGAAAGAATGAGAAAAAGGTGTAAGTGTGAGGAAACCTAACAAGTGTGAAGGGTGATGCAACAAAAATAGACAGATTGAAAAAAACTAACGGATTGTTGACGACCTACCTAACAGCCAACTGTGAATTCAATCTGCTTTTGCTTACAAAATTTAGATTTCTTAGTGTGAATATACACAGCATATGTGTGTGGGTCACACATTCATCGTTGTTGTTTCAGCTCTTCTTCCTTGCGCTGTTTCTATCACCTCTTCGCTGTACCTAACCCGCTGTCTTTGTTGATTAAGGCTTTTGCCTGTATTTTATCTATCGAGAAGGCTTGAAGGTATACATGCACTAGAGAAAAATTTCACGATGCTGAGATATGTCCTACTTCTTAGTATAAAAGTGAGGATACTTGCCCTTACATGTGGACCTATTGCCACACAAGAAATGGAAGTAACTGAGGTCTATCTCAAACATCAATTGAATAGTGCCCACAGGGTACTCCATACCTGTACAAGCTGTCCCGCTGCCATAATAGCCACTCTTGCAGGAACATTCAAATGAACCAATGGTGTTGCTACATGATGCCATTGCATCACAATTATCAAGACCAGTGGTACATTCATCGATATCTGTAAAAAAGAAAAAGTAATAGGTACCTTTTGAAACTCGGGTACTCGGGTACTCGTTTCCATATGTCCTTTTCCTTTCTACTTTTAATAGGTACCTTATCAATAGTATATCAACATCATCAGTGACAGTAGAAGTTATCAACAGAACAATTCTGGGACATTCCCATTGTGCATTCCCACATCTCCCACTGTGACCACACATCATTCAATAACTACATTCCTAACCAAAATGAAACAAAAAAAGTACATAATGTACACACTTACCATCACAGGCCGTCCCATTGATCATGGTTGACTGACCGTTAGCTTCACAAACAATACTATTAGCGCCATTCAGCCGGAACCCGTCTAAGCAGGAAATGCTCAAACTTTCATTGTACGTAAAGCTATCCTTGCCATTGCCAATAAGTCCATTACTTGGTGGGCTGGGTACCTTACAACTTACAACTAAACAAACAAACAAACAAACAGAAATCTGATTCACAGCCATTCCACAGCAGGGGCTCCGATTTGCTACACTATGGCTGGCTTGAAAGGAAACAGGAATCTGATCTCTGAAAAGAGAAGGACTCGTTCTCCGTTGTTTGTGTTGAGAGAAACTGCTTTCTTGGTAGGATAGATCCGTGACAATACATGTGCACAGTGTCTGCTCTAGGATATCAAACCAAGCCGGTACACGTGTACGTGGTGGCACAACTCTTGCAACCGGGTCAGAGCCGGATACGTTCAAGTGTGGCTATTGCACATGAGGGAGTCCTAAAAAATTACGACTCCCTGATGTACATGATTGTACATGTATGAACGTACTCTGTCTGCACGAGCCTGTCATATCAGTGTGTACCCCCTTGAAGTATAAAAAAGTACTCAACATGACTCCCTACTGAGTCACAAGTGGCCAGTGTTCTTTTTCCAAACGGATCCAAGCACCCCCAACCCAGCTCTGGAACAGACATTGTTACACGGCTTCCTGTATGACACACAAACACTAAACTATGGCTTCGGAGTACAACAAAAATACAACCATATCAAAACAACAGAAGCTCTTACTTCTGCAAGATGTTCCATTTCCATTATAGCCAGTATTGCAGTGACATGTATATGAGCCGACGGTATCAGTACATCTTGCATTTCTATGACAGTCATGAAGGCTCCCATTAGTACACTCAAGTATGTCTAAGTAGAAACAAATGAATTCGCCATCGCATAAATTCAATCAAGACTTCTGCTTTCTACATCAATCGTAGCATTTAGAGGAGCAAGCCCACAGCAAGAACTCTTTGGAGCATTTCGACAATAGAAACGCTAAGTCCACGGACTTCTGAGCTACAACATGCGCATGGATTAACTTGAAACAGCAATAAGGAAAGCGAACCAAAACAATATTAGATGATGGAGACCTCAATAACAATACAACTCTGCATGCTCTAACCTCACTTACCACCACAGTGTGTTCCATTTCCTGTAAACCCTGACATGCACGAGCATCGGTAACTTCCATCAGTGTTCACACACCATGCATCATGGTGACAGTCATGTAAAGATGTATCGTTGCATTCAACAATGTCTGAACATAAAGACAAGGCATCAGCAGGGTTCTAGCCAGGTCAAAATAGTGTGTGTGTGTGGGGGGGGGGGGGGGGGGGGGGGGCAGGGAAAACAGTTACCCCATCACCCACTTTTTTTCCATTTTCAAAATAACTGTCTTGAAATGTGAAATGCAACGTACGGGGCGAACACCTGACTTCACCCCAGACAGATGTGCCTTTTATGAACCCTCTAGTACTGACTACTGTGTCAACTGCATTTTCGTTGAATGGGGTGAAAAAAACACAAAAATCAGAAAATGACGCTTTCGCTTTCGGATTGCCACCAAGCTCTCCACAGAATCAGCTGAAGTCCAAGTTTGAACACTCCAACTCTAAGCACAACCATTATCTAGACAAATGATTGCTACAATAACACAAAATAAGGCACCAGTAAATGTAGAAAGTCCCCAGGGTGTGCTATGCACTTGAAAATGGTCCAGTTCAAAATACTTGATCCGCCCAGTTAAAATTGGCGCTTATCTTCACACTTCTCTCAGGAAGGAAATACGAATATTTGAAGCAAGCCACGATCACAAAGCACTATATACATGATTATTTACATGTCCGTAAGCAACTCAGTCGAAAATTCAAGCAAGTTACACATCCTCCTCGCCACTATCGTCGCTGGAGGAAGAGCTCAAAACGTTCGATCCGGATAGCTGCTGCACGTTTCATAGCTTGTTCCACTTCTCCTCGTCTCGAATCACGCTCAAAGGCAATGCATGCCTGTCACCTTGCCGATCAGAAGCTGAGTGAGACTGCCTGCATGTTGGCTGCAAGTGTTATCCCCGTTCGTCGCAATAATGCGACTTTGTTTGAGACAAAAAGGCAACGCCATATCAGTGTCCTTTTTTTCAAATCGCCTCTTGTGCTTGTCGTACTTGCTGATCAGCACCCGCGCGAGCCGCTGGTGCTTGTACCTGCAGCGCAGTGATAGCTTCCGCTTGATGTAGCACTGGTTACCTGTGCGTCTGCACCTAGTACTAGTAGTACCTACTAGTAAGTCCTAACGCCGTGCACCAGGCTTTTCGGCTAGTTTCCTGAAAGTGCTTTGCACGAGTGTTTCCCTCAGCACTTGGTGTTTTACTTGATTAGCTCCTTTGCCCTGTCCTCTGTGAGCTTCAAAGTGTGTCCGCCGGATTGGTCTCACTTACTGGAGATGTCGACATGAGCTGCAGTTTCTTCGTCAGCGATTTGCTGGTGATAGCCCTTCACTAGGTGCTGTGCTGTGCAAGCACTCAAATAAGCTCGCGAAGCGCTTTTTCAGCTTTTCTATACCTCCCCGGGGTAAAAAATCCTTGCCATCAGACACCTGGAAGTAGACAGAAACTGTATTCTCCATCGCTCTGAAATGCGAACATCCTGACCTATTTTACGGACTCGAACGGAGGTTGCAGTGTTTTCTTGCGCTGACGGAAGTGTTCGTCGGCGGCAGCTCCGTCAAAAAGACTCAAACGAACCGATCTCAACTTCTGTGATGGTTTGTGCTGCCATGTCGTCGGATGCAATGGTCAATGGTTATGTTCGGATGGTGAATCGGTGGTTCCATGCCGTGTGACACAGGCAGAACACCGAAAAACCAAGTGAGAAAATAAGCGCCAATTTTAACTTGGCGGACCAAGTATATTAGCTATATTCGCAGCAATGGTAACACAACAACTATCACGCACCATGGCACTTGGGAGGTACAGCATCCAGAGTACCATTAGCATCACAAAGAACTTTGTCTTGACCCACAAGACGAAAACCGTTATTACATGAATACACAACTGTCTCATTGAACTTGATAGAAGCAGAAACTGGATTTGTCCTGCCATTTCCGGGAGCACTGATCTGACAGGTTTTGACTGCAACAAAGAGTAAACAAACATTGCACATACTTGGATACACAGGCACACACCAGATATATATCGTGCACATTGTACATACATACATGCACATCGTATATACATACATGCACATACACACGTGCACCCATGTGTACACACACACACACACACAAACACACACACACACACACACAAACATACATACACACAAGCATTTTTACACCCAATTACTCTCCTACACACATGCCTGCACCCACGTGCACGCATTGACACCCACATGCACACCCACCTGCACCCTCGCACAAAGACACACACACAGGTACGCATGCTCATGCAAACACACATACGCACACCCACCTGCACCATCACCCACGCGCGCACGCACACACACACACACGCACACACACGCACACACACACACCATGTACCATGTATACGCCCGTCGCAAGAGAAGCACGCAAATCTGCAAATGCATTGGATGTGCAGATTTTCTCTTATAGCAACGATAGCGACCAAGATCTGAATGAGACAGATCAAGACTTGCGCCAGAAAACTGTCTAATCCACACAACTGGCGAAGCCATGTGAATCGACCACCAATGCACACCTAGTCTACACCACACGGAGTACATCGGTATAAAACGGCCAAGACAGTTACCTATGCACAGCCTACACTTGCCGGGGTAACCAGTATAGACAGCACGCTGCTTTGGTAGAAGCAGATACTAGATGCACTGGTACCTTGAAGTGAAATTGGAGTTACTTTACCTACCAGCCTCGGCTACTGAGTACTTGGAACCCAGAGCCAACAGACATACCAACAACCTGAGGCATGAAAGCCAATATAGTAACGACACACTGGATTGTGACACACACGCACACACACACACACACACACACACACACACACACACACACACACACACACAGACACACACACACACACACACAACTTATTGTTGACGTAATCTTTTCTACGACGCAGAGTCTTTTGGGAAGTGTTGCCTCGTACATTACAAGGTCGGTGCTCAGCACATGCTCTCACACTGCTCTGCGGCAAAATGTACGTGCTCTGTAAAAAGGTGACGTCAACAATAATTTCCGCCGTGGGCCGGGGTATCTGCAGATTGTGCAGGAGAGATGCGGAGTTGCACACTCTTGCTTATCTACTCTTGCTATTACAGTCCTCGAAACAAAAACAATAGGGCACTAGATGATTGCTTACTTGTGCAGGGAGGTGCATTTTGCCAAACACCAACAGTATTGGTACAGGTTTTTGCTGTGCTACCTTGATCAACCTCATAACCATCAACACAGGTTACAGCTCCATTGCTTGAAATCGACAGAATAAATTGTCCTTGTGGTACTTTACAGGCTACAAAACACGCGGTCACAGAATTTAAACATTGTGTAAAACATTTTTCAAAAGAT